GGAACAGGCTCCCCAGGGAAGTGATCACAGCACCAAGCCTTCCAGAGTTCAAGAAGCATTTGGATGATCCTCTCAGGCACATGGTGTGACTCTTGGGGATGGTCCTGTGCAGGGCTGAGGGTTGGACTTGATGATTCTTGGGGATTCCTTCCAGCTCAGCATAATCTGTGATTCTGTGATTCCTTTAGAACATGCTTTGCTGAGTTTTCTTATTGCCCTTGTGAATCAGGATTGGGTTTTCCATCTCTAAATTTCTGTAGCACCATCCAAATATCATGTGCAGAATCCTCCAAGTTACTCGAGGTTGGTCTTTCAATGGTGGTTGCACTTGGCAGTGGTGGTTGCTTCTTTTCTATTTCCAGTTTGCTCAATTTGACAGTAGGCCCTTATACAGACCTGGAATGGTTAGTTTGATTTCAGAGAATCATTTCATTAAGAGTTGTGTTGAGATTAGACAGCCGAGTTATTTTATAACTCATGACACCTCTTACATGCTCTTCTTGTTCTGTAAAGCACTGTAGTGTGTTTTTCCTGATCTGAAAACATATTTTGGTCTGTTAAGCTTGCTAATATCTTATAAGTACACTAAGGCTTATAATAATTTGATATGCTGCATGAAACAGGGTTTAATTCTCCAGTGAATCCTCTGTTAGGATCAGACTCCTCTTTAATGGTATCAGGACCTATTCAGTATCTGGAAGCATCATTTTTTCTTCAGGCTTCATAAGGATTCTATTCTCATGAATCAGGAAGTATTCAATCCTAAAGCCTCAAGATACGTGGTGTTTGGTCCTTGGAACAGAGCAGTTCATATATTTCATTTTCTGTCACAAGAAATTCAGTTGGACAAATGATTCTACAGTGTCTGTTTTTCTAGAAATTTCAGATAATCTCTTCAGGCTTGGGTTTATACTTGGAGTGATGCATGGTACAAAAATGCACATGGATGAAGTAATTCAAAGCATTATGAAAATTTATATAAATATCTTATGTTATATTATATTATATGCCTGACTGTAGCTGAAGACTGTAAGAGTTTTAGTCCATATGTGCACTTCCCCTTTATGCACCAATAAACATGGAATTCAGAGAGTAAAGGAAATGGGTGTCTGAGGTACCCCAATCTTCTTATATGCATGAAGAGGGGTGGTGGTGTATATGACACGTGCCTGTTTCCAAAGCCTTGAGTGTCTGGTCATAAATACTCTGAGTGTGAATATTCAAAAGAAGGAACTATTTTCTACAAGTAAATCTTCCTTTCCTCTAAGCATGTGTTCATTTCTAATCACAAATGGACTTTTACCTAAGGAGAGGAATGCCAGCACTTTAACCTAGTGTTAATGAAGAATCAGTAAAATTTGTATTTAAAAACAAGCTGGAATTCTGAGAATAAACACATAGAGGCAACAAATCAGTGTGAATAACAATTATAGGACTTTAGTAACTATCAAGTCAAAATATAAGCATAACATGCCACTAAGAATAGGGATATCTCTATGAAAAACAGAATTTGTCCCCACAGAGTAAAAGCCATTTTATTGAACAAAACCTCAGAATGAATGATGGGTATTAAGTAAACTGTAAGGGAGAAGTGTTAGCAAATGAAAGCATAATGTAGACACAAACCCAAATGGATCTACACTAGCTATAAACACTTCTGTGATGGAAAGTGGGAGGGGAGTATTCTTAACCATTGGAAGAACTTTGAGAAAGTCAAGGGGTAGATACCTTTACTGGCAATAGAAGAAAGATATTTGCTTTGTTTTAAGAGGGAAGATAATATTTTTCTATTTGATCTCAACAAGGCCTGGAAAATGTTTCTAGTTTTCAGGTAAATTTCCTAAACTCTGGGCTCAGATGGATTTTTTTCAGTGTCATTGAATGTGTAATGTAGACAACAGAACTGCTTCAAGCAATATGTATTGTGCAGTTCGAAACAATACAATGTTTTTAGAAAGTGTATTCCCAAGTGACAGTGACGATATAGAAATGAAGAATAAATTAAAAGTCTAAATGTAGCATTTAATTTACATGAATGATTATTAGAGTCATGATCAACTAAAAACTTTTCATTGCCGAAAAGGCTGGTATTGACTTGAACGCTAAGTAGATGCTTGTTTTCCACCTCTCAAGAACATCACACTTACCTTGAAAGATCTAAAAGTTGTTTTTCCAATTTGAAAAATCCTGTGCAGTCTGCTTGTGGTTTTTTTTTTTGCTGTTTTACAACTGCCTTGTTGTCTACTGTCATATAGTATTTTACTATAATACATTTTCTGTTGGGATAACTAGTAACATTTAATGTATTTTACTTCCAGCTACACTGAAAGAACTCATATCCCAGACTATGGTGCGCTGGTCCCAAGAAGATCAGATTCAAGATCCTGAATTAGTTCGAATTATGTACAGCCTCCTTCGTAGGCAATATGATAGCATTGGTGAGCTACTGCAAGCTCTGAGGAAAGCATATACTATTAGTGCTGCCTCTGTGAAGGATACCATTAATCTGCTAGCAGCACTGGGCCAGATTCGCTCACTTCTCAGTGTGAGGATGGGAAAAGAGGAGGAACTGCTGATGATTAATGGATTAGGGTATGAAATTAACATAATTTTATTTTTAAGTTGGTGTGAAGCTTTTTGTTATATTAGTAAATTCTGTCATTTTAGATCCTGAATGAAAATTAATGCTGTACTGAAATGAAAATATATACCAGAAATTTTCATTTTCACATATATTTCCAAGGTGGCTCAAACTGATCTCTCTAGCAGTATCAAATGGGTCAAAGATCTGTGAATCAAGGTATTATCTAAAGAAAAAGGACTTTTTTTTACTGTAACTAAGCCTAATGCTTAAACCCTCATCAAAGTACATCTTTTAGCAGCTCTGGAGAAAAAGATCACTAAAATCTTTGTTGGTGTCTATACTAAATCTTTCCCAAAATTAAAACTCATTTTGTATTTCATGCATGATTAAATAAACTTGCTGACGTCTTTTCAATTGGAAATTTGTGCAAGCAGTTAGGTAGACCCAGGAAAGTCGTGTTGTGAACTGAAATATCTCTAACTGGTTAGTATTTATTATTTCACCATCAGTGGCAGCTTTAAGTGTTTGAACATAGGAGACTGCTCATTTTATCCTCTATGGCATTAGAGTTATACAAAATAGCCTTTAAATAGCACCTGATGATGTGAGAATATTTTCCTGAATCTTTGCTGTGAAATTACCTCTGTTAAGCAGTGGTATTATGGTGCATGCCTGCATGCCTCTTAAGTGAATAAATGCTGATCAGGCCATTTAATGTTTTAAGGAAAAAAATCACAGAAAATCAATTACTTTGAATAAAATGGTGTATTTAGAAAGAGAGAAAATGATAGTATGGTTACCTGAGAACTGTATTTATTGGTCTTTCCTCAATAATTGAACAATTGAATTGTTTGAACAGTTACTCTCCTTCATATATATATATATAACAATTGTAGGATATGAGAGATAAAGGGTAGGTTTCGTCTGAACATGGCATGTGTATAGCCAGCTTCCCAGGGTACTGTATTGTGCGTCATCTATTCTCAGTTTTCGGTATTTCTTTACAGTAGGTATGATGCCTGCTCTTTGCCATATGTTTTTGACAGGTTACCTTAAAATATTAGAAATCCCTGGACTCTATTATAATTTAATCTCTGGATTCTATTGAAACATATAAATTGTGTTCTGGATTATGAAACCAATATGGTGAATTCTAGAACATGTTGAGATGATGGTGGACAGAGTGAAAAAGTTAAAATAGTCCTTTTTAATGGGACTGTATGCCATTTCACTTCTTCTAACAGAATCTGGAAATATTGATGAAACACATATAACCGGTGACCTTGAATATTGTCTGTTTATTGTCTTCTACTTTGTGAACTGAGGAAATTAATTGAGAGGTGTTATTACAGAAACATGATTAGATTTTATTTTCTTGATCCCCACTTTGAACAAAAGAATATATTCTTTTCCACTTAGATCATCACAGAATACATTTTTTTTGTTTAAACAGAACTGATAGTAGGAGCAATTTAGAGATGAGAAATGCCATTTTGAAATAATTTAAAAGTTGATATTGTTATTATGAAGAATCCACAGCAATAATAGCATATTGAAATATGAAGTATTTAGTTATCAGGTGTTTTTGTATTATGCTGAAGTCTAAGAATTTGAAATTATGTTACTACAGTGAATGCATGTTTCTGAAATAATGCATCGACTTAAATTAAAATGGTTCTTTTTAAAAACATATTGTTCCTTTTCTTCCATTTTAGGGATATAATGAACAACAAGGTGTTTTATCAGCATCCGAACTTAATGAGAGTCTTGGGCATGCATGAGACTGTTATGGATGTGATGGTGAATGTGCTTGGAGGAGATAAATCTCAGGTAATTTCACCATAAGTTTCTTATGTGTTTACATTTTGAACCTGTCCAAAAGTATACTAGGATGTTTAAGAAGCAAACAATGATATATCGCCCTTGTGTAAGCTAGATTTTGCTTTTCCAAATTAAAATATTCATTAATGATAAAAGTTGAATATGTTTTATAGTACTAGAGAGAAAAGCCCAGCAGTCTAGGACTTGATTTTTAGAAAGTTAGTGAGATGTTGGAGGTGTTTCATTTGTCTTTTGATAGAATTGTAAAATAATTTGTTCTTATTTTAAATTATTAATTAATGGCCAGTCTTCGCGAACGAAGATTTTGGGAAAGGTCTTTTACCTTTCCAGCCTGCACAATGGATTTTTTTGGTGAGACACAGCATGCACTGAACTGAGCCCACCCTTTAATCCTAAGGTTCATCTGCCGGGGCCAAGCGAGCTTAGACGATGGCAGTGAGGTCCTCAGGACGTAGGTTTGTTTAGAGTGACCTTCTCATAGATGGATGGCCTCACAGGGCTGACGAGCTCCATCTGCCCGGGGGACTGGGAATCGAACCTGGGTCGCAGCGGTGAGAGTGCCGCATGCTATCCACTAAGCCACCAGGGGTCCCATTTTAAATTAAATACATACTTTAAATCCATTTATTGGAGGTGTAGCTGTGCTAGGAAAATATGCCTCTTCATCTCAGATGAAGTATTATTGCCAATAAACTATAATAAGGGACTAACAACTAATTTTGAATGTTCGAATTCATGTACTTGAATTGAGCAATAATTTTCTTGCAGTTTTAAGTTCTCCTTTTTCTTAGTGTTATGCTTCAGTATATACGTGTTATTTTAAAGGCAGAGTGGCATAAATTTTGAGGAGCCTAACTGAAAATTTTCACTGCTGAAGAAAGTGAGAAGTAAAGCAGGCTTATTTTCTATTTTCTTTCTTCTCTTTGCTTGTGCTTGATGTCTTTAACCTGTTGCCTCCATTCCAAAAAGAAGGGTCTCCTCTGATCTCAGTATTGCTTATCTACTTTTTTTTTGCTGGGCTACTGATTCTTCTTCTGTATTTGGAACATTTTTCAGCCCATTTTACTACCTTTTGCTTATCCTTTCCCTGTCTGTCAATTTTTCATTAGTTGATTGCCTTCCATGTGCAGCTGCACCCTCCTTTCTTTATCTCTTTGGTCCTATAGCTCATATAATTATCTTAAATACTTATACATTGCATCTGCCTATACAATTGCAGTGTTGCAAAGTATTTGCATCCTGGGTTTAATTTTACCGCTTCATTTCAAGACAAGTTACAATTACTTACAAAATGATTAATACTTTGGCAATTTATAAGTGTTACAATGCTCTGGCTTTGCTACAACTTGTACATATAATCACAGGTGATAAAAAAACCCCAACCCAAAACAACAACCCCACAACGCCTCTAATGCCATTAAAAATGTTTTCATAGAAAATTTTAGTAACAGAAGTCTACAAAAATACTTTCCAGAATTTACCATGACATCTTTCGAAGCAAATGAAGACTTAGAAAATTACTTAGTAACCTTATGTTGCAGCACTAAATGTGTCTGGCCACCCAAAATGTCCTATTTTATGTCTGTCTTTATGAAATTCATGAAGAGAGTTAGGTACCTTATGGACATTTCTTTCTATTCAATGTTATATCTTTGAGAGATGGAAAGAGCAACCACGCAATGTAGTCTCTAGTTTAGGGATTGGGCATTTTTCTAGGTTGTGGTAGCAGATGGTTTAAACTAAATCTCCAGCTTCTTGGAATAAATGATTTTATCATGTGGCTGTATTGAGATGTAGTGGCTCCAAAGGAATGATGGGAAAGTAAAAACTTGTCAGTTCAAACTGAAGAAAATTTATGTCAGGCTTCTTTCTAGATGTGCTATTAATAAATGACTCAAAAACAGAGGAGGATATCTCTGGAATCTGATATGGCTGAAGGTATCTCAGTAACTTTTGCTATTACTGGCTAACAAAATCCTGGAAAGGTACTTTATTTGTGAACTGTATATCCCAGAAAATTATTGGGGAAGCTGCGAACATTTTCATTACATTTAGGTTTTAGTGTGTACCTTAATGCCTAAAATAGTTCTTTTAAAGTCTGTGTCTTTAGATGCTACAATTTTGGAACCTTAATGTCATATGGGTTTGTGATGTTGGTCATTCATTCATTCATTTTCAAAGAATCCCAAACAACTGCCTTTTTGACAGTCAGAATTGAACTATTCTACTTCAAAATTGTTTCCTAATGATTGAAAGTTTTAGAATTCCATACTCATATGTATTCCTGACAATAATGAGGAATTTCTGAAATGACAATTTTTAGCAGTATTGCTGTTACCATAGTTTTCTGAACAAAGTTATGTCACACATTCTGTTAAAATCTCTGTAATCTGAGGAGTGGAAACTTTTTTGAAAGTTTTGATGTATTAAGGAATCCATTTTCATCTACCCTACATTTAAGAACTGGAATGCTAGATAATGCTCCTTGTACATAATAGCTCCTTTATGTTTGAAATAGGCAAATGAGCTGGATATATTAGCAAAACACCTGTGCCAAAGTAAAACTACAATTTATCAAGTCTCCGGAAGTTAAGAAGTGCACCTGTAAGGATAATACATATCATATCACATTTAATTACATAATCACTTTTTTTGCAAGGTTGTTGTCTTGTTAAGTAAAAAGGTTGTACTTAGAATGAATTGGAGTTCTGTAAAGTAACATTTGTTAGACTTCGTTATAATAAAGTATAAGCAGTATTATTTATAGTGTAAAGGTATGAAGTAAAGGAGGGAGAATATAATAGAAATTAAAAACCTCATGATGTTATGATTAAAATGCTCAGATATCACCTTGAATATTATAGAATATATATATATAATATAGAGAACATATTCCTTATTGTGTCTAAAGGATTCAAGCAAGATTATTTAAAAAATAATTCTTCTTGATGGTAATGAATTTTCTCATTAATTTTGTGAGTTTCCTTAGGACATAGGTTTGCAAACGAACTTGATACTTTTTTACGCGTGCTATATAGTGGTAAATTTAATAATTCAGACAGAAAAATCTGTCATTTTGATTTTGTTCTTTCATCTCCTTGTAGTAAAATGTGAGAATGGCACAACGTGTTTATTTCAGATTGTGTATTCTTATTGTAGCATGGGAGGAGAAACTGAGGCTCTTGAATATTCTTTATTCTTCTGTGATATAATATTGCATGTCGAACTTGTTATTGTAAAGCTGCTAAGACAGTGGTTTTGTATAACTGCATTTGCTAGTCTGCAAATTGCTTTAATAAGAATTATTTCTGTATTTTTTGCCCTTATATGTCCCCTATAGTCCTCTGCAAAATGATTTTTCAACATTTTAATAGCCTAATGAACGTGAAAGTAAAAAGGAAATGCAGGTTCTTTTTTTAAGTTAGAACCAAAGCAGCTGTCAGATGCTTATCACCTTGGTAACTTCACTGTAATTTCCTTGTTAGGACTGCAGGAAGAAGAATTGGAACAGATTGGTAATTAACATATTTCACTGCTTTGTCAACTTTCTTCTTCAGCAGATCGCTTTCCCTAAGATGGTAGCAAGCTGTTGCCGATTCCTGTGCTACTTCTGTCGAATTAGTCGTCAAAACCAAAAGGCCATGTTTGAGCATCTCAGTTACTTACTGGAAAACAGCAGTGTTGGACTGGGTATGTCACGTAACTGTAACAGCTAAAAGCAAGAGTAGGAGCAACCGTGATATCACAAGACTAGTGTGATATCTAATCTAATTAGCATAGCAAGTTGAAACATGCTTAAACCACTTTGTGGTTTCACCTATAACTTTTTTTTTATCATTTTTGTTTCATCCTTATGTGTCTGTGAATTGTATTAGAAACAGAATAGTTCCATTCAAAATAGCTGTGATTTGAAATCTAAGATTAAATTGACCCTGCATGGTGTTTGCCTGTTTTGTCTGGTTTCATTTTCCTTGCCTCTGCAGTTCAGGCTACTGAAGTAAATTTCATATTTTTCCTTTGGAACACTGAATGTATGTTTTTTAATGCATGTGCATTAGATTTTGTAATACAAGGAAAATTGTGTTGGCTAGATAGATGGCTATAATAATAACATATAATAAGGCAAGATAGTGTGTGATTTCACAGTGCTTTAGCTGTTCATGCCTGCATTTGACCATAATAAACACAGAAAATGGGAAAAGATTAAAGAAAGAAAACAGGTAACTGAAGCTTGAAATGTCTCTTTTGGCTAAATTTAGGCATATTTTAAAATCTGAAATTGATAGGGTTGTGCAGAATTACATAGTTAACATGTTGCTCTGCTAAAGAAATAGTATTCCTCTGATTTGCTATGTTGTTAATACTGGTTTTTTCATCTGCATTTGAAACCAGTGTGATTGAGTATATTTATAGATATGGATGTCAAGTCAGAAGAAAATTTCAGCGTTTATTTTCACGATATTGAAAACAGTTGACCATATTCCTGAATGAAGAACAACCCTACAAAGTACTATGAATATATTTATGTTCTAGATTCCAGCGAGATCACTGCCCTCTGCTGCATGAATGTGATTACTGCAAACTCAATTTAATTATTGTTTATTGACTTCTGCAGCATTTCCTTCAATGAGAGGTTCGACACCCCTAGATGTTGCAGCAGCCTCTGTTATGGACAACAATGAGCTTGCACTTGCATTGGAGGAGCCAGACCTTGATAAGGTAAGTGGTCACTCCGACCTATTTACCTATTTATTAGATGGTGTACTTGTGCTAGAAGGGTTTAAGAGGGCAAGTTTGATTATAGTAATTCTTGGATATGATCTCCTCAGAAATTCCTACTCTAGGTATGTGCTGTTTTACAGTAAGATTGAATGAGCACGATTTTCCCTGATTTTGCTTTATGCTTATTGGGAATCACAGCAAAAGAGATTTATTTCTATTTTCGGCATCTTTTCACTATTGTTATCAGTTAGAAAAGACGGCAAGAAAAAAGACATGAAACAGGAGAAAGGAATATCAAGAAGCACTGTTTGGGGAGAAAAAAAAATGAGAATTAAGAGGAGAATGTGAAAAAAGGACACAGGTCTTTTGGCTTAAATCATAGAGATTGGTGGGGATGAAGGTTATAGCCAAGAGAATTGAAGGGCAGTTATTTGAAGAGGAAAGATGGAACATGATTTAAAGAGTAGTTGCATTGGGAAACTGAACACAGGTCTCAAGTCATTGGCAATGGTTAAGAATAAAGGGAGATGTGAGGAGAGGCCGGATGAACTAGAAATGGTGGTAAAATATAAAAAAAATCACATGAAAGTTCTTTGTATATTGCAAGAGAAAAACAGATTTAGAGATGGAATATGGGTGCACAGTCAGGAGAGGAGGAAAGCAGGGAAAGGAAGTGATATGTGGTAACACTGCATTGGAGTACAGAAAACAGAAGGCAGCATTTAATATAAATGGAGGGAACAGTTAAGCACTTAAATGATAGCTTAGCACAGGGAAAATCTCTTTGCAGTGTGGCAGAATCCTGTGATGAGAGTGGAATGGGTTGTGAGAGTGTTTGTGATCAGCATGTGGTGTAGGAGAGGAAAAGTTGTGAAATTGGAAGAAATGGGCATATTATGGGGATAGCTAGGAGAAGACAGAGACAAGAATATGAATGGAAAGGGTGTGAGACAGCACGGAAATAAACTGATTAGGAAAAATTAGTGTTGAGAAGATTGATCAATTCTGTATCACCTGCAAAATTGCCTAGAATACGCTCTGCCCTGTCATTAATAAAGAAATTAAATGGTATTGTCATCAACCCTTGGGATACAACACTACTGACTAGAAAACTACCAGTGACTGTCTTATATTTTCATGGATCTATATACCAAATAACAAGAAAAAACTAATACTGTCTAGCTATCAGTTGATGAATGTGGCAGACATACCCTATTCACAGAACGATACAGCATTTCTGTGTGACTAAAGTTTGTACCATAAAGCCTGTGTTCAAAGCAAATAAATTACACATAGGCAACCTAACTTTTGAACTTTTGCCATTGGAAATTTAAACTCTTTTTACTGCAAATGTGTGAATGTGTGGAAGGTAGAGGACTGCAAAAGGAATGTATCTCATGGCCTGATGATATACTGTAGTAAACTGAATAGGTTAAAACTATGTGGCTTGGTGGTAACACTGTAACTTATGAAAAGAGAAGAAAAAGAGATTTATTCTACTGTTTTTATCACATTTTATGTGAGCTGCATTTCACTTATATCTTCTGAATGCATGCTTGAAAACTATCAAGTCCTGTTAGGAATTGCATACTTTTTCCACAGAGTGCTCTGAGTAACTTCCTTACTGCACACTGTCATAAGCAAGTTTTTCACATCAGCCCATTTTCCCTCTGTTGCAGCCTTTTGGAGGCAATTTGTATACTGTATCAGCAGAGATATAACTCTTCTTCCTGAATTCATAACTTTTTTTCTCGTAGGGCATTAGATAATGACTAAGTATAATCTCATCATATATCTCCCTTTTGCCATCCATTCTTGCCTGTCTTCCATTATAAGAAAAATATAGTTTGTACAATTTTTTACAGGTTCGTGAAAGATTCTTCGTGTTCCTTACCTATTTTAAGTGCTATAACCTTGTTGTCCTTTGTGTATTTCAAACGAAAACAAAAATCATGTTTGTACAGTCATCTGCAAATTTACTTTAAGATGAATGAGAAATTATTCTGTATATTTCAGAAATTCAGTTTACTATAATTAAAGAAATTTTTCATAATTTCTTTAAGATTTCTCTTGGTTAAAGATACTCCTCTTGATAAGAAATGCTGTGTTAGGAATTTACATAATACCAAAATTTTTAATCATTCTGGTTTCAGACTCTTAAAACTGTTCATTGATATTTATCAGTCTCTTGCAAAATGGAATTGTTTTCATATCTATTAAAATCAGAATTATAATATATAAAATTTTGATGTAATGTTTCTTTTAACCGTACATGGTTATTGGTCTGATTTTTAAAGTTGTTAAATAGTATTTTAGTGGTTGCTTATGTCCTTTAAATAGGTCTGGAATCTACAATATTTTGTTCTACTTCTCACATTCCACATTTGTTCATGTTTTTGTATTGTTGTGTCATCATATAATTAGGTAACTTCAGAAATAAAGAGTGCTAGCCTTTTTTCATTATCATCAAAAGAAACCATGACTGATAAAATAATGACATGTTGGTAGTTCCTTAGGTGAAATGCCTAGTATATGAAAAATGTTGATTTAAAAAAAAATGCTATGATCTTTTTTTTATGGGTATGTTTAGAAATTTATGTCTGAACACCTGAATAAATGATTGCTTCTGTATTGTAGGTTGTTACCTACCTGGCAGGTTGTGGCTTGCAAAGTTGCCCAGTATTGCTGGCTAAAGGATATCCAGACATTGGATGGAACCCCATAGAGGGTGAACGTTACCTGTCATTCTTACGATTTGCAGTTTTTGTTAACGGTAAGTGTAATTTCTTGGCATCCAAATTCCATCAAAAGGTCTCCTTTAAACTACTTTCCTAACCATAAAAATGTGTTAATGACTGAAGAGAGGTTAATGCATATTCTTCTCATTACAAATGCAAGCTTATTGCTATATGCCGATTATTGCACCTTTTTTGAATCTTCTTAGTTGTAATTTTTTCTTAATCTTTTTGCAAATCACATAAGTTAGCAGATTAACCTGTAATGGTTGCAAATGATGTTAGGAATTTCTCAAGTATTTACATGTACTCCATACACTGGTAATAAACATAACCATTAAGCACTGATTTTAGACCTATCTTGGCCACTAGACCATTGGGAGATTTAGAGGCTTATAATTAAGGCATTTTGCATTACAAAAAGTAAATTTCCATAATCCTGAACAACCGATGTTTGTAAAGCTTCCTTACTGTATCTTACATTTGACATCTTCAAAAAAGATAAAATCTTCTTTGACAATTTGCTTCTGTGGGCAATTTCCTTTTGCAATTTATTAAGTAAATACGTTAAAATCAAATCTGACTTATCTAAACGCCACTCAAGAATATACTTCAGCTTAAGTGAATCTTTTTTTCATCAAAATAGTAATTTAGATTAGAGATTAGATGAGACCACAAGATTAATCAGTGTACCACCTGTTTTGTCTGCCAATATGGAAAGTGTTTTAGGGGGCAGCTAGGGGAGGGAAAGGGAAATAATTTTAAACAGTATAAATAAATGCTAACAGTGCTCTGTAAAATTAGATGAAAAAGCTCTGGTCTTGCTTGTGATAGTTTATTTAGTATGAAGAGTAAACTTTGATGGATGGACTGCTAGTCAGTAGAATCAAGTTTTAATTTTAAGTGTTTCAGTTTTTTATTTCTGAAAAACAGTTCTGGTTGGGGTTTTGAATCTTCTCATTATTACGGTTCAGCACTTTTGAAATTAGGTTAGTAATTTCTTAGTAAAATGCGGGTTTTGAGATAAAAGCAACAAACACACTTGTAAACACATGAATGAATTTTGGTTCTGGCCAATGAATCCTTGGAATAAGCAAAGCCTCTTTCTTCAAGCAAAATTCTTCATTAACTTGATCTATGAGGTAAATTGAAGCAGACTGCAAGATATTAAAGCTATTTTCAACAGTTTGATATCCAATCAGAAGGGATATGAAAAAGAAATATATATACAGAGAAGGTCAGAATAAGAGTCTAATGACAAATGCAGTGTACAAGCAGTTGAAAATGTGGACTAACAACTCTTTATGAACTTTTATTGACTTCAGTAGAGTGACATTAAGGATTAATTTCACCTTTGTTCTTGAAGCGAGTTTCTTTCCTGTACATTCTAAATTAAAACTACCTTCAAGGGTTTTTTTCTGATATGTTCTTTCTTTTGCTAGAAATTGCAATTCTTACAAAATGGTGTTGTTTCAGGCAAGCCGTTTTCTTCATAGCAAGTTGTTTAGTGCTGCACTTCATGATTAACAGTGTTGATAACGTGCCAGTCTTTTGAGTGTTGCTGAGCAGTGTTTGTGCAGCATGAATGCTTTCTCCTTTGTTTTCATACACTGCCCCTTCCCCTCCTTCCCTGGCCGCAGTTAGGTTCAGGATGGGCAAGAGGTGGACACAGGTGGGACAGCTGGTCCAGACTACCTGAAGGGATATTCCATACCATTGTGCTCTGCAATAAAAGCTCAGGGAAATGAGGAGGAAGAGGGGAACATTTGTGATTATGGAACTTGTCTTTCCAAACAACCATTATGTGTACTGGGGTCCTTTCTAGGAACTGGCTAAACATCTGCCTGGGAAATAGTGAATGAATTTATCTTTCTGCTTTGCTTGTGTGGTGGATTAACCCTGGCTGGATACCAGATATCCACCAAAGCTGCTCTATCAATCTGAGGTTTCCCATGGGTTCACAGCCTTCTTTCTCACCTGCTCCAGTGTGGGACTCCTCCATGGGCTGCGGGTGGATCTCTGCTCCCCCACTGGCCCCCATGGGCTGCAGGGGCACAGTTGACTCATTGACTCACCATGGTCTTCACTGCGGGCTGCAGGGGAACCTCAGCTCCAGCACCTGGAGCACCTTCTCCCTTCCTTCTCCACTGTGTGTCTGCAGAGTTGTTCATTTCACCTCTCTTCTCTGGCTACAATTACATCTGCACAATAACTTTTTTCTCCTTCTTAAATATGTTACCACCATTTCTGATTGGCTCAGCCTTGGCCTTGGCATTGGCTCTGTCAAACCTGGTGGAAGCTTCTGGCAGCTTCTCACAGAAGCCACCCCTATGGCCCTCCCTGCTGCCAAAACCTGATCATGCAAACCCAATACAGCTTGCATGCATGGCTTTCCCTTTCTCTACTAGAAAGTCATTATCTAAATCTGTGAGTCATCACAACTTCCTTCTATTTTCTCCCTGTCCTTCCCACCCACCCCAATAGCAGACTTCTGGCCTCTTGGGACTGTTAACCATTATACCAGAGAGATTAGTCTTTGCCAGAAAATTAACCTTCCAAAGTGAACTGTTCTAGATTGAACAGTTTTAGTGCAGTAAAACTTCTGCAAGGCAAGTCTACACTAGCGCTTTTAAACCTCAGTACAATTTTGATAAAGCGTATCCAATGATGCCAACTTAATACATTTTTAATTTCAACTATTAGGATGAGGATTTGTTTTATATTTTGTAAAATTTAGGAGAAAAATTAAGTTTTCTTCTGACTTAAGGATACCTTTCTGGAGAAAGTTTGTATAGTGCTTTTTGGTCCTCAGGTGAAAGCGTCGAGGAAAATGCAAGTGTTGTTGTCAAGCTCCTTATTCGACGGCCAGAGTGCTTTGGGCCAGACCTTAGGGGAGAAGGAGGAAATGGTTTGCTGGCTGCTATGCAGGAAGCTATCAGGATCTCAGAGAATCCTGCTCGTGACCTTCCTTCCCAGGCATATAAAAGAGAAGGGTAAGTAAATGTGAAAGCTTGTTTGGCAAATGGTGATTTCATAGCAGATTCAATCATGCTTGCAATAAGTGGATAACAGACCCTGCTGTGTAAGGCATTATACAAAAATAGAGCATTGGAGATTCGCACCCACAAGCAGTTGTCATATGGAATTCATAAAGCATGAGCTGGATAAAAGTGAAATGAGAGTTACAGAGAGAGAGAAAAAGCCTGATGGACAAAGCAAAGGAGACGGCTGTTGTGGAATGAAGCTAAGGTTAAGGTAAAGTAAAAGAGGAACATAGAAGGGTCGTGTAAAGTCACCTATTACTGTTCAGTTGCATGCTTACTCTAGGGATAAAAACCCTGTAGTCCAGAGCCAAGGAGAATTGAGTATGTCTGTTAACGGTCTCTGGATCGTGTCTCTAGCTCCAGAAAAGAGCTATAAACTTACATTAGCAAAAATGCTCACTGTTATTCTCTACTTTTTAGTGATGAGGAGGAGGAGGAAGAGGAGACTGTGCACATGGGTAATGCAATCATGTCATTTTACTCAGCTCTCATAGATTTACTTGGACGCTGTGCACCAGAAATGCATGTAAGTTCCTTTTGTCACTTGCTCAGAAAATGTAGGAGATTTGTAAACATAATTGTACATTTCTAACTAAACCTTTCTCTATTTGAAGAGTTCTTCCCTTCAGAAGGTAGACTTTATTGCTTCTTACTGTGTCTGGATAAATTGATTCCCTGCAAGCTGTTTATAAAGAATCATGGTCTTTTGATTCCTTTATGCTTTTTATTTATCTAAAGTTTTGATTATTTTTATATGACTATGGAATAAAAGCAAATATGAACTTCTAGTGTTGCACAATTAAACAACCAGTCTAATAACAATTTCTGAAACTCACCCTTTACGGTTCTCTACAAAAGCATAAAAATAATTTTCATAAGAATGTGATACAGAGCTGCTTTTGTGTGCATTGATGAAATATGGTTCCCACACCAAATAAAGCTATTAACGTTATTAGCTGTACATAGCTCTGTTGCCAGAGACAGTAGTTCTATGTTAAGAAAATTACTGGTAGAGTTGTACAGGCTATGAATACCTGATTTCTGGAAGAAGTTGAAAGGAATTGATCACCTAATTGTTGTTGATGCCTTTTGAAATTTTTGTGGCATAGAAATAATAGAAAAATGCGTAGCCACATCATGCAGATTTGCATCTGTTTGTAGTGTAAAGAAGCAAGCTCAAAACCTGGCACCTAAGATTCTGCAGTTAACATGAGTATTTCAGTAAGTTTCTGTTTTATCACCATATCTGATTGGTTTAGAAATCTTTTCACTGTGGACTTATAATATTGTGAAATCATTGATATGATATTAAAATAAGAACAGATGCAAAAGGAGGAACAGCTGAAAATTGGCAACTTCATTAGAGTTTTCAGATAAATTGAATTTCTGTGAATTTTCTTCCAGTGTTTGAAAAAATCATATTAATATAAATATTTTGAGGAAAATTTTCTTATGTCCATCAGTACTAAATTTCTAAATTGATAAACTTTTTCTAACAGCTTATTCAAAGTGGAAAAGGGGAAGCTATTCGAATCAGATCTATCCTTCGATCTCTAGTGCCAACTGAAGATTTGGTTGGGATTATAAGTATACCACTAAAGCTGTCAACAGTTAACAAAGGTAATGACAATACTTTTATTAGACTAGTAATCTTTTATAAAAGTCTTTTGAGACATTAGCATTCAAGTGTAAAATAAAGTGGTTTTGTTAGAGTTAAATATAAGCAGAGAACTGTTCTTCAAATTTTAATTAGATCTGTATCGATTAGAGCTGCTCTAGTAGCACAGATGTTTGCTCCTGTGGATCAGAGAATGTAAGAACATAAGAAATACTTTACAAGATTACACTAATGGGCTGGTACTTTGTCTTCAGCAGTGGCTGTAGAGATGCTACCACTTTAGGTAAAATGTGTGAGCTTAGGCTCAGTCTCTTTGTATTTCCACATCATCCAGTCATTTGTTTAGAAAGATCAGTGTATCTCTCTGCCTATCAACATCTGGTTTTGGATGTGGAATCCAAACGTATCTAATCTCTTTAGAATAATGTCTCTAGTCACCCTTTTCTGATGGTGTCCAATATCTTGTTGACTCATTTGGCTGCAGCCACACATTGAGCTGATGATATCACAGACTTTCAATGATGACCTCTGGATCTCTTTGTAACGTCAGTTACAAGCTCAACATCATGTAGGCATGTCTTATTTTCCTGCAGATGCATTAATTTGGAATTGTCTGCATTGAAGTGCATCTGTCTACTTGCCCAATCAGTTTTGTTAATGATTTATCCAAACAGAAGACTTTAGTGTTGTATACAGACTTTTAAGCTCCTTTTTTTGCTTCCTACTATAGGTCACTGATGACTCTCAGTATAGAGTCCTGTTTGTCCTTGCTTGATTAAAATGCCACACATGCATATTGCATTTTAATTACTTTTGCTGTTTCTTGGAACTGTGCTGGTTATTTCTTCCATGACTTTTTCAGAGGAAGTGAAAATCAGGCATATTTGCTTCTGGATTGTCTTGATCTGAAGAAGATGCTCCCCTATACCTATTGTCTTTCCCCCAGTTTCTAGGTATAATGTTCCACTCTGATCTCTGATGCCTGATTTCTCTTTTATTAGTCACAGAATCACAGATTATGCTGAGTTGGAAGGGACCCACAAGGATCATCGAGTTCAACCCTTCCAGTCAGCTGGGACCTCTCCAGATTCCCAAGACTGCTCAAAAATCATCAAGAGAGGTTTTGTGATGACATTAGCAGCTCCTTGAGGATTCTGGGATGAATCCCATCAGACTCCATAGATTTGTAGGGATCCAGCTGCAGCAGCAGATCCCACAAAATTTCAGGGTCAACTGGGAGTTGATGAGTCTCGCAGTCATGGTCCTCCAGCTAAGGGCACTGAGATCCCATTGGTCTGTTATCAGTGTTGAAGACAGAGGCAAAGAAAGTGTTGAAGACAGAGGCAAAGAAAGTGTTGAAGACAGAGGCAAAGAAAGTGTTAAATACCTCTGCCTTGTCTCTGTTCCTGTTTGTGAGGTGACCATCCTCACCCAGTAATGGGCTGATGATATTTCTATACTGGCATTAATATATTTGAAATATGTTTAATATATTACCATTAATGCATTTGAAAAAACTCTTTTTATTGTTCCCTAACGTTTCTGGCCAGCTTCAACTCCAGCTGAGCTTTGGCTGTAGGAGTTTTCTCCTGGCAAGCAGCATCTCTGAATTCTTCCCATGTCACTTGTCCTTGCTTCCACTGAGCACACACTTTCCTTTTTTGCCTTATCTCCAAGAGAAGATCCCTGCTCAGCCAAACCAGCCTTCTGCCTCATCTGCTTGACTTCTGATATTAGGGAATTACCTTTTGTGTCCTTAGAAGATGATGTTTGAAAAGTGACCACCACTAATGGACCTCAGCACCTGCAAGAACACTTTCCCAGGGGACCTTACTTTCTAATTCCCTGAGCAGCCTGAAGTCTACTCTCCTCATATCCAGAGTAGAGATTTTGCTGGCAGTCTATTTCTGTACTTGTTCATCTTGCCCCATAATGATTCCCTCGTTTATAATCAAACTGACTAAATCCCTCTTCTCTACACCACAATCTCACCCATCCTTTGAGATTTTGATACTCTACTTCGATATCTCTGCCTGCCTCATATAAGGTCCTCCTGTGAAGTATAGACAAGTTATCATGGAATTCTCTTAAACGTCATGAAGCCACTCAGCTTAGTGCATAATACAGCAATCTCCCCCTTCCACTGCCTGCTGCTTCATATCCTTGGCAACCCTGTCTACCACCAGGGAAGCCTCTGTGCAAAGGGTGGAGTGGTTCTTCTCTTAAGATGTTATCTTTCCTTCCCAAGTAAATATCCAAGGTATCCCAGGTAAACTATCCAAGACTTACCACCTAAGTACCTCAATGGTTGCTGCTATGGGGTTGAGGCTCAGCTGCAGTGCTGCTATCCTGTTTCTCTTACTACTCTGATTCCTCTTTTCTCTCCTCTGGGGAATGAGACTATTCTCTGAAGACACAAACCTTGTGTACTGTGTGTGTACACAGAAGACCTGAAACCAGGGTGTGGATCTGCTGCTCTCTCTGCATCAAACTGTGTAGCTCCATATTTGTACCTGGATCCCTATCTATCACTGAGGTTGACTGACTTTTTGTCAGTGGAACTAACAGCTTCCTTAACACTTTCCGTTAAAGGCAAGTCAGTGAAGACTTTTTTCACCCTCTTTACTCTGGAACTCAAAACCAATTCAGAATCAGAATTCAGACTACAGAGGTGTATTGATCATAGTGTTCTTGCTTCTTAGGTGACTGTTGATTCTTTCCTAGACGTGATCAATATGGTTATTCAGGGTGGATTTATTTCCACAAGATAACTTCCAAAGTAACCATAAAAACCAAAATTTTCTGTAAAGCATAAACTCAACAGAGGATGAGGGGTTTTATGGCATTATGATCTCCATGTTTCACATTAATTTCTCCGTGTTCCATGGGCTATAAACTACCAGTCTTCCATTTTCTTCCAGGGCAAAATAATTTATTCTCCTTTCTGTCCTTTCTGCTTCACAAGAATTGTGTTTACCCCTTTTCAGTCAGAGATGTTTTATCAGTTGACATCAGTCAATAGCAGTTGTTATTGTCATCTTCCACTTGGATTCCATGTTCATTCTAGTCTAGTTTACATGAGAGAAAAATTAAACTTCTTAACCTTCTTTGACTTCACAATTGCTGTGTTTTTTTGGTATTTGCAGTAATACTTATTTTTAATTTTACCATGTAAGTGTTCTCTGTAATAGTAATGAAACAAGTTGAATGTTTTACCATTCATTTCTAAGCTTTTAAGAGTGAAAGATTAATAAACTGCAAAATAATAGGGTTTTTTAAATAGTAAAAACTTACTATTCTTTTTCAGCGTACAAGAAAACTGAACAAGAATATAATTTTCTTTGAATATGTGATTTTACACACTAAATGCAATTATAGCATCTTTTATTGTCTTGGTATTTCTTGTTTTATCAGTTATCTACTATTAAAATTTGTGTTACATATTTGTGTAGATGGTACAGTAAATGAACCAGACATGTCTGCAAGTTTCTGTCCTGATCATAAAGCACCCATGGTACTCTTCTTGGACCGTGTCTATGGTATTAAGGACCAAAGCTTCCTCCTTCACCTACTGGAAGTTGGATTTTTACCAGATTTAAGAGCCTCTGCCTCTTTGGATACAGTACGTATTTTGCTAAGGAGTTTAGGTGCAGTGGATAGCTATAGTGGCTCTCTAAGTGTAAAAAAATGGAATTTCAAGTCAAAACTGCTTTTTTAAATAAAGGTATTATAGGCTCGCTATAAAACAAAACCAATATTAATTCAGTTACTACTAATTTATAGTGCTTAAGTCTGATTATAAGCATACAGTAGCACCTTATGAAGCAATAATGTAAAGTAGTTTAAAAACTTTTAATACAGGTTGTACAGTAATGAAATAAATAGATTGAGTATACTGTAATAAGCCTAATGATTGCTTTTATTTTATGTGTACTTCCAATAATTACACTGAAAATCCATATGTATGAATAAATTAAGTGAGATGAAAAGTAATACTTACTGTTTAGTGGGTTTTTCTAACCTTTTAAAGAAAGAATCCACATATTCTCTTCTGCCACTATTGGTTAAAAGTGCAGTGGGGCAAGACATAGGACATAAGTGGATGACTTGGATTTTCTCTAGTTGAGAAAAAATGGCTTTTGTCTTCATGTGTATACTGGGAATATCATGTTAGCACCCAGCCACTAAGGGAACTTAAGGAGTATTTAAGTATTATGTTTCATAGACTTCATATTTAATAACCTTTACTCAGTGTGATACTAACAATCATTTACTACTTCATACAGGTTTCTCTAAGTACCACAGAGGCAGCTCTCGCGCTAAACAGATACATTTGCTCAGCTGTGTTTCCATTACTCAAAAGATGTGCTCCCCTCTTTTCTGGAACAGAGCATCACTCCTCTCTGGTTGACTCCATGCTTCACACAATATATAGGTTATCCAAGGGACGGTCCCTTACAAAAGCACAAAGAGACACTATTGAAGAATGCCTGCTTGCTATTTGCCAGTATGTATGACACCTGTGTACAGATTGATTTCTTTTGTGCAGAATATGTATTTTAACAATTTCTTTCTTTGTGTATAGTGTAGAACTAAGATTATTTTATTCTTGCATGAAATAAATGACCATTGTATGAGACAATTTTTCCTCTGAAGAAAAAATACATTTAATTTTTCCATTCTGGGTACTGCACTATAGAGGCTGTCATGTTGATATGAGGCTTATGGTGATACAGAATAAATTCTGATTATTTGTAAAAACAAAACCCCAGTAATTACCAAAAATGTTCGGGCAAGTGTGACTCTGTGTGTTGAGGTCTTAAGGGGTCAATGTGTTTGTATTCCAAAAACAACTCCTAAAGCTGGTCCTAAAGCTGAACTGAACACTGAGGAATTGAACCTTAGCAATTGAAATGTTGATTTGGCTTTCACTTAAGAGGGCCAAGAAGTAGCATAACTTTCTGTGCTATATCATTCTATATGCAGATGAGATTCCTTAAGCACCTACCATTGCTTTTACAAAATACTTTTAATGAGTGTTTTGTATCCCAATACGTAAATTCAATTTTTATTTCATTTTTGCTGAACTGTATGACATTTACTAATAACATTTTTTAAAATTACAGCCACTTACGTCCCTCTATGCTACAACAGCTGTTGAGAAGGCTAGTTTTTGATGTGCCCCTGCTCAATGAATACTGTAAAATGCCTCTTAAGGTAAATACTTTCTGTACATGCATTCAGCATGAAATTTCAAAATAAACTGTTGTCATCATGTTTTTAAAAACAGAAGAGGCAGGGTGAAGCAATGTGAAATTAATTCTCAAGATAATGTAAACATTTTATAAAGTCTTTTGAATTTAATGTAATGTTTGCAGATTTTTTGAAATCTTGCCTAATGTAAACAGTATATAGTAAGTTGATTATGCAATTTTGTTTAGTAAACTGTTGACTTTCTCACTACTTCAGCAAAAGAGTATTTGAATTTATCAAATTAAATGTTAGTGTTATCTCAATATCTTTTCTGCTGCTATATGAACTATAATAAGTCTTGGTAGGATGCACAGTCCAGGAATGAATTCTGAGTGAAATCTAAGAGACAGGACACAGGGAAGAAAATTGACCTTTTATTTTTGAACAATCTGTAACAGAAGTCTTATTCATTTTCTTGTTCTGTAAATAGAGAATTAAAAATCTGAGATGATAAATAAATCTTATTTAAAACTATTCTGACAGGTTTGCTTTCCTTTCACATTTGATAAAAGAGCATGATCTTAGGTCTTTAGGTCTTATGGAAGAATTGAAATTCTATCATACTCTAAAGCTGAGCTGCCATATTCACAAACATACTCTGGAGCAGCATTAATTTTTTCTTAAAAATGAGGTGAAGAGGGAGTGTTTGATTTGGGTTTTTAACTATTATTTTCCCTTCCTAAACAGAATTGCAGTAAAAACCAAAATGCTAAATGATAAAAGAAATTTTAAAATTTCCCATGGGATAGGAATTTTTAGTTCTAAAGAAGAAATCAGTGGCAAGTGCATCAATAATCAGTATACTAGCTCTTTAACTGGTATATTACAGATTGCCTGTATGATAATTCTTTCCATCAGTTTTTCCAAAGAGCAGCCAGAGGTAAAAGGGCGTACTGTGGGTGTCTTTTGCAGTGTTTTGAATGACACTGAGGCCATCAGCCGCAAATGACAGGAGTAAAATCAGTTTGAATTGGTAAAAGTTTTTATCAGAATCTGTCATGTCCTAGTTCATACCCATTTCATTGTCTCTGTTTTTATTCTGTGAGCTAATCTGTACTCAAATGGTGACAATTCTGAAATTTTACTTTTCCCTGTCATCACTAAGAATTCCACAGCAACAGCTGGAGATAATACAGGCTTTATATTTTCACAATATGGGCTCTGCTGCTCTCCCAAAATGAAAAAGAAAAAAAGGACCTTTATTATGAGCCACTGGAAATGAAAAGGCAGAGACAAATAATACTACTCTTGTAACAGTTTAATATAACAGCTTGTTATTTTGTTAAATACCAATGTTTTACATGCATTTTTATCTCTTGAAAATCTAGCTTCTGACAAATCACTATGAGCAGTGCTGGAAATACTATTGTCTGCCTTCAGGAATGGGAAGCTATGGAATTGCAGCAGAAGAAGAATTACATTTAACTGAAAAACTTTTCTGGGGAATATTTGATTCCTTGTCTCATAAGGTAATGACTGCCATTCGCATTACAGTATAGGGTGACCGTAAAAGCATTACAGTGATAATTTGCTGTGCCAAGAGCAGAAAGTTCCTATTTTGACAGTTGTTTCATCTAATATGGGAGATACAGCAATGTCTGCTTTTAATGAAGTGAAAAATTGAATGCTGAATCTTGAAAGATTCTCTCCAAACCAGTGAAATGTCAAATCTTTATCTTGATATACCCATAAGCTTTACACCAGTAATGAGGCAATACATACACATTTAATATATATATATATATATATATATAAAAATGCATATATATGCACAAGTAATGATTAGTGCTTGCTGCACTGTCGGTGTTGTCTCCTATCTTAGCTCTACTAAATATTTGTACATACTTTTTACTGACATAAAATTAATTTTAATAAATATATGTACGTGCTTATCAAATTGTTGGTATATGCACAGTAAATTTATATTGTCTGTTTTCTAACACGTACTTGTATTATTTTAGTTTTCTGGCTATTGCCCAGCCTAGGAGACATGATGCAACATTCTATGAAATAAACATTTTTCCATTTTCATGTTCCAAAGTGTGATCTTGGGATTTTTTAACTTACTCAGTTTTCTCTGAGTAGGAAAAAGTTGCATTTCTGGTGGGAGAAATGCCCTACTGAGTAAATACTTTTTGTGCTTGATTGGGCTCAAAAATCAAGATCTCACTAGGACAACAACAAATATTTTTTATTGCGTTTCACTTATGTTCCCATTCTAAGCAACAGATTTAGATGATTGCTCCTCTAGGCATTCTGATTTATAATATGGAAATGAAGATGATATTTGCATTATTCTGAAATGGTTTTTAAGCTTTATTTGTATTTGATTTTAGCAACATTTACCTCTCTCTTACTGCTTTCACAAGCACAAGGGGTACCAGGAGGGTCTGACACAATGAAACGTTTCCAATTAGTGCATCTTAGCTTTTAACAAATAAATGAAGATATGTTTCTGCCAATATTGGTGGCTCACTATAATAGCATTTTCACTTTTCTGCAAATGGCTATTAGCCCAGTGAAAGAAGAGTTGTATAATTCTGTGATCTTCTGAGCTACGGTGTTCTCCACTGTTCTGTTTTGTACCAAGATTACTAGAAATAATGAACTGACTTTGCTACAGTAAAACAAAATTTCCTGTAATGAGTATGTTTTAAACTGAAATAGTTTGAGGGGAAAGAGTGTTAAATAAAAATGGCTTCTGCAGTTAAGATAGGAAATAGTAAATTTAGAACTAAGACATGATTTTATAGATGATCATACTCTGTAACAAGGTGAACAACTCTTGATCCCTCCTATGTAGGCCTTCATGGCCCAAAGGAAGCTTGAGTCGTACTCATATTGTACTTACACAGTGTCAGCATACTCTTGTGTAATTTGTGTAGTCTTAAGATTATGTGAAGTTGATATAATGAAAAATAGATGTCATGCAGCAATAATTTTGCTCTATGCTTAAATTTTAAGTGCGCTTTACTGTGTGTTTGCATCTTCTAATGTTTGTGCATATGGCGGCTTGGTTTTCACTAACATTTTGCATGTTTTTCTATTGGATTTTCCAACCAGTTCCTATCTCTCCTGCAGAAGTATGATCCAGAGCTCTTTCGAATGGCTTTGCCCTGTCTAAGTGCTATAGCTGGTGCCTTGCCCCCTGATTATTTAGATACACGAATCATGTCAACTTTGGAAAAGCAGACTTCAATGGATCCAGAAGGAAATTTTGATCCCAAACCTGTCAGCACAGCAAAGTGAGTCATATAAATCATAGTGATTTCCTTTCCTTAAATATTTTTATACTATTCCTTATTAACATTTTTTTCTTATCTGTAGGAAGAGTTGGCTAGTGACAGACTGTTGGTGATATTAGGACCTCTCAGAAGTAGTGTAGGGATTATTGCTTCCTCCTGCCAAATACTTCACTACAACATATCCTGTTTACATAAAATGTATTCTTCTCAGCACTGCACAGATATTAAATATTTTCATGTTATGTCTGCACAGTACGTAGTGAATTCTATATTTATTATGTACCCTATTGTCTAATTGGGATATGTGCATTTGATACCATAAGTATTTAGAGTGTGTTTATGGCAAATGGTACAAGATCATCAAAATCTGGTAGGTGATTCAGTTGGCTTATTGCCAAATTTTTGTAAAATCTTCACCTTATGTTGAGAATTGATCTGTAAAAACCTGACATGGCAAAATAAGCAGATAATGTAGGATGATTTAATAGACATTTGACCTTCCAAGTAATTTTGTACTTTTAAAATACAGATTTCTAATACTTTTTAATTCAAGAATTGAGGATCGCTAGCTGAGTCTTGCTATTAAAGTCTTTCTCTTCCATCGTTATGCAATGTGTAACATCCATGTTAATATTATTCTGTATTAAGAATTAGCAACAAATTTACCAGTAGATTAGGGTGAAGCAGGTTTTAATTGCTAATAAGTGCAACTGTTATGTATTTGAAGATTCTCTGTAAATGCCCTTATAGCTCTACCTTTTTTGTGACATATCTTCTAAAGAAAAGAGAATTACAAAGCCAAATGTCTCACCTTCATCTGGAGGTGAAGTTTTTTGACTAGTGTTATATTATCCAGACATTTTTTTCGTAAGTCAGACTGCTGTAAGTTATGAATAAATGACCATGCTCCTCTTCGTTTACAGCCTTGTACTTCCTGAAAAGTTGGAGTACATCATAAGCAAATATGCTGAACATTCCCATGATAAATGGGCGTTTGATAAGGTAGGAATTATTTGAAGACTGGCAACTGTCATAGAAGGACTAGTAAATAATACCTGGGATAAATATTGAAAGAAATACTGGACAGTTTAACTGATAGGTCTTTGTTCAGAGTGTATGAATGTCTACATATTTATTTAGGATATATGGAAGAAACTTTTTGCTCAAGAGAATGCCTTGGAATTTGTCACTTTTTCAAAGAATGTATTGGGATAAACATCATAGAATCATAGAATCATCGAATCAACCTGGTTGGAAAAGACTTCTGAGATCATCAATCCAACCCTTGATCCAACACCACCATGGTTACCAGACCATGGCAATAAGTGCCACATCCAGTCTCATCTTAAAATACCTCCAGGGATGGTGAATCCACCACTTCCCTGAGCAACCCATTCCAAAGTCTGATTACTCTGTAAAAACTTTCTTCCTAATATCCAACCTAAACCTCCCCTGGCACAGCTTAAGACTGCGCCCTCTTATCCTGCTGCTGGTTGCCTGGGAGAAGAGACCTCCTTTCAGAGAGTTGTAGAGATTTATGAGGTCTCCCCTGAACCTCCTCTTCTCCAGGCTAAACAACCCCAGCTCCCTCAGCCTCTCCTCATAGAACTTGTGCTCAAGTCCCTTCACCAGCCTCATTGTTCTTTTCTGGACCTGCTCCAGCACCTCAATATCCTTCCTGAACTGGACACAGTACTCCAGGTGTGGCCTCACCAGTGCTGAGTACAGGGGAAGAATCACTTCCCTGGTCCTGCTGGCCACACTGTTCCTGATACAGGCCAGGATGCCATTGGCCTTCTTGGCCACCTGGGCACACTGCTGGCTCATGTTCAGCTTCCTGTCAACCCAAACTCCCAGATTTGAGGTGACTGAAGAAGGGGTGTTTGGTTTGATTTTCAGGTTTTTGGGGTTTGTTTTTTGGTTTGGGGTTTTGGTGTTGGGTTTTTTGTGGGTTTTTTGTTTTTTGTTTTTTGTTTTTTGTTTTTTTTAAGTAAGAATATATAGTTCTTGGCTTCATTTTACCCGGTAATGGTAGGTTTTGACTAGGAGTCAGAGATTCAATTTTACTGCAGCAGCTCCATGATCTAAGAAAGTACAGCCTAATGTCATTTTTTTGATCAGAAAAAGTAGTTATAGCTTTTCTTTCTTATTAGATTTAAGAAGACTGTTATGTATTAATTATATCTATAGTTTCCCAAATGATCTGTCACTGTGTTGTGTTTCTGTTCCACTAGTTCTACACAGCTCTAAGACAAGACAATAAATTCTTAAACAATTTCTTATAACAATAACAAATGAATAGCAATTTTATGGTATAGTTATATAAAATAACAATTCTGTTGTTTGGGGGCTAGGTATGCAAATTTGTAGAGAAAATTACACATATATATGGCTATGTAAATATACACATATTAATTTCAAACCATAAATGTCAGTTAATATTGTTTAATGTAAAGGATTCATCACAGTTATATTCTTTAGTGCTTAATCTGTTAATGTTACCTATTCTTCTCTGTGTTTTTCACTTTAGCCTCCCAAAGAATTGAGGCAATCTTTTTTGCCTCAGTCAGTACTTTTTTAATGCATGAGTCCACTTGAAGGGAGCCAATGTATATTAGGCTCAGAACTGGTGTCATAAGACCTACTACTCACAGATCGCACCTTCTCAGGGCATGATTTGTTCCTGTGTATCCACATATGGTTGCATGCTCTTTTTTGAGGAACTGAGCAACTATGGGAGTAGATAAGTAGTTTGATATGACAGAGTAAACTGGCTAATTTGCTGTCACTTATCTATGTTGTTCTCAGCTTATTTCAGTGGTTTTTTGGTTGTTTGGTTTTTTTTCCAGACAAATAGTGGATGGAAATATGGCGTTTCTCTGGATGAAAATATGAAGACTCACCCATTAATAAGACCTTTCAAAACTTTAGCTGAAAAGGTAATAGAGGAAATTTCAGCTGCATTAACATGAAGTAGATTGATTTGTTTGCTTTTTAAAATCTATTTCAATTATATGATAGAAAAGGAAGAAGGACAAATAGGTACATCTATATGCGGAAGTGATTGTTTAGTTAATCTTACATTGAATCTTGTATGACTTGCTTCCATTACACATAATATTCATCGTTTCTTCATAGGCCTGCACCAATTTATATTCAAAATATCAGTAGCACAGTTTTTTCAGGCTTCCATGGATGAGGAATGGCAGCAACTCCTGGGTTTTAGATGAAAGTGTAATTTAACATATCTGAAGGCAATTTTGTCCTCAAGAAGGATGGTAGAAAAATGTAAAGAATGTGTAGAGGATTCAGTTGAAAATGGAGAAAAACATTTAAATTATTTAAAATGCATTTTTATTTGAATTTCTTGACTAGGCACGAATGTCTTCTAGTTGTCAGAACACTGAACTGAATTTGAATTCTGTTTCTTATTTTTGCAATGATTCACTGGGAGACAAAAATAAATCAATTAAATTTGTCCCCCTTTACCATGGTTTTCCTGTTCAGAAAATGGAGATGACAAAAATCAAGAGGGATTCAAAATGTTTAGTTTCCTAAGGTTTGTAAATTGCTTTTCAATCTTTGGAGAGGAGCCAAAGCATTGTTGGTTGAGTTGCCATTTAAGCAGTTCAAAGAGAATTTTCTAAATTGTCTCAAATTAGAACTTTTTTGAACCTAAAAATCAGGTCCATATATAAAAGCTGCTATGTTAAGTAACTGTCAGGAAAATTCTAATTTATGTCATGAACTGAAATACTTTAATTAAAATTTATTTGAAAAGTCTTAATATGGTATACTCTGAATTTTCTTTGTCACAACTTTTCAGAATTTCTGCAACACCTTTACTTTTCAAAGGGGTGTTGCAATACAGACTGTTCCCTAATTTTTTTTTGTCAGCTGTGTTTATATGAAGAGGTGTATAGTTCAGTAATGTTCTGTATCTGTGAATGGATACAAATATAGAAAGACTAAAAAAAGGCCTTGAGTGCTGATGTATTCAAATGTGCATAATTGCTTAAATAATTTCATAGCACTCATAGTACCACCAATTTTTTATTATTTTGTGCTGGAGGAATCAATGAGTAAGTTTCCAGATCTAATCAACATTATTGCTCCAGAGCTCCTTGCAGTGCTGTTAGTTTCTAACACATATCCCAGCAATAAGTGACACTAAGAACTGAATAAAAAAAATGATATTTCAAAGCTTCCATCTCATGAAAAAAGAACGATATTGTATGTTCTCATATAATACACAAATTTTACATACTTTTGTGGTATGTGACAATTTATATAGAAGGACAGAATATTTTTATTGAGTTCTCACTACTTACTAAATACAGAGAGATTTTGCATTTTTTCATCAAAGGAAAAGGAAATTTATCGTTGGCCTGCCAGAGAATCATTGAAAACCATGTTGGCCTTGGGATGGAGCCTAGAAAGGACCAAGGAAGGAGGAGAAACAGTAATACATCAGCGTGAAAATGAAAAGCTTCGCAGCATATCTCAGTCTAGTCAGGTAATGTAGAATTGCTTAAATTTAGAAAGCAAAAGGCCTGTTCACTAATTTACTGTAAAATTTTACACAATTATGTCAGTTTTATATACTTTTAATTAAAAGAAGCTTTTAATGTTAGAGTTCTGAGACTGAAAGTCATGTCACTATAATAAACACTGTGAAATAACACTGAAGAGTGGATTCCAAAAATGCAGCAGCTTTTAAGATAGTAAGGCAATCAGAGACCATATCAGAGAGCTATTGCTTTTCATTTTCTCAGAAGAACTAAAGAGAGTTTTAATAAAGTCATTCAAAGAATACATGGCAGAGTATTTGAAGTCTTTTATTTTTTAATAAACAAATCTAGCAATTTTCTTTTTTGGTCAAACAGGAGAGCCTAAAACAGGCTTTTTTCAAGATTCTAATTATGACTGACATATGAGATTTCATATTTGATGCCTTTTTTTTTAATATACAGGTAAAATTTTTAGGTTATTATATATATTACCTAGTATTTTGATGTGAGAATAGATTTTTTTTTCATTTGTAGCTTTTTGTAATCACGTTAAGACTGTTGGTCAATATGTCTGTGTCTTGGATGGGGAAAGCTGTTTAAAACTATGACAAGTGTTTGGGAATTGTTATTGTACCCGTTGAGTTGAATTAAACACACATTTGTACTTTAATATAGTGAGAGTTAATAAGCAATGCATTGGGCACAGTCCTGCTGCCATAAGCAGTCCTGCGAGGAGTGTGCAAAGATGTGTCACAAGGTAACTCCTCATGCACACTTGCACCAGCACTGATACTGTATCAGTATCTGGCACCTTAGGCCTGCATTGGGTTCATTCCCCAGGGCCGGTTTTTGCTTACCGAAAGTGACCCCTGAGCACTCTGTTACAAGACAATACTTCAGCATTTCTTACCTCTTCAGCAAACTTCACTGCCTTACAGGGAATCCTGCTGTCTCTGGCATCTCTGCTTCTAGCCATTTGAACTTGTTTTGTAGTTGGGCCTTGTTGCCCAAGATGCATGATGAAGACATGACCGAGTAGAGGACTTCAGCACATGTTTAGTTTCAGTACACATTTGAAATCACTGATTTATATGTAACCATTCACATTTAACATGCACCTAATAGGTTTGTTGCACGGAACTTTACCACTTTAAACAGTTGAAGACTGTAAATATATCATGCTCCTCCTTTTTCTTAGTCTGTAAATTCCTCAAGACAATAACCTATTTTATCTTTTTGTTATGTTGTCCTGTCTTTAGTATAGGGTTCATCCAGACTGTTCCCATACTCTTCTGTCATGTTTTGAAGGCACATCTTGTATGTCTCGTGATTGGTCTCTTCTCTTAGGCTAAAAGCATAGTTCTTAGCAACTTGCCATCTCTCACAAATAGAGAGATCTAAGTATCTGCACAACTTTCCTACTTCCACATCAGCAAATGTATTATCTTAATCATTCTGTGTATCTTCAGTACATTGCAAAACAATAGCTGCACACAGTTTCTACAAGAAAGTTCAAAATTGTGAATGATGTTACTCCAATCAGGACAACAAAAGAGATGTTGTAGTTGAATACTTTTATCTGAAAACAATTATCTTTTTATTTCCCTGCAGGGAAATGGGTATATCCCGGCACCACTTGATCTCTCTAATGTGGCACTTTCTAGGGAGCTTCAGGTTTGTCTTTGTGTTTTGCATATATTGTGCTGAAAAGAATTAATAGATTTGGTTTTATTATTATTAATGAGCTGAATTTTGTTAGGCTTTACGACTGTATCTGTGACTGTGGTTGTGATATGCTGTTGTAAAAAGGTACATGCCAAACTATTTACATACTGGAAAAATGAAACATACAAAAATTCTGCTGTTCATGCCATTGGTGCTTTCTGAGTTCCCAGAAAAAGTTATCATGAAGCTAGGGAAGGAGCTGATAATAGTATGTGATATATATGTATCCTGTGCTTGTGCTGACTTCAAAAAACACCTGAACATAGACCTGACACTTAACTGTGATGTTTCTTTTGTGTCTACACAAGAGTGTAGACTTTAACCAAGATAGTAAAATTATGTAGAATTACAGAATTTTTAATTGTCATCGTCTAATTTTGCATCTTATTTTTTTCTGGTGGTAACATAGGGAATGGTTGAGGTAATGGCAGAAAACTACCATAATATATGGGCCAAAAAGAAGAAAATGGAGTTGGAAAGCAAAGGTAAGCCAGAATCTTGTGATCTACAAAAAAAAAAAAAAAAGGAAAATGAGGCAGAAGAAATAATCTGAAAGAAGGCAGTGTAAGACAATCAAAATTGAATAGTTCCTTTCATACATGAATAATTAAAATAAATCTTAGAATAGAAAAACTAACAGCTTTTCAACTTACTAAAGGTGGAGGTAGTCATCCTTTATTGGTACCTTATGATACACTGACAGCCAAGGAGAAATCACGAGACCGTGAAAAGGCACAAGAGCTGTTTAAATTCCTTCAAGTCAATGGTATAATCATATCTCGGTAAGTTGCACATTTTTTTTATATGCTTGTTTACATTCAGTGCACAAAACAGCATGATTTTATCTCACTGCAGTATGGTAGTTATTAACATAATTACCATTTGGCATATCGTGTTTAAATCATAGTATTTGTTATTTTTAAGTTCAGAAAGACCCTTCTGAAATAGTATAGACAGGTATCGCTTTTAATAAGTATGTGATCATAGTAAACACAAAATGCAACAGTAATGTAATTAAAAAAGCAGAGAATTTAAGCATCTAAATTAGCAGCTAGCAGTGTCAGTGACGATCACAGGAAAATAAATATGAAGTCTGATACTGAAACACATCTATGTAAAACTGGGTTTTAATCCAGTTTTTGAAAAAATACTGGTTTGAGTTCTGTGCTTTCATAAGACAAAGTGGCTATTTTGTGGGCATTTCATCTTCAACTTCTGCTCAAGCAAAAGCATAGACTTCATTACTTGTACTCTAACTTAAATTGCTGTGTCTCAAAGTAAGCTGGCCTGTGGGGCATTATACTGTCAGTGAAATTAAAATGACTTCTTAAACTGTATTTTTTGGCTGTATATGGTGGAATTGTGAATTATTATACTATAACTATTATCTTTTATTGTATGTGGAACACCTAAGCACATAGGAAACCACAATTTTGCTGGCATTAAATATTTTTGTAAACTAAACTGTATTCATGAACAAATTTTTCTGTACATGTCCTTTATTTCATATTTTCATTTATTTCTACTTTTCAAGTCTGCATCCCTTCTGAAAGTATACTCAGAAATTTATACAAATCAATTATTAGGACCTGCGAAAGGTAACTTTGTCGGCTTCGACAATTAATTACTTTTCTTAATATAGGAGAAAACAGTTCTAAATATACACTTCTGCATTAGTACAGAGAAAAATTCCCTCCTGCCACATATATAGGCTTCCAGCCTGAATCCAAAAAGTAGGTATGTCACCAAATACTTTTATATCCTCCATAATTGCTTTAGAGCCATTGAATAAGATTAGTTCCTGAAAATGAATGATCTTTTGAAACACCAATGGAATTGTTAAAATTTTGCAGCTATGTCTGTTTATATCAGGAGGGCAATGTTTTCAGTGTTAACTCATGGGACAAGTCAACTTGAGAAAGCACGTTCAAACTCTCTATTGGTGTGGGCGAGGAGTTTGCAGCAATTGTCTGTGTAAGGATGAATCAAAATTATTCTCTTGTCAGTGTTTTCTTCAGATGAATATGTGCATATATATATATATATATTTTGAAGTACTCATTGCAGTTATCACATTTCCAGAATGTCATTCTTAGAAACATTAGACTAAGCATTAAAACATAGAAATTGTTTATAATTGGAAATGTATAGGTGGAACAGCATGTGTACCTTACATATACCATCTGCCTCTGGTGTTTTGGTTTTTTTTCTCTTCTTTCTTTGTTGAGAACACTTTTGAAGCACTTTGTGTGTTTATGATGTAGAGATAAATCTCTCAGGCCTTACTCAAGTATACGTTAGAAACAACATGATATTTTGTTAAGCATCTTTAAATCTCTGTAAGTTCCTTTGCTGCTGCTTTTGTTATTTCACAAACCCACCAATGTATTTCAATATTTAGGAAAGTACATGTAATCTCTTAGGAGCTGTGACTTCTTATAAACTCAAAAGGAGAATATGTACAGTGATCTCACTGAAAATACAGATAAATAGTCTCCTTTGTGAGAGTGAGGCAGCGGGAGATGCCTCTCAACCATACATAGCTGTTAATACATACCAAATAATTTGATTACACAGGTGATATATAAATTAACAGGAGTTCATAAAAGTATTTAAACTAGAACTCTTCAAATAGAATTTTTTTTTTCAAATGTAACTGTAAGATGGGAGATTAGAGTCCTCCTAAATTTATGTTTAAAACGATTTTGGAAGGGGTTCCTTAGTTCTCTGATTCTGTATCTTCAGACTATAACTGTTCCTTTCCTCTTAACTGTGTTCTGACATGGTCAAGAACATCCATTTTATTATGAGATACTTTTGTTGTTAAAATCTCTGCTGCATCAACCTTCTCCCACAGAATTACTTTTTTTCCTTGGATTAATCTCATACCTGTTTTACAACTGTTAGTCTAATCTTCATTTATTCTCCCTAATTAGTCCCACACAGTGCTAAGAAATCTTAGTACAAATGATCATTTTTTCCATACTACAAGGAGCCCAGCATCTTCCCTGCTTTCTTATTCCTTTCTTTCTTTTGCCTCAGTATCCTAAACTACCAGTTCCTCCCTTCTTCCCTACTTGAGACACACTGTTCAGTACACTATCCCTCTGTAGTCTCTGCATTTCCATTAGCCCGGTCATTTTCTCTAATTGATAAAGGCCAACTCTTCCTATCAGCTACTATTTGAAGAGTCTGTACAGAAGCAAATGACGTTGCCATTATGGGTAACCAGAGGTTTCCCTTAATGTTACTCAGTTGCTTCCTCGCTTGCCAAGCCAGTTAGATGTCCCAGGTGTTAAACACCATCTATCAATAGAAAATCTGAAGTATAAATTATAGTCCTTTTAATGTTGGAATAAGAAGTTGCAGACTAAACAAAAGTACATGAAAACCTCAGGGAAACAAAGTGGAAGGAAATAACAACTTGCAAAAGCAAACATGTTTGAAAACAGAATAAATTAAAAGCCCTATAGGGTTATGTGACTGCAAAAGAAAAAAGAAAAAAAATCCCTGTCCTGGATGCCAAGACAGAATGCATCATAGCAGTTTTGTGGAATGAACCCTTAGCAATGAATTGGAGAGTTTGGCTACCCGTCAGAGGAACTTTGATGGGATGGAGAAATAGGCTGACAGAACTCTTGTGAGGGTGAGCAAAGGTAAATGCAAAGTCCTATACCCAGGATGGAATAACTCCAGGAATAGGGGAATTGAGCCTGAGAGCATCTATGCAGAAGAGCACATTGAATTGTGCAAGTTGAACTTAAATCAGGAATGTGTCCTTGTGATGACAAAGGCTGACTGTGTACTGGCTTTATTAGTAAGTGTGGTCTGCAGGTTGATGGAGGTGATTTTTTCCCCTTCCATTTTGTGATCATGAGATTGTATCAGGAGTACATTGTCCAGTTTTTGGTTCACGAGTGCTAGGGAAACGATTGAGAAAAGAGTTGCTCAAGTGGGAAGCCACTGAGATGCTTTGGGGATTGGCATGCATATCATGCCAGGAGAATCTCTGAGGGATTTTTTTCAGTTTTAAAATAGGAATGGGATGCAATGGGATTTACTGCTGTCTTCAACTACTTAATGCAAGGTTATAGAGACGATGAGGTAAAACACTGTCTTCTCCAAAGTAACAAGTTCTTACAAGGAAAATTCCAGTTTTATGTATGAAAATATTTCACCATTATTTGTTCCCAGAACGGGTGGTCAAAAATTACTGTAGGCTCTTCAGAGTCATCATGAGATTTCGATCCTTGAAGACACTCAGTACATTACTGGACAAGGTTCTGAGCAACCTGATCTTTTGGCTTTGCTTTGAGATGGAACTTGGATCAGAGGTTCCTTCCAACCTAAATTTTTCTCTCATCCTAAAGAATTTTAGAATTTCAGTCACTTAGGTTTCATTTGTAGTTAAAACAAAATCTAGTATTTTAAATCTAGGCACTGACAACCACACGTTTCTATTCCTCTTTAATATCTTGCATGTACCAGTCAGGATTTATGTCATTAATTTATCTTAAAGAATAAATAATACATGCCTCTTTAGAAATTACTGTATACTGTTGAAATTTTTCAAATATTTTAGTAGTATAGTAGTTTGTTACTTACATTGAAGTTTTCGCTTAGTAGCTGAAGTAATTTTGACTTCAGTCTTTGATAAAATTCAAGGAAAAAATGAAGTTTAACAGTGAATAGTCAAAAAAAGAGTAGTACTTAAACTTATTTTATAAAGATGCAACTGTTGACTTCCTAAACATTTGGCACTTTATTGTGCCAACAGTAGAAATTGAGTGACCAACGTATTACTTTGTTAGATTCAGATGTACCATGGCTTTGTTTGTGCAATAAGATAGCACTCTGAAGTTATTATCCTAAAATATATATATTATGGATACTTTAATCACAAGCTATTATACCTCTTATTACAATCAGCTCATGTTTCTATTTCTTGCCAGGTAGGTGATGACTAAGAGTTCCTATGGAAAGTCAATTTCTCCTTCTTATAAAAATTTACGATAATAAAAAGATAATAAGTCATAGAATGCTTCATAGTACTGTTTTCATTTGTACTACTGTCATCATGAATGCTATTTCTCTTGATCCTTTCTGAAACAGGGGCCTGAATGACATGGAGTTGGATGCTTCATCCATGGAAAAGAGGTTTGCCTTTAAGTTTCTGAAGAAAATTTTAAAATATGTTGATTCTGCTCAAGAGTTTATTGCACATTTGGGTAAGTTGCATATTTTATTCTGAAAATAGTTGGAATTGTTGATATTTAAATATTTGGATTGATATGTTTACATTTGTAGTGAACACTATTTTTATTGCATTTAAGAAACTTAAATCCTGTCTTTTAACTTGCAGATTAAATTCTTGCACATTTGTAACTAGCCAAAGAGTTTCTGTTGTTTTATTTTTATTTCAGTAAAACTAAGTTTGCAAGGCTATTTGAAAGGCTATTTTGTTATTCATTATTAGACAGATTCTTATTTATGTGTCTGCCTTGATTGTATCGTTGCAGAAGCCATTGTAACCAGTGGAAAAACTGAAAAATCTCCACATGACCAAGAAATAAAATTCTTTGCTAAAGTGAGTGACTTAGTATTTCAAGTAGTGTTCATATATATTCCATTATACAGAATATGGAACTTTGTAATGTTAGACTGCTTTTCATATAATAGTAATATATATTGTCCATTTTTTTGTGGTAAGTAATCAAATAGTTATCAAACATTTTGAAATATCTTCAAAAATATTTCAGTATATTTGATGGATTCAAATATTTAAAAACACTTTAATATATCTGCTTGCGTATGAGAAGGAACATAGAAATTAAAAGGCAGTTTATTTTTTACATGAAATTAAATACTCTCACTGAGTATATAAATTATTTCTGAATTTTTTTACCACAAGGGATCACTGAAGTGCATAACATCATCTAATTATCAGGCAATATATTCCTATGCAATATTAGATCCAAAACAGATATCTTTGTGTAACTGTTTATTATTTATGTAACTTTTAATAAAATTGTAAGACTTGAGGTTTTAATTTAGATGATTTTGTCTCTGAAATGGGAAAATACAACTGTTACGGAACTAAAATTCTTTAAATAAACTTTGGCCAACCAGACTATTGCTTCTGTATTCACCATTGAGCTCTGTAAAAAATACATTTTGTATCTGTATTTCTTAGGTTCTTTTACCATTAGTTGATCAGTACTTTACAAATCACTGCCTCTACTTCCTGTCTTCTCCATCAAAAACCCTCAGCAGCAGTGGATATGCATCAAATAAGGAGAAGGAAATGGTAGCAAGGTAAGAAGAAAATTAAGAAATATACAGGAGGGTTTTATATAGATAAAGGACTTCTCTTAGATTAAAGAGAAAGATAGTTCAAAAGCTCAGTTTCCTCAGCTGGAAAGTAAATATTTTATTCTCTATCAAAATAGCAGTGACTAAATAAAAGTCCTCATTTTAGTATTCTTTTACATACATATATATATATGTATATATATATATATATAAAATGTATGTATGTATATATAATTAAATAATTAACTATATATAACTACTAAATATGTAGTTGTAGAATATGTAATTGTGAATGATAACATAAAATATTAATAAGTTATTCTGTGAGCAATGGAACTACTTAGTTTCTTGTGAGTTTGTGTTACATCGTTGGTGGCAGTTTCTGGTTGATGGGTCATTTAAATGGTGTTACATTTATTTAAATTTTTATATATATTAAAAAAATGTTTAAAATACCATAATGCAGCTCTCTAGAGGAAATTACAGATTCAAGAATTGATAAAAATTACTTCTACCCCTGCATAAATATTGCTGGAATTTAATAATTTTTAGATATCTCTACTGTTTCCAATTTGGTTCGAGTCAGCCATTTGATGCAAAGTTATTTTAGAGAACTCAATTAAAAAGAGATATTTGCATTTTAATTTATAATGTGTTGCCTATGCAAAAATATGAATTTAATTTTTCCTCAACTAAGATTTAATATTAATATTTAATTGGGCTTTAACTATAACTGTAACTTAATATTTTTTTTGCCAGGTTTTTTCTTCCACTATAGGTGTGCTGCCAGTTATTTTCTTTGTGAAATTTTGAAACGTAATATTTAAAACTGCTTTACTCTCACACTTCTTACTTTACCTGTAGGTTCTCTGATTTTTTTTTTTACTTTCCTTCAGTACATTGACCAGAGTTAACTATCATTTCCAATGGAAAGTAGATATCAAATTTGAAACTAAAGGTTACTTGCATGTTGTTATGTAAGATCAGGCCTAGCACCCAACTTCCTAGATTCCAGTCTTCAGTTTATCTTTCAACATATTTTTGCATTTCTCCAAATTATTATTACTCTTTTGTTTCCACCTTCTATGTGGGTGGTAGTCCTTATATAGCAGTTGCCTGTAAGAATGAGTGTTAAGTCCCTAAGATTATGTTTTACTGAGCTCTCAGGTATATTACATACAAATGTGCAAAATAGTCCTCCAGTAGCAGAGAAAGTCAGCTCAGGTTCAGGAGGATGGAACTGGCATTTAATGTCGTTTAATGTTCATCCCTCCTCTCTGAATGTTCCTGTTACTTCCTTAAAGTCAGTCAGGTCAGCATAACGAATCTAGAAGGATGTGTACTAGGGCTATACAAAGTGACTTTACCGAGGCACATGAAGAAGTTAGATGTCTGGCATACATATCCGCTAATATAATTTCAGAAATATCTTGTAATTCTTTGTGCATTCTTCATTGAGAAAAGTGACTATCTGCTATTTTCATCTTATAGGAAGTATAGTATTTCCTTACTATTGAGAAGAAAAGAGTAACAATCTGTGGTTAGTAAGAGACCATACCAATTCCTGAGGTATACGCTTCATTTTGTTATGTCCTAATTCCATTCGTACAATATAGCACAAATGATATACAAGTCTGCCTAGCTATCTTTGTTAAAGTAACCCCTTTAGAGAGCTGCTGATTTATTCTCCTAATTATCCTACTATTCTGACAGATAGGTTAGATATGCAAGTTTCTCATATACTTGCCAGAAACTCTTCTAGTCTGTATATATTTCCGGATTCATCTTATCATCATCAGAGGGTAAATACTGATGCCTGCTCAGCTGGTGCTACGAAAAAAATCTAGGAGCCGTAAGCTGGGGTGAGATAAGAAAGGGTTTAATTATGCCAAGGCAAAGATGTTACACGATGCGCGCGCCCTGGGCTGTGCCCGGGATGTTACATTTATAACAATATCTGGCCAATCCGAAGTGTGTCCACCCTATAACTTTTGGCCTGGTCCACCCCCTGGCCTGCCTCCTGGAATTGGGTCGGGGGGCTTTTTGGGACCCCCTCTTCATCATTCTTCCTCATCTTCGGGGTACAGAGAGCAGAGTCACCCAGTTCTTTGACTCTGTCCTGCGGTTTAGGCCAAGATACAAGCGTTCTCCAAACAAGACAGGCTTGCCTTGACTAAGAGACTAAACATCTTCTACTGGATACGGGGTACGGTTGATATGGGGAGTATGGAATGGGGTGAGAGGATTAAGGAATGTATAAACTAAGGGGTGCTACAGGGAGGAGGGAGAAAGGGGTTTGTTTCTAAAATCTACTTCTATTACCTATAAAATTTATAAGGTAGAAAAATAAAAAAATCATTATGAGCTTAAGGCATCAATACAGATTAATTTCTTTATTTACAAAGAATATATTCGCAAATTATTTTAAATAGTATGAAGATTTTTAACATTCATTTCCTGCAGAATGCCAAGTGAAACACTAAAATATTTTTCATTTTTCTTGTTCTTACAAAAAAAAATTTCTTATTCAGAAATATTAGCCATAAAGAATGACTCAGCCATATAGTATGCAATCATTGGAAACCACCGTAATCAAAAGAAAGTTTCATGTTTCAAGTCATCTCTGAAGTAGTGAAGCTTAGAAAATGAGAGACTTCAGAAGATTAAAAATGTTATTCTTCTTAATGCAGTTGATTGTTATCATCATGTATAACTCAAAATACACTTTCCAGGATTTTCCTATGTTGTGATTTCTTTTTCATATTCCTAATACTCTTTACCTCATATTCTAAATAAATCTTTAACCTTTGTCTTGTCTTCTCTCGTTCTCTCTGGTTTTTTAATTCTTTAGCCTGTTCTGCAAGCTAGCTGCTCTTGTTAGACATAGGATCTCACTTTTTGGTAAGTTGTTAAGAAAGATCTTGATAAAGTTCAAAATATAAAGAATGTATAACCGTTGCTTCTAACATAACTGAAACTTTTCACAAATATAGGCAAAATTCTATAACATGGTGCATAAACTTCTAGTGTAATTAGCGACTGCATTGAATATGGCTCTTCTATTAAGCTAACACTTAATAGAATATGTAAACTGTTGAAGCAGCAAGAAGTGGCAGGTTCTAGTATTGTGTTCTCATAGTATCTCTTTCTAACCAGGTAGTGATTCTGCTACAATGGTGAACTGCCTGCACATCTTAGCTCAATCTCTTGACACACGGTAAGTTTGCAACATTTCTACCAACTACAAACTGCAAAGGCATTGTAGAGCTTTTCAGAAGCAGTTGGGTTGTTTCTGTATTTTTTTTATTCTTTATTTGTAATAAATTATATTAGCAGCATCAGTAATTCAGATATTGTCCATCATATTAGCAGATTTTGTCTGCAGTGTTTCAACTATATTTTTCTGTTCAATGCCTGTCATTAAAACATTGAAAACTCTTCTCACTGTTTCCAAGGACATTTGAAGACTTTTTTGGGAGATATAAATTACACAAACTTTGGAACTGCAAGTATTGATACCCACAGATATTGAAAGAGTTTAGTGCATAGTGGAAAATTTGTCATTAGAAGCATGCAGAGTGTATTGATATATGAGCATAGTTACATTTGCTAACTTTTCTGTTTATCATTGAAATGATTATGAAGATTAAAACAGAGGCCAGAATAGTTTTCTAATTTGAGTTAATTTCTGGCCTGGTTATGTTACATAGCAGCCTGACAATGAACTTATTGTGAATAACAACACTAGAATCTTCATTAAGGAGTTGGAGAAGAGTGCAAAAAAATTAAGGAATGGGACAGTGTTGCATTTTCTAGATTTAAGGTGTTTTTAAGTATCTTGACTTACATATCTAGTTGCTGGGACTCCCATAAAAATGTAGGGATTAAGAGTTGGGGGATTTTGAGAACATTTTATAGAAGAGCTTTCTCACCACTTACGATATTTACTGAGAAGGCATTATCTTGTTTGAAAGCAGATCACAAAAACTAGAAAGGCAAGACTATGGAATCAAGGTCTTTGTTGTTATTATTTCATATTAAGTAGCCAAAGCTAACTGTTGCTTATACCACTATGCAAATGTAAGTGCCCTTCTCTGTTCATAATGTAAATGTCATTGGTACCGTGTGGGTATCTTCAAAGACTAATAGAATGCAACTAACATACATACAGCTCTTTACAACTGCAATATTTTTTCCCTTATTATTTTTCAGAACTGTTATGAAATCAGGATCTGAACTTGTTAAAGCAGGATTGCGTGCCTTTTTTGAAAATGCTGCTGAAGACTTGGAAAAAACTTCAGAAAATCTTAAACTTGGAAAATTTACTCATTCACGAACACAAATCAAGGGTGTTTCACAAAATATCAATTATACTACAGTAGCATTGTTACCAATCTTGACATCATTTTTTGAACATATTTCACAATATCAGTTTGGAATCGATTTACTTTGTAAGTATTTTATTTTTTTAAAAAAGTTTATTGTGTTATAATGGTACAAACCCTTTTTAGTAATGCTGCATGGATTCAAAGGATGAAATTCTGTTTTCAGTAGCATGCACATTTCCAGTATTAAATCTGAAATCACCTGCATACTATCTTATTTCTAGTGCATGTGTAAAAATCATATTCAATAAGTTTCAAGTTAATTATGTACAATATTTCTTCAAACATTGAGAGAGAAATTAAAATATCCTCTTAAGTGCTGTCTTACCAACTGTGTAGATGAAATGAGTTTTCTATAGAAAATTCTTATTTCATTAAAGGAGACAACTCACTATTAATTCCCTGTGGGTTTTCTCCTTACATTTGAAAACCACTGTAGGTCTTTGAATATAAGTTTTCTTTGTTTTTAGCATCATTTAGTTTAAAAATACTGAAATGACTCCTTGAGATTCTGTAATATGCTGAATGGTCTTATTATGCTCTAATGTCTCTAATTATCTTCCAAAATTTTATATATATTTGGGTCATAATTAAAAGATGGATAACCATGAAAATACTTTCTTTAAAAGTATGGTGAAACTTTAGATCACGTACCTAAAGGTTAGACACACAGAGTGATGTGGTTTAGCTTAAAATTGTACTCTGTGAGTGTGATAACCTGCAATTATCTTATTAGCAAGTATCTGTTGTCCTCTTGGAATGCCTGATAATCTGTTAGGTTGTGAAGTAAATGTAGATGACAAACCAGGTATTAGAGAAATTAAAGATAAATAATACCATGTAGAGCATCTATAACCAGAAAGTTCAGTGATACATATGTTTAAAGTTTAGATGCTTTTAAACAGAGCGCATAAAATAGTTGTTTGATATTTGAAAAGTAATCCTTAGCTGAATAAATACTGATAATATACTTCTTATTTTCCTCTAGTGGGTGATGTACAAGTTTCATGTTACAGAATTCTTTGTAGCCTCTATTCTCTTGGGACTGGAAAGAACATCTATGTTGAAAGGTATTACATGTAACACTCAGCATGTAAAATTTTCGCTTCTTTAGGAGTGCGTTACTTAGGTAGTAAAGCAGTTTGGATGAAAGGTGAATTTGAAACAGTGAGAGATATTTAAAATACACTTTATCTTGAAAGTAGTTGCCTATATTTTAGCGTTCAATTCCACCAAAAAAAAATCAGAACTAAATAAAAGCAAATAACTCATCCTGTATATGTCAGTGTATCTGCAGAGAGTTTATTTTTCCCGCGGGAAAAGCTAAATTTTTCCATGGGTGGCAATTAAGGTTCCCAAAGTTTGTCTACTGCATGTTGCTGTGGAATGTAGGCTGAGTAGTAAGTAGACTGCATGTGTTTCACACCTAAGTATATACTCAAATGTTGTCCTGAGCATAAAATCCTGAGCATATGTAGATTATTCTGACAACATTTAACTCTATGAATGAAACCATTAGTTAGTAGCATTTAAAAAAGACTAGGGTCTGCAATTCCTTTAAGTATCTAGTTGCTGTGCTATCTTCTAAGCCCTAGATTTTAGATTCTCTTCCATTAAAAAGGGACCAAGTCCATACCTGTTAGTTCAGAAAAGAGAACCCTATCGTAAGACGGGAACTAAGACAAGGATAACCTATCCTTATGCTTGTGAAAGTTGTAGGTTAGGCAATTTTCATGACCTTTCTTATGATGAAAAGTTTAGGATCCACAGAGAGAGAGACAGACTAAACTGGAGGAAATGCAAGTAGTCTGGTTAGGAGAGGCTTTGCCTAGAATGACGAATGCTGGTCTCCAATTCTTTCCTTCCAAAGTTTATTTAAAATTCTTTCATGCAAAATGCAAGAGCAGTCTGGTAGATACGTCTTTCCTCCCACTCTGCATGCATGCACATGTGTGCACAAGCTCATTCTTTTGTACTTCCTTATTCAGGCATTTATGCATCCATCACTGAATCAGAAAGCTATACTCTCTTTCATCTCTTTTTGGTCCTGAAAATCTTAAATACTCCTTTACACAGATCTGATAAGAAAAATGGGAAGTGCCTTACCCCTTATCTAACCAGCAGTCAGGGTCTTCTCACAGGAAATGAAACATGACTGTGTTTGAGCTGCCTTTCAATAAAAAGTGCTCACAGCACAGACCTCCACTTTATTAGTAAAAGCTATAAACATTAGACCTTCTACATTGATTCTAGCAGCATCACTTTTGCCTACTGCAGTTGTCTTCTTAGACTGGAAGAGCGATCAGATTAGATATATTCAAAGAATTGAATTAGTCTCTTAAGTCTGTGTGAGAGGTTTTCAACTGTGGATTTCATTTAATTTGATTTTAACAAGTCTCAAGCTCTTAAATTACAGTTGTAGACAGAAATCAGTGTCTAGGTGGGAGGTAGGATTTCAAACATACTGTTCAATGTTTCAGCAAAACTTAGAAGTGATTGAGCTGACTTGAACAGTTATTCAAGTTAAGCAATGCTCAGATTTAGGATCAAAGAGCAGGTTTTTCTCCTAGTGAATTTTAGAAGGGACATTAAGAAGTTTTACCTTTCATTGTAGAATGAGTCAGTTCACTTTTCATAGATAAATATCAGTTTTCATGACTGAAATAATTCAGCTGATTCTACAAGACTCTTGACTGCTGGGGCTCAGAACTAACACTTAGTTGGATTGCTACTGCTGCCCTGTTGAGACACACTTCCATTGTCAAGTGTTTTATCCTTTGTACAAAGACTGTTTATCTTCTTTAGGATGTTTGACATTTTTCTGATTTCTCTGTGGACATTTCTTCTCTAAATGTCTCATAAATGTTGAGCTGGATGCAAAATGCAGTAACTCTTTATTGCTTTGAGCCCTAATGCTCTACTGACAAGTATAGTATTATTGCTATAGGTATTTTGGTACTCATTTCTTTTTATTTCCTGCATTAGAAATTTAGGTCCTAAATTTGGGGTTGAAAACTCTGTTTTCATGCCCAGTATCTAAAAATTGTATGTCCCTTTATGGTGTCTTGGTCTTTTATCGATCAGTTTAGAGAAACACATTTCCAAGTTATTTTTAGTATCTGTAACAATAATCAGAAATATAAACTTCTGCATGAGTTAAGAATTTATAGCAACTTTTGATGGATGTAGTTAAATATTACAAAATTAACTGCTGTATTCAGTCATATATACATATGACTTAAAACTGACCTACTTGAGGCTTCTCAAAATTAAGACTGCCAAATACGCAAGAAAGCCTGTTATAAGAGTAGTATAATAGAAAACGCTTCTTCATTACTGCCTCAGTCTTTTGTTGTGTTTTGATTTTCAAAGTCTAGATTGATTTGATTACATTTCAGTGTTTTTCACTTCCTCCAAGGCTTGCACATGAAACTATTGACAGTCTCATTCTTCGGTGTGAATATTTCCAATTAGTTATGTTCCTAACATACTCTAAAGGATTCCTAACATGTTCTAAAGGGTTAATTTGGCTTTTCTTTAACTATCTTTTTATTCAATTCATTCTACCGAACAACTCAGTTCCTTGATGATTTACTTTACATGATTTGCTTTTTGTGTCAGTGGCTGACAATTTGCTCTGAAATTCTTTTTATGTTTTCTAACTTCCATCCTGCAAAATTTTAGGCTTTCACAGAATCATAGAATGGTTTGAGTTGGAAGGGACCTTAAAGATCATCTTAACAGTGATGTCACAGTTCACCCAGGGATAGGCATCAGGTGCCTCTTTGTCCTGTTCTGAGGGCCCTCCCTCCTCTTCATCCCTCACTAAGTGAACTGCTTTTGTCTTGGATTTCTTCTCCCCTATAGGAGTGACTGCTACCAGCACGGGTTGTTTCTCTGGTTCAGCTGCAGTTTGAGTGGCTACAGTGCCTGTTGATCTGCTTTCCTTCTCTGTCCCCTGAGGGTGCTCTCTAAATAACAAGCAGTGTCCAATAAATATTATCCAGGCCCCAGCATGTCGCCTAAGTTTACACCTCTCTGGAACTGCCACAGCATTTTTCTCTCAAATATTCTGCCACTTTACCAGGGTCCTGTAGTTGTTCAGGGGTGAAATTCCAAACTACTGGAGCAGAATAATCCTTCAAAACCTGACTAATTTTCTCCCACATTCCATGCCACTTATGACTATCCACCCTCAGGGCAGACGTCTGAAAGACACTCCTAAAAATCTCTTTTGTGACTCTAAATATGGTGTGGACCGTACCATGGTGTGGGGGATGTGGCAGACCTAGCAACAAGAACATGCATTTCTTAACATCCAAGGGAAATTCAAAATCCTCAAAAGCTGTTCTAAGAACCCTGACGAAGGAAGGAAAAGGGGGTGAAAAGCTGGGGAAAATCATCCTGTTCTTCCCACAGCCTGAGTATGATTATTAATGAGCTCCCAGAGGTAGTGCCTCGAGGTGAGGGCAGGAAAGCAGCACTGAAGGCACATCCCAAATGACTCTCATTGTCTTTGATGTTATCATATACAGCAATCCTGATCTCTCTCCCTGCCCTGAAAAATATCATCACAGGGAGCACATATTGCATATACAGGAATATATGCAAGGTTAGATACCACAACCATGCGAACAGGCCAAGCAACATTGTGACTAGCTGCTTGGACCCAATACAACAAATGCTTAGGTCAAATTTGTTTCCAACCTGCTCTGGTCAGATCTGTTGTTATCTCAACCCTTCCTGTCTCACACTGAGCACCAAATAGGGGTGTTGTGGTTTAGGAATGGTATTCCCCCATTTGGTGTTCCCACTGAAACAATCCAAATTATGTGCCACTTGCTCACTCTTACCATCCCCTCCCCCTCCCCTGCTGCAGGCTGGAGAGGAGAATTGGAGGCACAAAAGATAAAGATCATGGGTTGAGATAAGAACAATTTACTGGAAACAGCAATGAGGTAAGGCAATGAAATTGTTGCTCCGTAGAGCGATCATACTAACGACAGAGTGTACAAGAAAGAGGTGAATGATTCACTTGCAATTGCTCAAAACCACACTACATACTACCCTTCCTCCATCCCCTGGCAATGACATGAAGTGATATAGAATAATCTCCAGGTCCTAGCCATGCTCCCTCCTGGCTACTGCAAAAATTAATCCTATCTTGGCCAGAACCAGGACTGGTAGAGATGGCGTGTTTTTTTAATTGTGTTTCCTATACCACTGTGATTTCCGGTAGTTTTTTTTCATTTGAGAAATGCAATTTTTCAAAGTTGTCAAATAGTTCCTAATGTATTAAAAAGACAAAATAAACCATCAATAAGCATTAATACTTCTTTTTTATTGTGCATGCTAGACAGTGATAGCCTAGTGAAAGACTTTTCCTCTCAGATGACTTTTAATGTCTCTCATATACAGGCAGCGTCCCGCACTTGGTGAGTGTTTAGCTTCTCTTGCGGCAGCCATTCCAGTAGCATTCCTTGAACCTTCTCTCAACCATTACAACCCACTGTCTGTTTTCAACACAAAAAGTGCAAGAGAAAGAGCAAGTAAGTACTGTTTCTCAAAAAAAAAAAGCTGTTTACTCCTCTCCAACTAAGTAACAGACATTGTATAATGAAAATAATCCAAATGTATGCCTCAGTAGAGAACTTCTACTATTGCTGTTTCATTACTTGTCATTTTAGCCTTCTCTATTTTGTTGAAACTGTGTCAATATTTTTCCCTTTCTCCTAATATTTCTAGATATTTTTCTGAACATGATGTTTGAATACTTTTCCAAAGGTGCATACTGTAATATTTGAAGTTTAGTTAAAGAACATATATATGTTACAATATTTTTTGGCAAATATACAATTGCATATATGTAGCAAATTTCTATGTTTTTTGTTGTCTTACTAGTAATCTAAAGCAGTTTGGTCTAGGGAACTCCTGGCAGAATAAGACTTTGATTCCACGAAACTTTAATCAAACAGGGACCTTGACAGGTTGGAGAGATGAGCAGAGAAGAAATGTCTGAAGTTCAACAAAAGTAAATGCAGGGTCCTACACCTGGGGAATAATAACCCCATGCAGCAGTACCTGCTGGAAAGCAGCTTTGCAGAGAAGGGCTTGGGGGTCCTGGTGGGCAACAACCTGTCCAGGAGCTAGGAGTGTGTCCTTGTGGCCAAGAAGGCCAATGGTATCCTGGGGTGCATTAGGAAGAGGCACTGCCAGCAGGTCAAGGTAGGTGATCCTGCCCTTCTACTCAGCCCTGGTGAGGCCTCACCTGGAGTGCTGTGTCCATTTCTGGGCATCTCAGTATAAGAGAGACATGGAGCTCCTGGAGTGGATCCAGCAGAGGGCTACAAAGATGATTAAGGGACTGGAGAACCTCTCTTATGAAGAAAGGCTGAGGGAGCTGGACCTGTTCAGCATCAAGAAGAGACAACTGAGAGGGGACCTCATCAATGTATATGAGTCTCTTAAAGGAGGGTGACAAGGGGATGGAGCCAGGCTCTTCTCAGAGATGTCAAGCAATAGGATAAGAGGCAATGGGCAGAAAATGATGCACAGGAAGTTCCACCTCAATATGAGGAAGAACTTCTTTACTGTGCAGGTGACCACACACTGGAACAGATTACCCAGAGAGGTTGTGGAGTCTCCCTCACTGGGGATATTGAAGAACCAGCTCAGCTCAATCCTGTCCAATGTGCTCTAGGATGATCCTGCTTGAGCAGGGAGGTTGGGCCAAATCATAGAATCATAGAATATGCTGAGCTGAAAGTGACCCATCAAGATCATTGCATCTAACTTCCAGCCTTGCACCAGGCAACCCAAGAGTCACACCATGTGCCTGAGAGGATTGTCCAAACATTTCTTGAACTCAGACAGCAGGGCTGGTGCTGTGACCCTGGGGAGCCTGTTCCAGTGCCCAACCACTCTCTGGGTGAAAAACCTTTTCCTGATACCTAATCTAAACCTCCCCTGACTCAGCTTCATGCCATTTCCTTGAGTCCATGCCATTTTCTTGGTCATGAGAGTGAAAAGATCAGTACTTGTCCCTCCTCTTCCCCTCACAAGGAAGTTGTAGACTGCAATAAGGTCTCCCCTCGGTCTCCTCTTCTCCAGGCTGAAAAGACCAAGTGACCTCAACCACTCATATGGCTTCCCCTTCAGACCCTTCACCATCCTCATGGCCCTCCTTTGGATGCTCTCTAATAGGTTAATGTCTTTTTTATACTGTGGTGCCCAAAACTGCACACAATATTCAAGGTGAGGCTGCACCAGTGCAGAGCAGAGTGGGACAATCCCCTCCCAAAGGCGATGCTTTGCCTGATGCCCCCCAGGACACAGTTGGCCCTCCTGGCTGTCAGGGCACTGCTGACTCATATTCAACTTGCCATTGACCAGGACCCCAAGTCCCTTTCTGTAGCAGTGCCTCTCATTCCCTAGTCTATACACAACCTCAGTGTGGTCCCTTCTAGCCTTACCCCTTCTGTGATTCTGTTGAAAGGAGCATGAGTCCTTCTACATTGATTTTCTTCACTTGCTTCTCTCCCAATTTACTCTTGATGGACTCCTATCTTAAAGTATTTCAGTATTTTCCTGGTTGATCCACATAAGAGTCATTACCTGCCAAATCATTGTACCAAACAAACCAACAAACAAGAAACAAAAGGGTAGGTAGACCGATTACATATGCCTCATAAGTTTTTCCAGATAACAGCAGTTATGGAAAAGCTTCTGCTAATCCTTCCTCCCTGTCAGCTCTGCTTTATAGAAACAGCACTGGTGGAAGAAGAGTTTTGCTTAAGGGACTGGCATTAGATTATGATGGGTTGTTAATTGCTGAATAAGCATCCTTCAGTTTTTAATACAACCATCTGACAACTGGAATTCTTTCCTGGCATTTTTGTTGGGAGATAGATGTGCAGAGTTCATAAACTAGGTACGGTTAAATTTTAACCCCACCCATAATGTTAAGCTGGTTGTTTCCTTTTCCCTGAGGTGGATTTAATCTTTGGCAAATAAATGTAAAAGTTGTGAATGATTATGGAAATAATGGCCAGAATTGATTGAATATTAATATAATCTTTCTGTTCTGCACTTTTAGCTGGACTGCTCACCAGATAATTGCCCTTACTTGCAGTTTTAGGTATGCCTGATACAGTAGAAGAGATGTGTCCAGAGATCCCTCAGCTGGATGGACTTATAAAGGAAATTAATGATTTAGCAGAGTCTGGAGCAAGGTATACTGAAATGCCTCATGTCATTGAGGTTATCTTACCCATGCTATGCAACTATTTATCCTACTGGTGGGAAAGAGGGTCTGAGAGCGTTCCTCAAAGTGGTGGGCCTTGCTGTACAATGATAACGTCTGAGCATCTGAGCATCGTTCTTGGGAACATTCTAAAAATCATTAACAACAATCTGGGAATAGATGAAGCATCTTGGATGAAAAGAATTGCAGGTACTGTAAACATTTTTTGAAGAGTAATTTTACTAATAATATTTAATTTCATTTTATACTTTACCTTATTACCCAGTTATATAGTAGCAATAAATTGTAATAAAACCATCATGAAAGATAGATAAATGAAAGATAAGTAACAATTTATTTTTTTATTATTCATTTTATACATGCAGTGTAGCATCACTTTAAATAGAGAGCTTTCTATACACCATAACAGATTTTGAAAATCTTACCTCCTCTATGCACTGTATAAGAGCCTTAGAATTTATTTTGGAGTTGTCAGTTCCACGGATTTTCGAGACACCTAAGAAGTGAGTTTTACAGTAGAGGGTATAAGTTCTGTGAATTATGTTCATGAAATATCAGGACAAAATGCAAAGAAATTGTAAATGGTGAAATAATCTCAAGAGTAACCCAAGTTCAAAATTAGTTGGTTTATCTGAATAAATGTGTGATCTATTAAATGAGCTGAAAGTTTTCTCAAAATGTCCTACAGGATTTAGTATCTAGCTAGATAAAGAAATTTACTGTATCCAAATTTTATCATTCATATTAACCAGTGTAAAAATGTACTATGCAATAACATGGTTCATGAAAACTTATGTAGAGGTAATAATTTACTGCTAAATTTGAATGTCCAGTACTCATTGGTACTGGACTTCGGTATTATTTTAAATTCTGGAAGATCCTTAATAAAAATAAGAATTCCATTCAAATTTAGTAAGAAGTTTGCTGCTTAATTGTAGAGAACATCTGTTGCAGTTTTGACATTGGGTACGAAAAACCCGCGCACACAAAAATGCAAAAAAAAAAGAAGTATTTTGTGAGGACTTTGTGTCTCAACCTCTACTTTGCTTAGGTTCTTAGTTAGAGACATGTGACTTGCAAAGACCGTGATAGTTTAATTTACATAAGACTGAAATACTTATCCAAATCCACAGTGTTTTAGTCTTTCAATACATATAGTTTTTACAAAGGTACATTCATAGTTTTATTAGGAATTTTATGATGCAGAAATATATGAAGCCCTTTATTTATCATTTCTAGAACTTCAGAGTTCATATTAGTATGATGAAAAACACCAATAGTGCATTAATCATAGTATTATCCATATTTTCACATATAGTTTATGCTCAACCCATCATCAGCAAAGCCAGACCTGATCTGCTCAGATCTCACTTTATTCCAACACTGGATAAATTGAAGAAGAAAGCTATAAAGATAGCGATGGAAGAGGAGCAACTGAAAGCAGATAGTAAAACTGACACCCAAGAAGCTGAGCTACTCATTCTCGATGAATTTGCTGTACTTTGTAGAGACCTTTATGCTTTCTATCCAATGTTGATACGTTATGTAGACAACAACAGGTAAATAAAAATTAATAATTGAACTCAGATGTATTAGTTAATATACTGGAGTCTATGATTAGACATTCAGAACATCATTTAATGTTATGCTAAGAATCAGATCCTGAGTATTTTAAGATTCTTCACTTAAACAACGCTGTACCTTGAATTCACACCTTTTGCTCACGCGCATGGCTTATTTGGTTGTATTGTAACTAGACTAATACTACTGAGAACACATATCCTGACCAGACCTATACGTCCTATGACATTACTAATTGCTTTTCAAAAACTAAAAAAATGGCTAAAATCCTTACCTGTTAATTAAGGGACAAAAAAATATTTTGCCTCCATTGAATGATTCTCTTTGTAGATAATACCACATAGTTGTTATTCTTTTGCGGGGTTTTTTTTGTTTGTTTTGTTTTTTCATTTCTTTTTAAGATGAAAAAAAAAGTATTTGAACGACATTGTACCAGAATTTTTTTCTTTAACCATTTACTGAAGGATTATTCTGCACTTCCCCTGCATTTTCCATTTCCTTTGTCCCAGAACATGACCCCAAGATGCTCCTCAGAAGAGAGTCTGAAGTATTTATAGTATCTCAGCATCTGCAGTGTCTTATTCTATCCTTAACAACACTGTTCTTCTGTACACAGTCATTGTCCCCTTTTTTTTTTTGGTGTTAGTACATATTGAGCTTGTTAGAAGCATTACATTGCATGCATAATCCTTTGTGGACAAATTTACACTGAGAATTGTTTTCTTTTTCTAGATGAACTCAAGGCTTTACTATGTCAGATCTTGTTGGCAAGGAAACAGTTCAAATATTTTAAAAAACACAGATTTAACTTGGCTGTGGAGAAATCCAACTAGAAAGATAAAGTTAATGAGCATAAATTGTAACATAGTAACTATTTCCATGTCTGCTGTCAGGTGCCCACTTTATGTATGGTCATATCAATACAATTTTATTTAGAGACATTTAAGAGGGCTGCATATGTTAGTTCATTTGCACAAGTTTTCTGAGCATCCTTGTGCAGACACACTCAGACTGAAGTTGTATTAGTTCCTGGATAACAAAAATAAACCAATTGAAGAATCTTATAGCTCTATCCACTCATTCATTTCCCTGTAGTCTTCCTTCTCTTCTTGTTGCAGTGTTCTCTTTTGGATCAACACAGTTTTGATATCAAAGTTTTATTAGGAAGGAAAAAAATACAATAGCAAGGTCTGGATTTTAGTCTGGTTCACAGAACAGGCACAAAAACGTGTTGGCACCATGGGGAGGGGGAGCAGGCAGAAATAAATAGCCAAGATTAGGACTTTTGCTGGAGATTAAACTCCCATGAAAGATTGCCTCTCTAAGCATGGTCATGACAATCTAAAGAGATTTTCCTTGAATTCCAAGATTAACGATACAAATGTAACCTGATCTATTAAATAGAGATTATTATAATAAAATGTCTTATTTTAAATTTCTCTTATTTTTGTAATTAGAGCCAACTGGCTAAAGAAACCAGATGCAGATTCCGATGAACTCTTTCGAATGGTAGCTGAAGTTTTTATCCTGTGGTGTAAATCACATGTAAGATAAGATGTACATTTTTTCTTTCATTTAATCCTATCTTTATTTATAAAGGTGGTACATGCAGACGAACTAAATTTCTGGTGATTTATTTTTGTCTTTAGAATTTCAAAAGAGAAGAACAAAATTTCGTGATTCAGAATGAAATCAACAATTTGGCATTTTTAACAGGAGACACCAAGAGCAAGATGTCTAAAGTAAGTTAATAAAAATTTGTGGATCAGGTAAATTTTCACTATGTGTTTAGTATGTTGTAAGAAGGCTCTGAAAATCTACTCAGATTGCAGCTGCTGTACTAGTAGAAGAAAAGAAAAATAGTTTTGCTTCTTGATGACAGATGTGACAACTACTATGCAAAATATAGCCTATGTACCTTAGAGTTACTTATTAAATGTTTGCTAATATTCAAATACACAAGATTTAAATAAAAGTCTTGATTTGGGAAATTACATGTATAAGAGAATATGGCTTGTATTATAAAATACAGGTTGTTGATCTTTTAGAAAAAAAAAAGGTAGACTATTTTATAAAAGCAAGTGAAAAAACATTGGTTGCCTCATCATTTTCCTGTGAATGTCATATTGTTCTGTCAGCTTTGATGGATGACTGCTGTCTTTGCATATACCCCTTTATTTATACATATAGTGTGCCACATGTACGCTGGTTTTCTTATTTTTTATTAATGTCTTTTTTGCTAATTTTCAATATGACAAGAGGCTGATACAACGGCTTAAAGTACATTTGTTACCTGTTTAATAGACAAAATTCATGGTGTCAAGGTAAAACACGCTGAAGAAATTACCTTACTAAACTAAAGCTAGAAGAAGTCTAATTCCAAATTAGTGTAAGTAAGTGTAGCAAAGGAACCTTTTCTTTTATTCATATTTATAATGTGTTTGGAGTAATTTTGAAAGTCTACCAGAGAAGTAGTGTTTAAAGTTTTTTATTTCAATGTATTTTGGTTGCCTGTTACCAAGCTACTGTAAGTTCAACTTAAGACAATAGAGAGGCAGATAAAATGTGCCCTTATATTTCATAAGTTTCTTTAAAAAGGTTTGTTTGGGTTTTTTTTTATTATTAAGTTTTGAAACCAGGCCAAGCCAAATGCTGATATTGGAAATCTTACGTCCAAAACTAGCAGATTATCTGGTTGTCATTAGTTCATGACTGGCACTAAAAAAAAAGTCCAACTATATACAGAATTCCATATTCAGAGAAAAGAAAATTTTTAATGTGTTTTCCTGTTTTCAAGATGCAGTTTACAAAATTGTCTGATAGAATTCAAACGTTTGTATCATCCTCATTAGCAAGATAAGTAGTGGGCATAGTCAAGGCTATTTGAGGAGAAATTGCACAATAACCAAGTCTAACATGCAGCTCTGTACTTTTATCATATGGCAATCACTGCACATAGATTTAATATGTGTACTTCAGCATTTATATGTTAGAAATGGCCTGAGAAGTAGGCCAATTAGGTGGACTTTTTTTAAAAAAAAGATAGATTAGAATCAGGTGATTCATATATATTTAATCTAAATTGTTTCTCACTGTATTAATTCAGGATAATATGATGTAAACAGTGTTATATTTTTGTCAGTCTGGTACGGCAGGAATGAAAAACAAATCTTTACAAAATAAAGAATAGGTAGGCCTCATACTGCTCTGATTTTGGAAAAAATCATGGGAATTTAACATCAGGAATCTATATTACCCAAACTTGATTTTGAGATTATATTTTCAAATGCCTGAAGCATATATTTAAGTATAGAGATATACTGTGTATGAATACTTGTATGAATATATTTTTACATAACAGAGATGTAGATGCATATATAAATGTGTTTTTCTTCCTATGGGTATACAGTACAGAGAGATTGTGGGGTTTTTTATATGCATATAATTTTTTGCTAGCATACAATGTCAACTTATGGCATTCAAGGGCACTGTGCATGACCATTGCTAATAAAGGAAGAAATAAAATACTTTATTGTTCATGATTGAATATTTTATTAAATGGTACCATAACTGCAGGCATGATTGCAGAACAGCTGATAATTTAGATAGACATTTGTTTCATGATGACTTAAATACCAAGATGAAATGTATGAGTTGTATTTTAGAAGTGTTGTATTGGTTTTCTATCGGTGGTTTCTAAGCAAGAAATTGTTAATATTTCATAATATAAAATGTAAGTGCTCTAAAACCAGCACAGTCATTAAAGGATAGATTTACATCTGATTTTTTATTTAAGGCTGCATAGTTTAAAATAAACAAGAAATTCTCTAGGTAACTGAACTTCAGGATTTCTTACAAGGTTTGGTACTTATTTATATCCTCAGACAGTGATCAGTAGAGGACATTACATTAGGGAATATTATTTTTATAATTTCTTGCTTTAATATTAACATTCAGCTCAAAAAGCATTATGCTAACAGAATAATTAGCACTTTCCTCTCTATCACTAGTTTATCTTTATTCATATTATTTTCAGTGTAAACAATTGTATCCAGTATTTACCAAGCATGAGAATGTATAGAAAACTGTGAATATGAGCACTAGATCTTGACAGTTGGCCCAAGACAGAACAGTTTGAGGTCTCTTAAAGGAGTAAGGCCCCATGCTGATCTGAGACTGCTTTATATAACAGAGACAGACTCAGTATTTTTCCTAAGATACATGTACAGAAGGTTCTATATCTTTACCTGCCACATGAAGAAAAAAAAAAGCAGAGGATGAAGGAGTAGCATTACATCATTTATTGGCAGCTAAAAGCAGTGGTAACAAATGATTCATCATTACAATCAATAAATTGATTAAGTATCCATTGTATTTTGATTATAGCTTTTCAAATAAATGTATTAACAGCTGAGAAAGTCTTTTAATTTTTCTTTTCTAAAAATATGGCAGCAGAGTGCTCGGAGGGGAATGGTAAGTTAGAGAACTTCCAGTCTGAAAGAGACTGGTAACTTAGATTACATTGAAATAACAGATTTGTGATAAAAGTGTTGAAATGGAGAATTTAAACACATTCAACTCCACTAATCTGTTATTTTTGACCCCTTCATAGGTTTCTTGATAAAACAACATTTTGCTTAAGAGCCAATGATGTCCTGTTGAGTTTTTCAGTATAAAACGCTAAGCTTATACATTCACATGTACATAATAACTGTGTAATATATATGTGGGCAGTTTTTTTGTGTAAGTTTTAGAATCTAAATGAATGTATGGCTGGATATATACCCTCAGTTGCTAAACTCTTGCATATTCTGCTGAAGTTCTATTTGACTGGTCCTCATTATTTTTTTAATCTATTTTTAAGAACATTTGGATAGACCTATTATATTACTATTATAGAATTTGAAGGCATTCATAGCATTCAAGTTTGTATTATGAAACAACATTGTGGTTTGTGCCTATTTGTGATATGTAATACATATTATTTGGAGATTTACAATAGTTAGAGGATTTCATGTTAGTATTTTCTGCAAGAATTTTAGATCTCTGAGACTATTTCAATTGCAAAGAATGTATTTCCTTCGGATATACTGAGGTAAAGCATGAGTGGATTACTTTTATAGTCATCTCTAATAAATGAAGTATAATTAACATCTTGTCTTTACTTACCTTCAGTATATATCTGCTGAGCCATGTCTAGGAGCATCTACATATTTCACATAATTGAAATTTTAAATTAAAATTTGCTATTTGTCTGAGTAAGGTGTTCAAGATTCTAAGAATCTAAGATTCTAACACTTAATTTGATGATTAGTCTTTTGTTTTTCTTGACTTGAAGCCTTTTTTTACTATGTGGTATTAGTACAGTAGGCTGAAAAAGATTTTAAAAATACCTAGACTTCAACATTTTAAAGCTTACCTAAGTATCACAAGAAAAGGAAGTTACTATTAAGGTAATGACAGAAGTAGGGGCTTGTGTGTGTTTATAGATTTTTCTGCCTGTTTAAACCCAACAGTTTTCTATAGTATTTTCCTATGCCTGGTAAAGGATTCTTTTGAGTAACAGTTTATTTTATTTTAGAGTAACTAAATGGTTTTGATGTTAAGATTGCCTGACCAATGATAATATAGTGTTGACTATGGAATATATATTTATTTAAGTGTATTTATGGTATTAATATAATAAACATGGGAAAAACCCCTCTGTATGTATGAGAGTTACAGCTGAGTTGATAATGTTCTTAAAATGGGTACTGCTAAAAGAAACAAGCTAAAGCTTCTCAGATTGTCTTCAAAATGATAATAAGATATGTGATGGGAAAATACATCTATAAATGAAGTGCTACACCTTCCCAGTGATAATTTGATTTCTAAACATAATTTTTCTCAAACATATTTTGGGGGGGGAAGAGGGGAGAAAGAGCTATTTTGGTGAAAATGTGAATATTTTTCATTATTGAACTATCCAGAGTCCAGACACCTTTCTTCTTTTAATAAAATTGGGAAAAGATGCAGTAATTAGTATATTGATAGGCTGGCTTACTAGATGTACTTCCTTATGTGCTCAAGCAACAATTGGTAGTGTGTGTTAGAATAGCGACAGAAATTCAGAAGTTCAATCATTTAATAAGGATTAAGCTGATTTCACTAAGAGTCTCATTTGGTTATGCATTTGTTTTAGCTACAAACTTACTATATTTTTACTGTCCTAATAAAGCTGAGTAAGTTTATTACTAACTTGTAAAATTATCATCTTTTCGTCTCTTTTACTTATGTTTTTTTCCCCTTTATTTTTCTTTCACACAGGCCATGCAAGTAAAGGTACAGGTCAAAGTGCATGATGTGTCTTTGTTTTAGATTTAGAGATGATCAGGCTCCAAGCACTCTTTCCATTGATCATAGCAGTGGCGTCACAAAGTGAAGGTCCAGGTTCCACCTACTATAAATTTTGTCCAGGTTGAAGTGGCAGTTTTGATCAGAGCAGCTGAAATTCCCTTTGACACTCCTTACGTGCTGCTTAATGTGAAAATGTAGTCAAGTTACCTTTTGTAACTATTTTAGATGTACATTCCGCCTCTGCTGTCTTTCTGCATTCTGTTTTTTTGCTAATATATTGAAGTAGACATTGTAAAAGCAATGTTTAAGTAGAGTCATCAGAAAGATGCATTTGGCTTATGATATTCAAGAAGAATATATGGTAGACATGTGCTATAACCTGTACCTTGTCTGAAGATGAACAGAAGTTGTATTAAAACCAGTAAGTTTAAATAAGATATACAGTTCAAATCCTCCCTTTTTCCAAAAGTAAAATGATCTTTACTAAAGCTGTGAGCAGTGACAAAGCTTTTGAATAATCCTTGTTTCTTTAATGTACTTAATGTATTTGAAGCCTTCTTCTCCTCCAGTGAACCATAGGTCACCTTCCCTTGCATCATTCCTATTTTTTTTAATATGAATTTCTAATTAAGTACTAAGATGAGTACTTTTTGACCTATGGTGTGTTCTTCATTGGTGAAGCAGAATGAACAGCAAAATGGAGCATAAACCCTTTCATCTTTCCCTTCACCCGCTGTGCTGAGAAGCACACACGGTGCTGTGAAGAGCTTTTAATCAATTAAATTGGAGGCATAAGTTAAAAAACGAGAAGTTCCGTTAAACTAACAACCTGATTTCATGATTTGTTGTTGTCAAACTTCTCCAGGTATATAGAGTACAATTTAATGAATGCTCCCATGATAATTTCAGAGACTTGAAGGGTTAAAGAGGGATGGAAATACTAAAAATATTAATTCCATAATCTTAACCAGTTTTAGCTGATTTTATTAGTGTAAATAAATTATTTCTTCTTTTTCATTGCATATTTAGTTATTATTAATCTACTAAAGAATCTGTAATTCTTTTTCTGTATATTTTTAAAAGAAATATCCATTTGTGTGTTGAAATCCTCAGGCAAGTAATATCATTATGTGCTGTTAGGCAACCAAATTGTATCATTCTTTCTGTTCAAGTCCTTTTAGCACAGTTAATTATTAGGCAAAATACATCCAACTTAATGCTCTTTACATATGTAATGAAAGTATTGTGTTTACTCTTATATGTGCATATCAGAACTGAGATACAATTTCATTGTCATTTAGGTTTCTGTTTGTGACTCTACTTATACATTTATCAACTGATGTGAATTCACAGACAGCAGAATTTATGGCAAAGGCAGAATGACTCTTCTTTTTGTGCTTTAAAAATGTTCAAGTTTTAAGGTTCCCCTATCTCGTTCATACGTTGTTATTAATCTCATATAGACATACAGCAAATTGGATGTGTGAAAGGCCTCAGGCATAAAAGATGCAGAAACCAGTATCTCTCCTTCTTTTCTTTTTTTTTTAATTATCTATTGCAGATTTTGTTATTCCTTATTTAAGATGCATAGTGACGCCACTGGAATACAGCGATACATTGTGGGATTTGTTTGTCTGCTGTCAATGTAGAGTACAAATAATGTCATTGTTATAACCATTGCATCACTGCTATTTCTAAGGCACTTTGAAAAGCAAAGCTTTGAGGCAAAGTACTCTCTTGCAATTGTTAGTTCCTTAAGAAAGGAAGCCACATCCATTGCGTGTTCCCTCAGACCTGCAAAATGCTTAACACCAGCTATGTACGTAGAGATTCACCACCTAGAAGAGAGAATTTGCCAAAATTTATCACTGAGTAGAATATGTATGGCTGCCTTTTTTTCTTCCAGTGATACTGTGATAATAGTGAGGCAGTAATTGGGATAAGGAATTGCAATGGATTCTGCTGGATCCTTATGTGGAACTACACAATATATTATAAGAACAGTTATCACTAAAACTTAACTGAGAGAAGGAAAAGGATGTGGAGGATTAAATGCAAGCATCTGCTATTTTGTAGTGTTGTATAAGCCTGGAGGCCTAGTCCTGAAATCTTATCTCAGCCAAAACTCCCCTTGAGCGTAGTAGGAGTTTAATCTAGGTACAGAATTCAGAACTGGGCTATTTTATGTTGTTGCTGTTTACTGCGTTTATTAAATATATGGGTCTGTTTGAAAGATTTTGGTTCTCTGTCTCATAAATGAAAAGTCAAGTGTGAAATACTGTTGTACAGTGTCTGTTGTATGAAGATAGGGCAGATGTTATTTGTTATTCTGTTTACTGTTTACCTCTGTCTCTTTTGTTTTCCTTTGCCTATTACTGATGATCTCCAAAGTTGCAAAAGTTTTAATTTTTCATCCCAAATCTACTAATATTAGCCAAAGCCAAAGGGCAGTGCTTTTCCCAGAGGCACTAATTCATTGGCATTCTACTGCATTGAATCAAAGCTTTTTAAATACTAGTATTTTTCAGATGAGACAAATCAGGCAATATTCATTCATTCAGACCCTGGATAGCTATCTTTATATATAGATTTCCTAAAAAAAATGTAAACATCCTGAATTTGTCTCTAACATTAGAGAGCTAATAGTGTCCTCTGAGACTGACTCATCTTTTAATTTTAGGGTTGTTTCTGATCTGAGAGGTAAGATCCAGAAAATATAGTTAGAGTCATATTATGAATGCACACAAAAGTGTTTTACTCCTATTAAAACATTACTGTTACTGCATTTTCTGCATTGGCGCACACCAAAATTATTCCTTCATGTTTCCTGCTCAAGACTATACACCCTTCCTCTGATGTAGCATTTTTAATTAGTTGTACTACATCAGGAACATAGTTTTTCTGGACCATTGGGAAAGAACATGTTGGAGAAGTGTGTGATTAGAGAATTACAGTAATTTACTTTTCTTTTTTTTTTTTTTTTAAATGATAGTCTGGAGGACAAGATCAAGAGAGGAAGAAATCAAAACGTAGAGGGGATTTGTACTCCATACAAACATCTTTGATTGTGGCTGCACTTAAAAAGATGCTTCCTATTGGTTTGAATATGTGTACTCCTGGAGATCAAGAGCTCATCTCTTTGGCTAAGACTAGATACAGCCATGTAAGTGTGTACTTTGCAATAGTTTTTAATGCAAAATAAGCAGAACTTTCTAAACTGTATTTTGAAGCATAGCTATCTAAGCAGTCAATATTATTAAATATATCTATGTACTGTAAGCAGTTATAGCTTCTAATTATTCGTATACAATGTGCAGTTTTATATATGCCTATTCATTTGGACCGAATAGTGAAATACCATTAGTTAGCTTTAATTCCCTTCAAAGTTTAATCCTTTTTTTGTGGTTAAGGAAAGCCTTTGACCCTTCTGATATCTTACATACTTTGAATACAAAAGAGGTTACTTTTCAATATTAAAATAAAAGCTGTTCTATGTTGTAAAATTTCTTATAAAATAAATCATAATCTGAACTGAAAAATGCTTCTACCTTTCTACAGAGGGACACAGATGATGAAGTCAAAGAACATTTACGTAACAACTTACATTTGCAGGAAAAGGTAATATAAAAAACCTCTGTCTTAAGGTTCTGATGTGCACTTTTAAAACACAGAAGGCACAATTGTTTTGATAATTGGGATACATTAAAAAATATAATCTGAAAAGCTAATAGAAAAATTGCCATTTTAACATTATTCTTCATGATTTTTTTATTATAATAAATGGCTTATTTGTAGTTTTGGCTGGTATAATCAAGTTTTGGGAAGTTGTATAGAATGGCACAAGTGTGAAGAATTGAGATGTTGGCAGTCTTAAAGCTATAATTGCTTAGAATCATCTTGACCCAAGAAGAAAAGAAAATTGGAACTGTAATATTTCAGCTTCTCTTCTTGAATTTAACTTTCACTAATAATTAAATAGCATTTCTAAGAATATATACATTTTAAAGTGACTATGATAAAACAAGAAAAGCTTGTGTCGTCTTAGCACTTCTGAGTTTTACAAGCACCCTTATATTCCTACAATTTATATGCCGAATACACTGTCAAAGGTAATACCAATATAGAGTCCTCATCATTCAGTAAACTATAAATAATTTAGATCATTGCCTACAATCTTTGAACACAACAGGAGTCACTCATTTATCTGTTATGGAAGATGACTGTCTGGTTGATAAAATTTGTGCTTACATAAATTTGGAATGGACACAATAAGTAATTTAATGTGTTTTGTCATTTTTTCTGTCTTCTAAGTAAAAACCCAAAACCTTTGGCTGTTACAGTTAAGTGTCTGTAACCTACTTAAATTCTGGCTGTCTATTCTAGACTCCAAAAAACAGCTTTACACTATTGGTACAGAGGTCCTGCAAGGAGTTAATTCCAGTACTAAATGAGCTTTCTTATTTTTAATGCAGTTAAGTGGGATACAAAAGTCCCAGAGCGCTTTATTTGGTTTTGTGAAATAAAAATACAGAACCTTGCTCAAGAATTGAGTTCAATTGCCCAGCAGTATACAGAACCCAATGCCATTTTTTTGAGCAGCTGGAATATGTTAGTTTGGTCTGAAAGGGGACAGAAAGTGGGAGTATCTATAACATTTTTTATTATACCATGAGAGCAGTAGTGGTGTTGGTCAAATTCAGCGCCTTCATTCAGCAGCTTACATATGAAATATGTTGGGTTTTAGTCTGATGATCCAGCTGTGAAATGGCAGCTAAATCTGTACAAAGACATTTTGAAGAGTGATGGACCTACCGACCCTGAGAGAAATGTTGAACGTGTGCAGAGGATATCAGCTGCTCTGTATCATCTGGAACAGGTAAAAACATAAATGTCTATACTGTGTTTGTTTGAAAATAACCTGAGATTTTTCCTTGCAGAGATTATTTCAGCTTCAGTGAGTGTTGTCATTAAAGTGTCCACATAAAAATTGGGGTTTTGCACATGCTTGCATGCAAGTACACATGCACATACAGATGTGTATATACACAAAAATTTAAATGTAATCTGTTTAAGTGCCTCTATCTAGCTTCAGGGAAAACTCAGGATGTATTTGCCTCTGCAAAACTTTGTGAACAGTTGCAAGAAGTATAGTATACAAATCATCTCTGTGCAGAAAACCCTGTAATTTTAGGAAGAGATGTTTGCTTGTCTAGTTATTTTTAATATACTGAGTTCAGCCTGTCTCCTATTTCTGCACCTGAGCATGCCATAGCAACTTTTGAATCGGTTGCCTGTTCACTCAAATGATACAATTTAAATACATAAAGGCAACTGTACTCTTCCTACATAAAGTTAATCCATTTCAATTATAAGTGATATAGCACAGAAATTCATTCACATGAACAGTTGAATACACATTGTTAGAAACAGACAGAATAACCATTTTGGAAATTTACCAAGGAGTGGCACACATGAGGTATTGTAACATCTTGAGCTTGCCTGAATAAACTGACAGGTACTACATAGAAGGTCCCTAGTATTTTACTTACTAATTAAAAAAATAAATAAAGCCCAAAAGCAACTTTTTTTTTCAGATTATGCAGAGCATTTGTAACATTTTCTACTTTGCTAACTAGCTAACCATTAGCTAAAAAGAAAATTTTGAATGAAAGTTGAAGTGTTTCCATTGTATGTACTAGAAGATATTTTCCCGTAGGTTGAACAACCACTGAGATCAAAAAAGGCTGTTTGGCACAAACTCCTGTCAAAACAACGCAAAAGGGCTGTTGTTGCATGTTTCAGAATGGCACCATTATACAACCTGCCAAGGTAAATGGCTTAAAGGTTTATTTTTTCATAACTTTTTTGTTTACTTAGTTCTCACTATTCATGTGTTTACCTAGTTTGTTGATTGTTAGGTCTATGTAATTTTAAGAGTTGGTTAGTTATCAGCTAATTACTCATAGTAGCAAAATACTCACCTCATGACAAATAACCAGAGGGGGAAAAGACCATAAGAATTATGCTGCTGCAAAACAAAAATGCTTCATTATTGTCAGCCGTATAGTTCCTCAAGTTATGTGTGAAAATTATTAAGATGTTGCTGTTTCTGTCCATTTTTTGCCTCTGACTGGTTGCTCTTTTTATTCTCCTGTGTTTGTATTCTTTTTTCTTTTTTTTTAATTGTTTGTAGCTCTTCCTCTCCTGTTGCATGAACACTTCATGCTCTGTAGCTTGTCTAGAGCAATCTTAATCTGAATGGTATATGAATTAAAATAACTATTGGGGCAGAGCAGTGCAGAATGATATTTTGGGCTTGTGTGTTGCTCCATTTCTTATTCCAGTTGAATGTAGACACCACAAAGTCCAAGACAAAGTGCATCCTGTGCCTGGATCCATCTACTGCTTTAAGCAGAATATTAAAATCACGAGGCACTGGGGAAATTTCCTTTATCCCATTCTTTCTCAAAAAATCTGCTCTATTCAGACACAGGTTAAGCACAACTTTAATTAGGTTTGCCTCTTACTTTCTGCACTTTTTCACCTTTCATGTCTAATATTTTTATTCAAAGATTGTTGGCAAAGTATTTAACTGTAGAGTTGCACTGCATTTTTAAATGCCTTTGTTAAAGTCAATTTACATGCTTGATGTAAAGGTCTATAGATAACATCTTTAGCTAAGGGTCTGTAGCTGTACCATTAACATACTGGAGGAAGATTATGTTTACAGAAGATAAATAAAAAGCCAGTTATACCTTAAAAAGCACACATAATTCCTTTACAAAAACGAGTAATTCTAGACTATAGTAAATTCTCCAAGTTATCAAGCTACCACCAGTCAGTCTTTAAAGAACCAGAAAAATGAAAAGGTTTAAGTATAACACAACAAATGGGCTCGTATCAATCCTTTCATCTTCAAGAACGGTGCTTGTAAAAATAAGAGGAAGTGGTATAAAGAGCTCCCATTTCAGTTCAACCTTTTTGTGAGCATGTTTCTTTACACTCATATTATGGATTTATAAATTCTTAAAATGCTTAGAATATATATATGAGCACTAAAATGATAAAATGGCTCATCCTATTTTTGCCTTAAAAAAAATCCCCCTTTTATGTATTATTTTTGAGGTTTATGGAACACTTGCCAAGGGGCAAAGTGGGTTATAAATATTTTTAATTTTCCATAAAATATGGAGTAATACTCAAAATAGAAACATTAACATTTACTGTAATTTTCATTAAAAATTTCTCTGTGTTAAAAACTTTTCTTAAACTTTTTCTTCTCAAACTTTGAGGTAGATTTTGTGGTGCAGTTTACTCCTAATTTGAATATGAATGTGAGGAAAATCTGTCCAGCTATTTCATTTTTGTCAGTTAATTATGCTGTCTGCACTTCAAAACAGGCAAGATTGAAAAAAATGTTTTTAGAATCTTTAAGTCATAGAATGGTTTGGATTGGAATCAACCTTTAAAGAGCATCTAGTCCAACCCTGCTGCAATGAGCAAGGCCTTCTAGCTATATTGCTCGACTGATAGGTGAAGAACAAAGTTGTAAATTAGTTCACAGACACTTATTTTTTTCTAGATAAGTCATAGGATTCTGATGGGAAAATAAGGCTGTCACACTATTACACACCTACAATGATCTCCATTATCTAAATTGATGGTGTTGTTAAGACATGTCTGAACCCTAGGGAGATTACTTCAAGTGAGGCATGATTAATTCTAGAAGCTATTTAAATCTCTTTGAACCAGAGTTTAAAATTGTCTATTTCCTTATTTTATTTGCAGCATTGTATTGGCACTGTTAGTTCTAACTTTGATGCTAGAATCAATTAAAGGGCAGTAAGCACATATGACAGTGGTACCCTTTCATTTATGCTAGAAAAGATTAATATCTTCAGTAAATAATACGCTTGCTCGTTTGAAAGTTCTCTAGATATTTAGGTGGCTTTCAATGAAATTTAATTTTAATCTCACGATTGAATATAATTTTTTGCAAAATATACTCTTATATGTTTTAGGTTTTAGGAGTTCCAGTAAGATATTTCAGAAAAGGAAATGTTTATTGACGTGCAAGTGTTTGTTAAATCACAGAAAAATTACTCTAACTTCTACCATAAATATTCCAAGAACTCCCTTTTATGAAAAGTGCCTGTAGATACAAAAGAAATAATTGTATTTTAAACCATTTCTATTTTCAAAGAATTAAACATCAGTTAAGTTAGGAAATACTAATTCTTCATGTTCTGTGTTTAATGAATGTATGTTGGTTTGAAAAAGTGTCTTATGTGATAAATGTTTTCTCTGAGACGTGTCTATTTTTGTTTGATATTTTATGGAAATTAATTTGAAAAAAGTGTCTTATTGTCTGTCACCTGTATATGCACGTAGATACAGTGAAGTTGTACATGGCAAATTTTCATACACAGTTTACGATACACTTTCTGACTACTTTACTGATTTTAACTTGTGCCTTTCTTCAATGAAAACCTATATGCTTTTCTTCAGACACAAAATTAGCAATTTCTTCCTGAGCACCTTTCAACGTGTTTGGCTGGAAAAAGTACATGAAAAAACTCAGTATGACAGGCTTATACTCAAGTTAACGGTAATGTAACTTGTGGAGAGCCTCTTGCTTATGCGCACACTTCTTCCTTCCCAGCCATGATTTGATATTATCATAAAAACATGAATTTGTACAATTTACAGAGGGGATTCTGATTGGTCAGTTTTTGAAATTTGATAATAAAATCACACCAGTGTCAGCAAGTGAGCCTAAAAAGTTGACTTGATAGCTATTCCATTATAAAATAATGATTCATGTGCACAGTGTATTTGAACAGTATTAAACGGTGTACATGCAGCCTGTTTTTACAGCTTTTTTTGGTGGCACAGCATAAAGGTAAATGAAAAGGCTGCATGGAATAGCCTTTCTAACCTCATGTAGTGTAGCCCAAAACAAAATTTTTCCCAAATGTAATGTACAGATGTAATGATTTGGCCATTATTACGTGTAGCATTATTGCCATGAGCTGTATTTTCTTTGGAAAGTTACATTAATGAATACTGTATAGTAGTAATTAATATGGCTAAGAGTTTGCTAAAATTGGTAATTTTCTATGGCAGGTTTTGTGTCTTTCTAATGCAGCTTCTTTGAGGACATACTAATACTGCCCTGATTTGGAACTGAAAGACTAGAAACTGAGGTTAGGCTTCCCTGTGAAAGGCGGCAATGATTGTCTGCAGATAACATGCTGGAAAGCTCTTGATAATTATTTTAGTGTTGAATGGCCAACTTCTGCTGTCTTGATGTTCTAAATCTAGTAAAATAGATTTACACCTTGCAGGTGTAAATCCCACTCACTCATTCTCAGTCTGTTCAAGTGTGTGTTTTTTTCATTAAGGTTCCAGTCCTGCAGTTTCATGTATAATGTATATTATCCCTCTCAAAGCCTTCAAAATAAAAAGTAATGTATACGTATGTGTATAAAAAAATAGTAAGAATGTTTAAAAGTACCTGCAGCTTTGTCACTGAATGTTAGTTATGTTTTGCATTTTGTTTCACTGACCAATCAGAGGATCAGAATTGTACAAATGTGTATCCTTACTAACCATTAACCATCTGAGCTGTTATACTCTGTTCCGTTACCCCTCTTGATCTCACTTTCACAACCCCCCCAGGCACCGTTCTATTAACCTCTTCCTCAATGGCTATCAGAACTATTGGATAGAAACAGAGGAATATTCATTTGAGGAGAAACTAGTTCAGGATTTGGCTGTAAGTACTGACATAATTGGGCATGTTTTTCAGTGCCCACTTTAGTGTGTATTTTATGTATCTATTATAAACTATATTTCATTTTTGTGTACTGTATGCATATGCATAAACCTATAAAATATTAATACTTATGCTTCAGAGCATAAGGTCATTTTCTGCTGCGGTCAAAAAGACATTTGTCTTGTGATGCACGCTGAAGTGCATTAAGGTGATTTATGCCTTCAGACGGACTATGTGATACTCATTCTTGGGAAGAGAAATGGATTAGATGAACTGTCAGACTATTCTTGAGATTATGGTAATTCCTATGTTCCTATATTTTATCTACTGGGTTTTTTTGAAGCTTGACACTATGGATCCTTTTGGCTTTTTAAAATTTTTTTTTAATGCATATTTGATTTAAACATTTTCAGCTTTGGTACAAATTAATTTTCCTGTTTTCTTACTGACGCGCCATAAGGAGAAGTAAATATACGCCATATTCAGCAAAAATTTAGTTTACCTGTGTACTTGATAAAAGTGACTGATAAACTTCAGGATTGTATTAATAAGTGTTGATTCAGAAAGCCCACTGCTTTTTGTCTTCCCTCTATGTAGTTAGCTTGTCTAAAATACCTCCAAGGGGCCTATCTCCATAGCACCTAAACACCATGAAAGTCAATATACAGCTTCATAGATCATATGCAGATGTATCAGGAGGTGCTTCAGTGTTAGCAAAACCAGTCACGTTGTGCTTTTTAAAGACCCCTTATGCCTAATATTGTAGAATCATAGAATGGTTTGGGTTGGAAGGGACCATAAAGATCATCTAGTTCCAACCCCTGTGGCAACAGGTAGGGACATTCTTCACATGCTCTGGACAATTACTTAGCCAGTCTGTGTTTGACTTTGTTGCTTCTTCCTAAAGGAAAGAAGCAACATTAATCAAAGCAGTGATTACAATTCTTTCAGATTTACTAGAGAAGTAAATTGCACTTCTGTAATTACCATTATTACTATAATTACACTAATTCTGCAATAATTACAAATGCTATGAAGGGGTAATAACACAAGTAAGGTAAAGATAATACACTGATCTTTGGCCAGTACTATGTTATATTTCTAATTGCCAAAAAATGTCTGAAGTTTACAACAAGGAGCGGTCCTTACATTCATTGAATCAAGGTTACTAGAAATTATATATGAAAATATCGTAGCAAACACTAGTCTGAATAAGATGTATCTGATGATATTATTAAAAATTATTCCAGAAATTCTCCTGCTAAATAATTGAGCCGTGTCTTTCTTTTAATTCTGGTCCACTGCAAATGTAATTTCTGCTGAATAAGGCTTCCCTAAGATTTTCACCGTCTCATTCTCAATACCTCACAAATGAGAAACTTCTAGAGTTACTTAAAATATGAACAAAAATCAGATACTCTAACTCTGAGTCCTACAGGCACATAATGTTGCAGGTTATGCTGTAAACTGATTAATAAGATTAAAACTGGCAGTTAATACACATTGAACAGAATAAAATTACTAAGATCCTTTCCTAAGCTTAATTACTCAATTTTTTTTCTTACTTAGAAGGCTTAACTTGTATATTCTAAATCTTGAGACAGACATCTCCAAAAAAAGATGAAGAGGAAGAAGAAGAGACTGAGAAAAACCATCCTGATCCACTTCATCAGATTATCCTCTATTTCAGTCGCAGCGCTCTCACTGAAAGAAGGTAGAAGAGCTGTGTTGAAAAGCACATTGAGTAAAAGCACACAGTAATTGAATTTCTAGTAACATTACAGAAGTGATTTAAACCAACATTAATGTGCATGGTGAATACTTTTTTCTCTTTCAGTTTCATTCATTTTCATGCATTTAAATTCAGTATAACTTTTACACTGAGAAAAATATTGATAATTTTTGACATTTTAAAAGCTTGGTAAATACCCAATACAGAAATAATCGAACCTGACTTCTCATAGAAACATAAAGTCTACAGAAACTGCAGGTTCAATCAGAGTACCCTCCCCTGGTCTCTCCTAGTAATAGATGTGTGTTCTTTTAGTTGGTATTCATTACATTTTACTCAGTTTGTCAGAAAAGGGTTGCTGATGGTTATCATGAATCTCATTGCCAGTTTCTGTTTTGACTTTCGACTGTTGATTAGAATATGTATTTTGTATGAGTATTCCAGTGCTTCATATACTTTTTCTGTATGACTAACGTAATCTTGCCATCTGACAGTTATTAATTATTCTAATTTATATCTCCATATTATTGTTCTGTGCCCACAACAGCCAATGATTCTTACTTATCCAATATGACTAAGTATTCACCTAAATTGTTTTTCAAAAAGTTAGGGACTTGGATTTGGATAAGAAAATACACTTATAATATGATTTTCAAGTGTAATAACTTGCCAAGTAGATGTGTGTCTACTTTAATAGAAAATGAATTTAAATATTAGTAGGCATATGACATCTTTATATTACTACATCATAAAATAATTTTAAGTATTTTTTAATTCTTCCTAGTAAACTAGAAGATGATCCCTTATATATTGCCTATTCTGCGATGATGGCAAAAGTAAGTATGTCATTTCAAGCTCTATTCCTTACTGCAGTCAGGTATTTCCAATTAATTTTAGATTCTTCTTAAAACTTTTTTTTCTGTTTCTTACATGGACTGCTTGAAACTAGTAATTTCTGTATTTTTAATGCAGCAAATGCTGTTCAGAGTTATATATATAATGAGAGATTTCCTACATTGAAACAATACTACACAATTCCAGTAGGTGCAGTCCTACAGTGCACCTACTGTAGGACTTGGCACTTGGCACCCACTTGGCACTTTGTTCTGTACAGGATTAACTCATGAGCAGTCTCAACATGTTAGTTATCTTTATTCTTCGGGTAATTATTTTGGAGTTAATATTTGAAATCTGTCAAAAATAAGTTAACAGTTTTTGCAACATATAGATTCCAGCTGACTCATGTGATGACAGTTTGACTGTGAAGATAAATATCATGGATATAGAGATATGGCACAAGAATGTATAGCCTGCAGTTGCAGAGTGTATATGTGGTTCAATTAATACCCTGAATTACTCATATATTAGGGAATATCAGCTTCTTAGTGTGGATAAGCACAAATATTTACAATTACAGGGGGTTTAAATCTACTTAATACCTTTAATTATTGCTTGAAAAAATTATTTGGTCACTTTTATAAAAATAATAAGCAAGATTTTGTGATTTCTGTTTTTAACATAAAAAGAGCTGTCAAGAAGAAGAAGAGGAAGAAGAAGAAAAAGAAAAGACATTTGAGGTGAGAGTTTAAATAACATTTCTTTCTTATCATCTAATGTGCAAGTATTTAAAATATGTCCACTAGAATAAATGCAAGAATTACATAACACAGTGTGTGTTGAGCTGGTTTACTAGGTTATTCATGAAAAACAAAGATGGTTTGTTTCGAAGTTTTGAAGTCAAACAACCCGTGGATTGTGAAGGCAGATGGTCTTCAGAAACTTCAGATTTCTCAACCTCCCTTTTTTTGGGGTCAGTTCCGGTCTGTATTCTCTAATTTTTGTTCCCAAACCCAGGAGAAAGAAATGGAAAAACAGAGAACACTCTATCAGCAAGCTCGCTTACATGATCGTGGAGCTGCTGAGATGGTCCTTCAGATGATTAGTGCAAGCAAAGGTAATGTTCTGAGATGTATTTATATACATGGTGTACATGTCATAGGTTTTAATATTGTTATGCATATATATACATAGTGTATTATCATTATACCTATGATTTATAAATCATTTACAACTTCTGTATGATAGATGATGAGGCAAAATAAATGTCAGTTACAACTGTACTAGGTAAAATTTCCAGACTGCATTTCTGATTGAATAGTTCATAATTGCATGTTTTAATGACTGTATCCTTGTTTTGACAGGTCATACAGGGCCCATGGTTGTTGAAACTCTAAAACTTGGTATCGCTATTCTAAATGGTGGAAACACCATAGTTCAACAGGTAATGCTTTTCTAACTACTGTGAGTCTTGCTTGCATAAAAGACAGGTAATTTTGAGAATTTTAGTGTCCTGCTGTTTATTTTAATGCACTTAATTTTAAGTCAAACAGTGAAGAAATATCAGAATATTTTTGGTGCAATAACAATTATGTTATTGCTCGTCAGTGATCTGCATTTCAAGGAATTCATTCAGAAACTTGATAATTCATATAATTTTATTAATTATAATGTTACTTATTATTTTTATTATTGTTAATTTAGTTGATAAATATTAACTGGTAATTAACTGTTAATGATTATTTTGTATTTAATGTTAATATTATATATTTCACCTCCCAAATACATAACCTGCAGAAAATGCTGGACTACCTGAAGGAGAAAAGGGATGCTGGATTTTTTCAAAGTCTTTCTGGCTTGATGCAGTCCTGCAGGTAAAAGCATAAATTGTATTATTACAGATTCAGTTTTATTAATTTTGGTGGCTTATTGCTCAGTGCAGGTGGATGGGTTAGATTTAAATTACAGGAGTCACAGTTTGTAGAACTCTTGTAGGAAAGTTTTGTGTATCACAGGCATAGTCTGTTAATCTTTTAGAGTACTCTTCCAAAGGAGAAAATAAAGCAAAAGACTGTGCATGCCTTTGAAGGCTTAGTTTGGAGAGGCAGAAAAGTAAAATGTAATGGCTCCTTTACTGGTCCTAGATCCCTCAAGCTTTTAGGATGGAGAAAAGCCATCACTGAGGGAGAGACAGGCCAGTGGGGCTTTGATAAACTTTCAGTTTCTGCACATTTCTTATGAGTTGCATTAATCTTTGTCTCTTCATATGAATCCTCTGCATATGTATCAGGTTTGTTAGAGATGGCATGTTGCCAGTGAGACTACAGTAGTCCATTCCCTTGATAAACCAGAAATTCAAATTAGTTAAGGTAAAAGACTCCCACACAGAAGGAGAAAAACTGTTGGTGTTTCTGATTACTCTTATAGCAGACAATCTCCTTTTCTCAGCCTTTTAAAGCACCAGAAGTGCTGGGAATTAGAAGTGGAGCAGCTGTATGAAGACAGGGTAAAATGTGGAAGGAATGGTGACCTGCATTGCAGAAATGATAGTTGAATAGTTGCAACCTAATTAAATAACATCTGTCTTGTAATTTTTCCATTTATGTAAAACACTTTAGAAGGGACTTGCTCAAACAGGCCCTGCTGTGATGTTACTACCAATTGTGTATGTCTATCACTCAAGACTTCATTAAAACCAGTTTTAATAAAATGACTTGAACAGTGATAAGAGAATGAAAATGATGCTTTAAAAAATGTTTTTGTTTTTAATGATGTCACTACCCAGAATATGTGACTGCGTCGCTATTTAACTGAACTAAAAATTTGATAATCATAGAATTCTATTTTGACTGAGTAGAAAGTATTCTGCTATTCCACGTGCTGAGCTATGCCAAGTTAGCAAAATAAAATTCAGATATCAGTTTCTTTTGACCTTGGAAGATAAGGAATCTCTGACTACATTTCTGTCTTCTGATTAAGGAATCAGAAATACCATACACCTTCCAAGCAACATAATAATGCATAATGTATGCAGTAGCAATAGAAGTAATGGTGACAACTTAGTGGAAAACAGTGTGAGTGAGAAATACTGCAGTAATGTCCTTTTGGAGGCAGGTTTAAGTCATCATAAACAGTAATTTTCAGGTTCCTTTTCCACTCCTCATTTATACATGAAACCATGAATGACATTACTGGGAGTGAAGTTAGGTAAGTGGTGAGACTTGATCTGAGACTTATTTCTTTTCAGAAATGGACACTGGACCCTTAGTTTCATCCAAAGTTTCATCTTTTATTTAATGAGTGTTTAATAAAATATAAAGCAATGCATGTCATAGTGGGTCAAGAGTAGTCGTTGAAGGCCTCCAGAGATTTTGTAGAAGGAAATAATTTTCCACTGTGTACTATAGTGCTTTTTCCTGTCTGTGCTGTTTGTTTTTTTTTTTCAAATATAAGTGTTCTTGACTTGAATGCGTTTGAGAGACAGAATAAAGCGGAAGGCCTGGGAATGGTTACTGAAGAAGGAACTCGTAAGTAGAATGAAATTGATTCCAGTAGCGCTTCAAACATTATTTTGGCTCCCTTTTTTAACTAGAACTGTTACTTACTGTGGCTCGAGGTTTCTGTTGTTAAACTTACTATGAGTAACTCTAGGCTTTGACTTCTGAACATGCTTTATTTTTACAATATCTTTAGCAATAATTTTTAAGAAAAATACTGTAATTTCCAATATTCTTATCTTGTATTCTTGTTATTTTTCTTTGATCCACAGTCATCGTTCGTGAGCGTGGTATGTTTGGGTTTACAGTTTTTGATACTCTTGTTGCAAAAGTGTGTTGCAAATACAGAGAGAAATCTCTCATTGCATCTTCTCAGATATCTTTAGGTTTAGCTTTGTGGTCTGCAGCAGGTTGTGTGTTCAGCTTGGATAAAGAGTTTGATGCTTATTAAAGAAGTGTCACTCATATTTAAGGCATGATTTTAGTTATGACTAACAATTTACTTATTAGATATGTATCTTGTTGCTTTTTTTTTTTTAATTAGTGTTGGTTTTTTAACCATGGATGCATTGAAGTGTGAAATACTTTTGCTCTGCTTTTTCTGTTTCAGTTTTTCTTTTCATTATTATCAGTCTGTTTCTTTTAACTTGCTTTAACGCTTTCAAAATACTGGTTTTTATTAAAATTCCAGTTTTAAAGGTTACCATAAGACTATGTGTTCTGCATAATTAATCATAACAATTTTCATATAATCTTTGTATTTATATATTTTAAAGGTGAAAAGGTCTTGCAGCATGATGAATTTACTCGAGATCTATTTAGATTTTTGCAGCTGCTCTGCGAAGGGCATAACAATGGTAAGTGAACTGAATTTTGGGGAAAATGTGTTGTGAGTCTGTTCTTAAACAGAGTTGAACAGAACCAATTCTAATAGGTTTTTTTCCCTCTCATTTAGTTTTCTCAGGGGAAACTGGCATGACAAAAATTTGAATTGCACAGTTCAATTGGATTTTTAAGTCCTAATGTATGGTATACTACTAGTAAAGCCTATTCCAAGTCATGTGGGTAACATTTCATCAGTTATATTTAGATTGTGATCCACTGTAGTTGAATTCCACCCATAAGGATCTGTACCCAACAAAATACCTAAAAAGAATGCATTCTCCATGAAAATAGGAAAATAACCTTATTTTTTTCCTTTACACCAACCAAGCACAAACCACTTCTTATTTCAGATTTTCAAAATTACTTGCGTACTCAGATGGGCAACACCACAACAGTGAATATTATCATTAGTACAGTCGACTACCTCTTGCGTCTTCAGGTGAGACAAAAACAGAGGAAAATGGATTATAAAATATTTGCCTTTCCTTCACTTTTATAAATTCACATTTTACTGGAATAAAATGTGAAAATTCTTTCTAAAGGGATATCTAAAATAAAGAATTCTGATTTATTTCATATTTTCTTCCTTTGAAAATAGATGGCCTTTCAGAATTCTGTGTGAAACCAGAAGTTTGTTGACTGATTTCATTGTTCACTTCTGAAAGGAGTGCAAAATATTATTGTAATGAGAAATAGATTGACACAGATATGCTACATTTCATCTGAATTGCTGATTCAGCTTTTGGCAATACAAATGCAGGCAGTAAATACTACATATTGAATTTAAAACTAGAAAATATAATGTTGTTTTTTTTCTTAGGAATCCATCAGTGACTTCTATTGGTACTATTCAGGAAAGGATGTCATTGATGAATCAGGACAACGTAATTTTTCTAAAGCTTTGGCTGTCACCAAACAAATATTCAATTCCCTTACAGAATATATCCAGGTAAACAGAATGTTTTGCTCAAGGTACTAAAAGGGAAGTTCTATGATTACATGGCATGATTGTGTTCTGTCATAAATTTGTAAATACTTTGGCTTTATTTTTTTAAATTTTGATAAAGTTACATGGAATCATTGGACCAGTGCAAAGTGAAAACTAAAACATATGAATGGCTACATATTTTACATGATACAATCTGGTATCCATGCACTAGATACCAAAGAGATCTTGGAAAACTTTCTCATGTAGCTCCATGGAAGCCTGAAACGTCTTTTTTTATTTTTTTGGTGGAGGAGAGGGGAGAGGACAAGTCATAGGAAAACAAATGGTTTTATTTATTTTGTTTTATTTTACATAAATAAAAAATGTGACTTTCTTAATTTTTTTAGGGCCCTTGCATTGGTAATCAACAGAGTCTGGCTCATAGTAGGCTGTGGGATGCAGTTGTTGGCTTTCTTCATGTCTTTGCCAATATGCAAATGAAACTTTCACAGGTATTTTGAGTATTTATATGTTTATAACTTAGTCAAGTTGCAAAGCAGTTAAAGTGCTGATACTCTTTGGTTGTGAAAGGGCCTGTTGCAATATGCAGGTCCAAGACTGAATCTCAGGACTAACATCTTCATATCACTCCTTTTAGCATTAATTGTCACTGTGCACTTACCTTTACTAATATCAAACTTGATGCTTACAGCTCAATTATACCTTTCTGATAACGAATGTGGCAGTTTAGTCTCTTCCTCCCCGTTGCCAAAACCTGATGATCTGCAAGAGCAGAAACATCATTGAAAGCATGGTTCCCATGCTAAAGCTAAGTAGGACAAGAGAAAAGCTGAGAAAGATTCAAAGAGGGAAGGAATGTGACAGTTCAACTTGTCCAGTCAAATAATCACAGACACTGAGCAGGAGGGCACAGGCAGTGTTCATTTCATTGTACAGAGCACTGTGTAGTCCCACCTCACTCCATAGTGTCAGGATTCTGTGTTCTTTTGTGACTTCTGCTCAATGTATCCATACACTCAAGCTCTAGGTGCTGAATGCAAACATGCAGAGAGCAATTTCCTCACTCTTATTCAGTGTCTCTGCTATCCTCTGACATGAGATTTCTTCCCACCCTATAGAAGTATATCAGAACTTTGAGAATACGTAACAGTATTTAGGTCCTTAATGTTAATCACAAATCCATGTTAGACTTCTTATGTTCTGTATTTCAACTCAGCAGTTCTAGTTTTCTTTGAGTGGTAATGCATTATGGTAATGGCATTACGCCATTATATATTCCCAGTGAAGTGAAAAAGGATAGGTTTTTTTCTTAGATACTTCCAGATCTGTGTAGCAAGCAATTTTTTTTGTTTCTCATGTCCCTTATCTGCACTTTGGTACTCCTTAATGCTTTATCAAAGCTTATCTTTATGGTATTAATACCTCTGCTGTAGTAAGTTACATATTGTATTAGACTTCTGATAGTGATCATAATAAAATGACAATGAAATGTTGCTGAATAAGGGGAAGTACGTTTAGCTGACCATCTTTAATACTGTTTTTCTCTAAATTTATTTAGTTTGCCAGATAAATACTAAGAAAAAACAACCTTATTCTCCATTTTTTTTACAGGACTCTGCTCAGATTGAATTGCTTAAGGAACTGCTAGATCTGCTAAAGGATATGGTAGTGATGCTTTTGTCACTGCTTGAAGGTTGGACCTGTTTTTCTTTATGGTCAAATATAATTATCTCACCTTCATAATGTAAAGCACAATTATTATGTTAATCTTTCTAAACTGCTTTTTAATTGCCTTTATGTAATGTCAGGGGGAAAAAAACATACTTCATATTTCTTTAAGAATTATTCTGGAATATACATAGTCATGAAATAGAGGGCTGCTACAGAAAAGCATGTTGAAAGAAAACATATTAAGATTTAAGAACATTTTTGTTTTCTTTTCAGTAGGAATATGAAATGTCTTTATTTAAAATGTAGCCACCAAATAACTTCCTGTTTTAAAACACTACCTAGGTAACGTTGTAAATGGAACTATTGGAAAACAAATGGTAGACACGCTTGTAGAATCATCTAGCAATGTAGAAATGATTTTGAAGTTCTTCGACATGTTCCTGAAGTTAAAAGATCTGACTAACTCAGATGCTTTCAAAGAGTACGACCCAGATGGTAAAGGAATCATTTCAAAGAAGGAATTTCAGAAATCAATGGAGGCTCAAAAACAATACATACAGTCAGAGATTGAATTTCTGCTGTCCTGTACAGAAGCTGATGAAAATGATATGTTTAACTATGTTGACTTTGTGGAAAGATTTCATGAACCAGCCAAAGACATTGGATTTAATGTAGCAGTATTGCTAACAAACCTTTCAGAGCACATGCCTAATGATTCACGCCTTCAGAGCTTACTTGAACCTGCAGAAAGTGTTCTTAATTACTTTGAACCATATCTTGGCCGTATTGAAATAATGGGTGGGGCCAAGAAAATAGAAAGAGTTTACTTTGAAATCAGTGAATCCAGTAGAATGCAATGGGAGAAGCCACAGGTAAAGGAATCCAAAAGACAGTTCATATTTGATGTTGTAAATGAAGGTGGAGAGCAAGAAAAAATGGAACTCTTTGTAAATTTCTGTGAAGACACAATCTTTGAAATGCAGTTAGCATCTCAGATCTCTGAAACAGATTCAGCTGAGAGGCCCGAGGAAGAGGAAGAGGCAGAGCCTGCTTATGTAGTGGATATTGGAGATGATGAGGAAGAAGAAAAGTCCCTGGAACCTGCTTCAGCTTTTGCAGTTGCCTGTGTTGCAGTGAAGAAGAATGTTGCCAACTTTTTTAAGATGGCCACTGTGAAGAACCTAAGGAAACAATACAGGAAAGTTAAAAAGATGACAGTAAAAGAGATGGTGAAAGTGTTTTTCTCCTTTTTCTGGATCCTATTTGTAGGGACATTTCAACTGTTCTTTTCTGTAGTGTGGGGAATATTCCAGATTCTTTGGAGCACTGTATTTGGGGGTGGCCTGGTTGAAGGAGCCAAAAACATAAAAGTTACTAAAATATTAGGGGATATGCCTGATCCAACACAGTTTGGAATCCATGATGATGTTATGGAAGCAGAAAAAGCTGAAGGTGCTGAGCACGGCATCAGAGCTGAACTTGTGCAGTTTGTGAAGGGTGAAAAGGGAGAAACTGACATAATCGCAGATATTTTTGGCATTCCTACAAAGAAAGAAGGTGGATCAAAACACGGTCATGATGCTGGACTTGGCGATATTGCAGAAATCCTTGGTGCTGAGATCCAGACATCCTTGGAAAACACAGTTCATAAGAAAAAAGGATTACAGGTAAATTAAAGAGATTTAATAATAATAATAACAACAACATAATTATTTGCCATTTGCCTGATCACTAAATGCTATCAGTGAGAACATACTTTACAATCTGTACTCATTTAAAAACCAACAGGAAAGTTTACGTCGCAGAAAAATTCAACCCTGTGTTTAGATTATGGTCTTGTTTATTCTGCATACCCTATTTTTTCACAGTATATTTCAATTACTTTTACAACTTATTTTCTCCATAAGATGCCTTACCATTATCATTTTTATTCTACGTACTTTACTGACATTCACATGCAATACAGTATACTTTGTTCCTATTATTTGAAATAAATTTGTCTGAATTTATTGTTAGTTTAATGTTTATCATAGAATTATTCTTTACTTTTATTCTGTTTTATAAAAAAATATATTTGGTTCCACTCAGCTGCACTAAATAGAATATTTTTCTATTTAAAAATGGATTGAACTAAATGTGAAAAACCAAAATTCATTTTTCATGTTTGGAAAGCATTATGTTTCCCTTTACAGTTCAGATCTGTTTCTACTTGTTATTCAAATATATCTTTCCTCTCATCATTAATCTACCTCTTTATGCTATATTCTCCAGATGTTTCAAGATGAATCTGAACTGTACAACTTCTTAGTTCATTATCTTCTCTTAATTCATATGTTTTTCTCCAATATTTGGTACTTGCCTAGATAAAACTATATTTTTCAATTTTTTTAAATTCATTGTGTGTGTACTTGAAAATTAGTCTTTAAAAATCCTGTCTCATTTAGCATAAATGTAACGTGGTTGGTATTTAAAAATAGTATTTTAACTAAAGAATCTTAGCAGGTATGAGTAAATACCTTAGAATTTTCTTCAACAGTGGTTGAAGTAAACATTTTAATTCAAATCTGAATAAACATTTTAGAATTTTCTTTGCTTTACTTTGATTTATACATTTCTCACAGATGTCTTTGTAACTATTGATAAAAATGCTCAGTAATTTTTGCAAATACTTCCAGTTATTAATGTGAAGTCAGTTGTGCAATTTATCCAGCTTTTACCTTTAGTATGTTATCTAGTGAAACTCACCAATATAATTTTAATAATTACATAAACTAATTATATAGTACAGAAATCACTATTCACAGTGTGTAAATAAATGGTTCAAGTAATCCAGTGAGAACACTAGGTATAACTATTAAGTGGAGCTCAAAGTAGAAACAGCAATGTAAGAATCAAAAACTCCCTTCAGGAAATCATATGTCTTTCTTAGGCATCTGCAGTGATAAAATTTACACAAATGGATAGACATAAAAATTCCCCTCTATATACTGGAAAAGCAACTGTGTAATAATAATGTCAATGACATTACTACATAGCCAGAGAAACTGCAAAATAATCTATGGAATTGTATATGATGAAGACTGTTAGCACTTAGTTTTTACTGTGAAGTTACATAGGAATCTGTGCTGAGAGCTGTGTGGGTTCAGAAATGAGAAAGTTTATCACAGTTTGCTAATAAATCTAAGTTATTGGCAGCAGTAAAATCAAGAGATAACTACAAAGTTGCCTTAAAATAGCAGATAAAAATCAGTGATGTATGTGGGACAAATGTGTAAAATTTTGCATTTTGAGCTCATTGCTACTGTTTGGGTATGAAATCTTGGGAATATAATGGCGTTGTATAACAGTATCAGTTCAATGAAAATGTCAATCAAGCAAACTGAAATTCTGAATTGTTGAGAAAGGAATAGAGGAAAACTCCAGAATCTTACTATGCTTCATGAACCTATCTGTGTCTTGAAGACCAGGTTCCTTCATTTTGAAAAGAATGTGGTAAAACTCAATAAAGTTCAGTGAAGGTCAGCAAGATATCAAAACTCGATATGGAAAAAATCTTGTGTAAGGAATTAAGTAGGTTAAGACTCTTCAGCTTCGAAAAGAGAAAATTGAGAGACCATATGATAGAGGGATGGAAAGGATGGATAGGGATTTATGCATCCATCTACCACCCTACCCCTTAAAAGAACCAGGCATCATCAAATGATCTCTGAATTACCCTCCACCAGCTTGAGATCTTAGAGGACACTCATTGTGAAAGAGTTACATATGCATCATTTACTAGATGAGGTTCCACATGGATACATGGGTATCCATGAGATACCCAAGGCAAGATCAATTTAGTAAATTCTTTCATGAATCTTTATTCCTAAGTGTCTGCAAGAGATAGGCATCCAGATGAGTAGTGAGGCAAATATTAGGTATTAACAAGAAAAGTAGGACCAGTAGACAATTGCTGTCTAAGCACTTCAGGAGAATATAGAAGAGGATTAAGAGCTAAGATAGGTTTTTGCAAGAGGGAATGGAAACAAATTTAGGCACTTGAGATTCCTTTGTGATTCTAGGACTTCAGGGCCTGCATCTCTTTGATTTCCACTGAAGCTTCCACTTTCAAACTGCATTTGAAATTAGTTACTTTGATCTTGTAATACGAAGCCTGAAGGTGTTTGACATCCAGGCCCCAGCTTCTTTGCTGCAGTTAGCCATCTGTAAAATTGTATATTGGTTTTTCCTTATCTCAAGGGAATGTTGTAAACACGTACTTAGGAGGGTTGTGAGGTGTGCTGGTAAAGGTTTAATGAACCATCAGCCCAGCTAAGATAAACAGCTTGGAGAAAACATTGTGTAAGTAGAAGTTGTTTAAGTATTTGTCTGTTTTCAACTGCATCACTTGATCATGACCAAGTAATTGGGTGTTGTAATATCTAATAATTACATAGATTTTTTTCAGATTTTTGATGATAACATTAATATATTATTTCTTGTTTCATATTTGGAAAGAGGCAGATACCTTCATCCTCAGCTGGTTACATGATCACATATATAATTAAGTTGTTCAGTCAGCTGGACTAGTTAGAGTATTGATAATACTATACTGAAAAAGGCTATCATAAGAATTTCTGTCATTTTCACTGTTAAAATACAGCCTGAGCTGCCTATTTTTTAAGAATCTAACTCCTTAAAAGTGCTAAGTGGTATAAAAAATAATATTAATTATTTTATTTGTTTCTTAGAAGACAGTAACAAAAGTTACCAGAATTTTATTTGAATGGATCAATTTTGACAATTAAAATACTTTTTGCAGATATCTGAAATTGCAAAAGAAGCTGGAACACAAAGAAAAGCAGAAGCTGAGAAGGCCGAGTAAGTCAGTTTTACAAAATTCCTGTTTAATTCCTTGCTACTTCCTATTGCTAGATAATTTGGCCAGAAAGAATGCAAGCAATGCTCAGTATTCAAAGCACTTTATGTACACTTTGTCTCATCAGTATTTTGAAAATACACCAAGATGTATACACTAAATATTTTTCAAAATATACTAAAGGGTAGCAGACCACCTCAGTGGGCAACAAAATGGTAATCTGATTTTGTGGCCCTTGACAATTCTGCATATATAAATCTGTGGCCACTATCTTTTTAAAAATTCCCATAACTACCTTTAAAAATGAGTACCAGTCTTGAAAAGAACTCTGCAACTTGTCAGTACTGCTATTTACACTTCTCCTACTACCTACTATAATTTTCATGCAACAATATCAGATCATTAAAACACAAGATGTAACTAACCCAACCATTCTTATTGCTCTTTTATCTGTTCTTGACTTGTGAACTTCATAGCAAATACATTCCTTTGTCCAGTCATCCTATATGTGACTGCCTCATAAAAATTTTTCAGAATGCTTACCTTGCCCAAGCAGCAACCTACTTTTAAGGGGCATGCTGTCTGCCTGAACATGCAGCCACATTGTAGGCTTGCAGACCGATGGATGCCCTTAAAATACTTGTAGATACACACAAAATATCTCCTAGATATTCTTACACATTCAAAAGCTATACATAATTTTCTTCTTTTTTTTTTTCTCTTCCATTTTGCTTCATGTTTAAAATATTTACTTCAGTCATTTATCTTTCTCCTCCTACCTGCCAAAGTGAATTTTTTTAAGTGTGCCATTAGGGTCAATAACAAGGGAGGGGTCAGTCTCTTCTAGGCAACCAGTGACAGGAGAAGGGGAAATGGCCTCAAGCTGTGCCAGAGGAGGTTCAGGTTGAACATCAAAAGAATTTCATCACAGAAAGAGTGATTAAACATCAGAATGGGCTGCCCAGGGAGGTGGTGGAGTTACCATCCCTGGAGGTGTTTAAAACACTGGATGTGGCACTTAGTGCCACGGTCCAGTTGACATGGTGGTGTTGGGTCATAGATTGGACTTGATGGTCTCAGAAGGCTTTTCTAACCAAATTCATTCTGTGATTTTTTTTTCTCCCAGTATCAAAACTAACTTTCAAAGCCAGACTTTCTAAACTCAAATTCCTTCTAAATGAAAGCATTTACAATACAGAAGTTTGGCTAGGCATTTCTGTTTAGATAACCTTTCTTCTAGCATGGAAGACGGTGAGAAACAAGATAAAGCAAAGGAAGTACAATCTGAGCAGGTCGAAGAGGGAAAAATGAAGAAAAAGAAGCGAAGGCATGGACAAAAAATTGAGAAACCTGAGGCTGTTATGGCTAACTTCTTCAAAGCTTTGGAAATTTATCAAACAAAAATGCTTGTAAGTTTGTCTTAAATTCTTTAGTCACTGAATTTTTATTTATGCATATGGAACCCTTGTTTGATATCGAAGGGAGAAATGTCATCATAAAAGGAACACTGGCGTGAGTTTTCAGATGATTGGCTCTATTCAGTCTCTTGTGATTTTTGTAATACTTCATAGAGTTATATAAAGTGTTTCTGTGTGTAATTTCTCCTATCTTGGTCTAACAGGACAGATTAGCCTCTTGAGCTCCTTGTTAGGAGCTCTCTATTTTCCATAACCTCATTTCTAGAATCTGTAATTCTATTAGCTATAAGATTTATCTTTGTTCTTAAAACCATCAAATGTTGAGTTCTCTGAAACCTTCTCAAGTAGTTTATTCCAGTTACCTAGGATTTCTTTCTAGAAAGTTTTCATTAATATTCTATTTCAGTCTTCTTTGACTTACACTTTTAAGGCCATTACTTTTAATTCCACTCACCAAGAAATGGGAGAATAGGCTGCCAAGAAATGCCCTTGCTCACTATAACTGGTGTATGAAGGCAACACAATTATATATTTAATTTCTTAGAAACCTTGCTACCTACTTTTCTTATCTTGATGTTACCTACAGACCACCATTAATTCTTTTTTGTTTTTTTAATTTCAGCACTACTTGGCAAGAAATTTTTATAACTTAAGATTTCTTGCTCTATTTGTTGCATTTGCCATCAATTTTATTCTTCTATTTTACAAGGTAAGGTTATGCATTGTTCTTTAAATATTTTTTGTTAGTTCCAAAGAAATATTTGATGATGGTTTCAAGGCTTGTTTAATAAAGCCATTATTACAAGCCCTTAAACATGAATGAAAGCATTTAGATATGAAGTAGTTAAAAAAAAAATCTTAAAGTTTGTAACTATTCAGGGTTTATTTTATTCAGGAGGAATGAAAAGAGATTTATTTAATTCCTCCTTTATGTGTTTCTAGGCATGTGTTTATAGGCACCTTTTCATTTAGTCACCTAAGTCTGTTATTGTTTGGATTGTTAATCTTCTTGTGGGAAATTTGAAATTGCCTAAAATAATTCAAATGTCAAAACTGTTGAATTTTTTTCTTTTATTTGTTCTAAAGACACTGAGAGACTTCAGTTGATCTGATTATTCTCATTGATTTCTTTTTTTCTTTTTCATAGTAGACTACAGTTCTTTTTTTACATCACTGATGAAGAAGGTTATACATTCCTACCTTAATCTTAGAGGTTCACCTGAATCTGGAGTTGTTTCAGGTTCTGGTGTACAACACAGTGATACAAAGTAGAACATCTTCAGCAGCCTCCACTGTTTTTTTTCATGAATCTTCACAAGCTCTATTCATGGGAAAGATTAGAATTCAGTAAAGAAAACTCGCATCCATAAAAGTCTCATTTTTTCCCCTTTCTATACAGATTTGAAGTCTGACAGAAAAGTCCTGATTTATCTATATCCTGAAATCTGACTCTTTTGATTTTCCCCTCCTAGATATAGAATGAAATGAATCATATGTTTTCCAATATTACATTTTCCAGTTCTGTTGCTTACAGCCAAAAGCTTCAGACAAAAGCAGCTGGCTGAACATTCAGTGTAGAAGTAACTAAGTCCTGATCTCAGATGTCTTAAATGCAACTCCTGTAACACAATTACAGTCTCAGAGGAAGGGCAGGTAAAGGCGCAAAAAGCACTTGAAAACTGGGCAGAGGGTATGTGCACCATTCCTGGAGAAAGACTGTCAGGGTTATGTAGGGCATCCTTCTTGCCTCTTTCTTCCCTTCCCGTAGGGTTAGAGAAGAAAGATGGACTTAAGTATCTATGCAGAGTTCTGCTTTTTTCTATTCCAGTCCTTTTGTCCCCATTCTCTCCTGCTTTTCATTGAGTCTTGTGGGTGACAACCCATTCTGTTGCAGAACAAGGACAAAAGTTTGTGTCTACCATTACAAGTCCATCTGTCATAAATAGGAAAAGGTCAGTGCAAGCTAAACAGGACTGAAGAGAACTTCAGCTTTCAGATAAAGCTGTCAAAAAAAGGGCCCTTAGGGCTTTTAATTTAAAGGCCAGGTTTTTAAAGTCACTGGAAAAATTTAGGGCAGTATTTCAGTTTTATGGCTGATTAAATACCGTATGTAGTTTGTAAGCCCTAAACTGAGTTATGAAATAAAAATTTGTGGACAATGTACAGGTTCATAACATGAAAACTTTGTTTCTTTCTAGACTTTAGTTATCAGGAAAAATGTAGATTACAAAACAAACCCTAAATTCAGTCCTACTAGATAACCCCGTCATTCCTCGGTTCTCCCAAGAAAATGTTTTTTGCATAACATTTTCATTGTTTGTTTTAGTTTTGCTATGGCATTGTTAGAGGATAGATTTTTAAACTGCCTGTATTTGCTTTATCTAGATTTTCTTTTTAATGACATGACATGATCTGGAGACTGTTAAAATGAAGGACATTTAAAGCCAATGTTCTATAATCTTCGTCTGAGCAGGCTTTGCAAACATCATTTGTCATTAGAGTAAGGAAAAAGCTTTTAAGTTTATTGTGTGTTTTCAATATGTTTGAATTTTTCTCAGGTGACAGAAGAGCCACTTGATGAAGCAGAGGAAGACTCTAATCTCTGGAATTCTTTTGCTGAAGAGGAAGAGGAGGAGGGCATGGTCTTCTTTGTTTTAGAAGAAAGTACAGGCTACATGGCACCTGCTCTCAGAGCATTGGCAGTTATTCATACTATCATCTCCTTTGTCTGTGTGATTGGATACTACTGCTTAAAGGCAAGTTCTTAATCTTACTACTAATCTATTATTTGTTAAACAACACTGGCTATGTCCCAAAGTGATTGTTGGTGCCAATACTGGAATGCCTATTTATACCTAGTTGTTTACAAATTCTCACTATTCAATATGTAGATGTTTTCTTTGTGTACTCTGTCTCCCAGAAATGGAGTTATTTTTCTTCTTAGCAGTGTGTGTGTGTGTTTTGGATTTGTGGTTAAAACAGTGGCGGTAACACAGTCACCCTTTGGTTATTGCTGAACAGTGTTGCACAGTGTGAAGACTCCCTTTGCTTTACCCACTCTGTGCATCTGGAAGCATGTTGGGAGGGGTCACAGCCAGGACAGTTGACCTGCACAAACCAGTGATATTCCATGCCATGTAACACCATGCTCAGCAATAAAAAGTCTGGGCATGGGAGGGTTGGGCTTGGCCATTGCTCAGAGGCTGATCAGACATTGATCTGCTAGCAGGAGGTTCTAGTGCAACATTTGGTGCTACACAGTATTATAAAGAGTACTATAGGTACCAAAAATACGTAAATCATGACATAGATGTCCACTGTCATTTTCACAGGTCCCTTTGGTTGTATTCAAGAGGGAAAAGGAGGTAGCTAGAAAGCTGGAATTTGATGGCCTGTACATAACTGAACAGCCAACTGAAGATGATATTAAAGGGCAGTGGGATCGCCTCGTTATAAATACTCCGTATGTAAAATTAAATTATTATATGTGAACTGTTTATAAATATTATAGCTCATTAAGCCACTGACCTAGAACTTTCCTGTCTACTTGCCACTTAGTTCATCTAAAAGAAAGGCAATTAGCACCTTATATTAGATGCTACAGTAGTAGATTCTAATGTGAAATCCCATATTATCTATTTATTTATTACTATCAGAACACACATATTCCACCTCCTTTTCATTTTCTAGGATTTGCAAGGATTATGCATCTTACCTCACAACATCTCTCTGAGACATTTCACATATTAGTTGCTATTGAAAAAGTTTTAAAAAGATAACTTCCATCCTTTCCAGTTACTCAATTTCACTTGTATAGCAATACTCTCCTGCCTTTCTTTCCCACAACTTGCTAAAAAAAAGCTGTATTTGACAGGAGAAGTAAATCTAGTGAAAAATATCAGTCCCAGAATTTGAGTAGGTATGATAGGAATTGCTGTCAGATTGTAGGCATTAGCAAACACTGTAGTAGTCATGCACAAAGAATCATCTGCTGTTCTGAATGAATGATACAAGGATAGGAAAAAAAACCCAGAAAAACATCAGTAAGCTGCAGAGATTTGTAGGAGTGACACAGACAAATATAGCTAGTCAACTCTCTTCCCTTAAAAGAATGTCTTATCTACAGGCTATTTTTCAGAATTTCCTTTTTCAAAACAAATTGAATCATGTTACGGTACTAGTATACCTAGACTTAGATTCCTGTCTTTTCCTAATAGTATCATAGTTTAAGGACAATAAAAGAAAGCAGGAAAAGAAAGTCACAGACTAGTTGTGGCTAGTATGTAAAAGCATAAAAACAAGTCAGCAAAAATAACTCTATGCATCAGAGTGACAATATGCTGCCAAATATCCAAAATATGTATATTATCAGTCATACTCAATTTTTGTACACTATAAATAGTGGCCTTAAAACTGTCATTAAAATTAAAGCAGTGAAGAGCAGTGACATGTGGTGTTTCTCCGGGTCTGTACTGTGTCAGGCACTGTTCAACATTGTCAGTGACACGGACAGTGGGACTGAGTGCACCCTCAGTAAGTTTGCTGGTGACACCAAGCTGTGTGGTGCGGTCAACACGCTGGAGGGAAGGGATGGGCCATCCAGAGGGATCTTGACAGGCTTGAGAGGTGGGTCTGTAAACCTCATGAAATTCAACAAGGCCAAGTGCAAGGTCCTGCCCCTTGGTCAGGGCAATCCCAAACATGGATACAAGCTGGGCAGAGAATGGATCCAGACTAGACCTGGGAGAAAGACTTGGGGGTGTTCGTGGATGAGATGACCCAGCAATGTGCACTTGCAGCCCAGAAAGCCAATCATATCTTGGGCTACATCAAAAGAAATGTAACCAGCAGGTTGAGGGAGGTGATTCTCCCTCTCTTCTTTGCTCTTGTGAGACCCCACCTGGAGTACTGCATCGAGCTCCGGGACCTCCAATGGTTAGACATGGACCTGTTGGAGAGAGTCTGAGGAGGGCCATGAGGAAGACCGGAGGGCTGGAGCACCATTCCCATGAGGAAAAGCTGAGAGAGTTGTGGCTTTTCAACCTGGAGAAGAGAAGGCTCTGGGGAGACATTAGAGCAGCCTTCCAGTACCTCAAGTGGGCCTACAAGCGGAGCTGGAGAGAGACTTTTCACAAGGAGACGTATGGATAGGACAAGGGGAATGGCTTTAAGCTGAAGGACAGTAGGTTTAAATTAGATATTAAGAAGAAATTCTTTACTATAATGGTGGGGACTCCCCATCCCTGGAAGTGTTCAAGGCCAGACTGGATGGCGCTTTAAGCAACCTTGTCTAGTGGAACGTTCCCTGCCCATGTCAAGGGTGTTGGAATGAGAGGATCTTTAAGGTCCCTTCCAACTATGATTCTATGATTTGAATCTCTAAAATACCAGAAATTCTTTGTTTTCTACACCTAAAATTTAAGAATTTTCCTTAATTTCAGTCAGCAATATGGACTAGCACATATTATTAAAGTTACAACAGATGGTAGTTGGGAAACTGAAGAGCTTGCTTAGTTTCCAACCAGCTTCTTTCACTATTGATTGCAAGGTTTGTAGATATCCAGTAAGTTTATCTTCAGCAAAAAGAATCATGAATTAATAAAATATATTGTCTTCTTAACCCTAATGACACAGTGTTCAGTCTGTTCTCAGCATGTTGCACTGCCTACTGAAGCTGATTAAGGCTAATTTAAGCAGGCTAATCCTTCTCTCTTATGTGAACTGAGTCTAGAGTTTTAATGCAGCTATTGTACCATCAGAATAATCACTGCTGGAGGGTACCCAGTGCTCTGTACATACTGAAATGTACTTTCTATAAGTGAAAAAAAGTAATTAAAAATGCAAAAGAGGTACCCTGATGGATGCAGTGTGATTAGATGTTTATGGTAAAAGAGGTAGACACAAGCTGGCTACACTAAGACATACTTTGCTTAAAAGCCTGAGAAATCAAGAAAAGAAACAATACAAAGCATTGGACTAGAATATACCATCTGAGTCACTAGAACCATTTGTCTTTATCTGGAGTAATTTCATTTAGAATTCCAATTCAGAAAGGTAAAAAATCGAGCATACTAGTTGGGAAGTTTGCCTCACATCCCAGCACTACAATGTTCTGGAATCTCATTTTTCTGGTGCTAACACTTACTTTATTTTACCAATACCATCCTTTAGTTTAAGTAGTTATTGTTCTCTTTTATGTTCCTGCATATTTTCTCAACTCGATGTTACTTCCAGGAAATGGGGAGAGAAAAATCTTATACTTTGTAGTATTTCCTGCTAATTGGCATTCTTCAAAACAGACATAATATACAGTAAGGCCACTACAATGAGGAATTCCTGGGCACTGCAATTCATAAGACAGTTCAAGAACAGTATTTTTTATGATCAAGTTGAAGATCAAAGAAATATCACTGATAAGAAAGAACCCTATCTTTTTTTTCTTGCAGGTCAAAGTTGATGTATTACTTTGTGTCTAAGATCTCTCCTGCATAAAACCAGTTGCTTACTGAAGTATCATGATTGCTTATTACTCTTAAAAAAAGCATAGAATTTTCAATATAGATACCCTGACAGCTCTTTAATATTTAAGATTTACTGCTCCATTTCTTTCTTCTATGTATACACAACAGCTTTTCTTTTAATTACTAGTGTGGGCATTGTTGCTCAGAGGCAAATGATGCAAAATGCTCTTTAGGGGAACAGTCTTGTGGCTTTAGAATTATAAATGGTTTTTACTGCATCTTGTCTGGGATGTCAGAGCCAGTGACAACAACATGACATATGTGAGAACAAGATTACCACTAATCCCTGGTTTTGGCAAATGATCTTTTTCAATTTTGGGGGGGCTTTTAATAGCTTTTTCTTTATTTTGTGTTGGCAAACTGTCTACTGTTTCACAAGTGTTCAGTGACAATTTGAAATGTAATCCACTGAATTAAAAAAATTATTTGTGCTTCAAGACTCTCTTATTTTCATCTGAAAATCATTGCCTGGTTTGATTTTTATGGCTAGGAGTAATAAAGTATTTATCTAGGAGATAAATGATATTGAAGTGCAGTGAGTGAATGAAATTACAGCAAAATCTGCAGTGATCAGGAACACGGAATTTTCTCTTTTTTCATTGTTTCTTAATTTTCCCGTAACAAGTTAAATAACTTGAAATATCTTTGCATTATCTATATAGGTCCTTCCCTAACAATTACTGGGACAAATTTGTAAAACGGAAGGTAGGCTTTTTATATTTCTATTATGTTAAGTCATAGCAATAATCTACTATTTGGTTAATTTGGATATCTGTGTGATATTCTCCTGCACACATAAATATACAAATAACTGAGAACTGAAATTTGTTTTATGGAAGTCATTGTTGTGTTAAATGTCTTTTTGAACAGGCAGCTGCAGCGTAGGTGGGAAGAGGGAGGAAGACAGAAGGCTGTGGTTTCCTTCCTAGACTCAGATATTTGAAATAACTTTGCACTGTCAATCAGCCAGCAGGTCTAATTTGCAGTCATTGTCATCTTTAGGATACAAAGCCTCCTCATCCCCCTAAAAAAAGAAAAACATGCCAGCTTAAATGACAGCAAATTATACATAAGCTTTCAGATACTAGCCTTTAATGCTTCTATTTTTCTTTTTTATGCTTCCCCCCCACCTGGCTTCCTGGGAGTTCTGACTGTTCTAGTAGTGTTAATTGTAAAAGACCTTTTCTTTTTTAATTCCTGACAACTACTGGCCTAAAGTAGGGTGAATGTCACAGAGGACTTTGAGAAAAAGCTTCTCTTCTTCCATTTTTAGGTTATTAACAAGTACGGAGACTTATATGGAGCAGAGCGCATTGCAGAACTTTTGGGTTTGGACAAAAGTGCCCTTGATTTTAGTCCAGTGGAAGAGAACGAACCAGAAGAGGCATCTCTTGTATCATGGTATGACTTCTGACCTTCACAGACAAGTTATGTGTTGGTATAACTTCACCATCAAAGATAAAAATGGATTTTATATTGAAACTGTAGTGATGTTTTCCTCAGCATGGAAAATTCAAATGGAGAAGTCTTCCTAGTGTGGAAGTAAAATTAAAAAGCTTTTTGTTCGTTCTAAAACATACTTGCATTATAAAAGTAAGAAAAAAATCCATGACTTTATGCTGATTTATACAGCTGGGCACTCTTATTTTAAACAATAATTAATGCAGTATTTAAAAGTTTTTACAACAGAGTTTATAAATCAAAGGACAGAAAAAGTAATGATAAAAAATATGTAGATTCCAGGTGTCTAGAAAAAAACTATAGATGTTTTCCTGACTTAATCTGTCAGTGAAGACAAGTGTATGAAAGTGTCCCAGTCTCAACTGATTTAGGCTCCTACAAGAGTTTGGTTTCCTTGATATTTAAGACACACAAGAAAGATTTCCCTTTGCATGCCATCTAATGGCTAATAAAATATTTAGAATCTTGCAGAAGGCATTAGCTTTTCTCTTGGCTATTCTGGCAACATTTTACACCACACAGACCACTTATCTCTCGAATTCAAGCAGTTTGGGTTCCAGATGTCACTATTTTTGACATACATTCTAATTTTTTAAGTCTGGAATATGGCAGTGTCACTCCTACTGAAATTGTTTCACCAGTTTCAGTGGTTTAGAAACTCTTTATAGGTGCTCAGAAGTAATGAATACTCTGAAAAATGAAGCACCTGTCTCACTCTAAAAAAATGAACGGTTAAAGTACATCACCACCTTCAGCAAACAAATGTGAAGTGCCAAACCTAGTTTGCTGTTTATAAACACAAAATTCAATACTTAATTTTGACATTTTTGCATTTCAAAAATTTTTTATTTCCTAGGTTAAGCTCCATTGATACAAAGTACCACATTTGGAAGCTTGGAGTTGTCTTCACTGATAATGTGAGTATGTTAGCCTAGAATAATATGTTTTGATTTACTCTAAACACAAGTGTATGTTTTCCACTATCTGCTTTTATTTTAAACAACCATACATAAATAATATTCCATTAGAGAGTGATTTTAAAATATTTTTTTTCTGTTATGTCAGAATTTTCTTTTTGATTCTAAAGGGCAGCATGCTCCACACCACTGATACAATATCAGCATTTTGGAAGTTAATGGTTAATTCATTTAATTTTGTAGAAATCAACCTAGCAACCAAAGGTATCTTTTCTAAAATCAAGCACAGTGTACAAAAACTTATCCTTTTTTATACTTGAATCATGTGTTTGACATGGCAGACATTCTTTTCTTTCAAACCTTCTCTTTTGAAAGGACCACGTTTATACTAAAATTCCCCCCCCCTTTTTTTTTGTGAATCCTCTTTTTTCACCCTCTTGAGCACTCCCAAACAAAAAAGGCAGCCAAAGTAAATCAAGTGAAGATGTATAAATTCCTTGTCCACTAAAATACACTGAGCCATTGTTCTTCAATATAAGCTTTGACGTCAAAGTGGTTGCAGGTTCACTGCTTGTTAAAAGAATAAGCTGTGTTATGTGTCTTAGGTTTTCTAGGTAGTATAGTGCATTATTTATTAAATTAATGGTTTCAAAGGTAGCTCAATAATTATTAAGATAGAGATTGATGTTACTTGCCCATACCAGTGACAGTGGGCAAATCTCTTTCATTTAGCGTCAAGGAGTGATCGTGGGGAATATTCTCACTAGCATGAAGAATCTACACACACACAGACTTAGGAGTGCTAGAAATCCCTGCTGTTAAAAAGTGGGACTGAGCTTTTATAATATAAAGTGATTGACTGGAAGTCATATTTTTCTAGGCTAGTCATGCTAGCTGAGCACCATTTATCTTTAAATAAGTTATTAGTACTACCACTCATTGGTTCCTCTGTCTGGAAATATCTGCCTTCCACAACCCTGCCAGTGCCAGTTGCTGTCAGGATACACATGCTTTTCACATCCTCATGATGTTTAGTTTTGGAGTTGAGCGAGGCTGGTCTCGGCATTCTTCAACAAGCAAAAGCAGCATGATGTCCTCCTCTATCACTGGTAATTTTCACAAGTAGGGTGAAGTTTGACCTTTTTCACCCCTACATAGGCTGTGTCCTGCTACAACAATGTAAGTGACTTTAAAAAAGCTATATATTCTGGATCCAATAATGCACATTAGCACCTGCTAACACTCTGCCACTTTTCGCTTTCTCTGCAGTCATTTTTATACTTAGCTTGGTACACAACTATGTCTATCCTTGGGCACTACAACAACTTCTTCTTTGCTGCTCATCTGCTGGATATTGCTATGGGGTTTAAGACATTGCGAACTATTTTGTCTTCAGTCACTCACAACGGCAAACAGGTTAGTGCTACATGCAAAGGTTTGCAATTTTGTAAAAGTACTGGAAAAAATTTGTTGTACATAGGAAATATCAAAATGCAATCCATTTTCACAGTCACAGATTTTGATTATGATTGGATTAAAGAATAGATCACATCATGTCTTCTGCAGCACACTTAATATGTTAAATCCTATGAAATTATAATAATCTATACCCACCAAGCAGAGATAAAGATGTTCTGTACACAATAGAAATTACATAATTTTAGAAAAATACATGAATATGAATTACCTAACCAGCTCCTTCTATATGCTCAATGATGAACTGATTGGTGATAAATAACAAGAATTCTCAATTTCTCCTTAGCTACAGCAGTAATAACAACCTGGGTGCTGAAATTTCAATACTTACCTAGCAAGAATGTCCTTAAAGGTGTGGGCAGTCTGCACTGTGGAATACATTTATGTGTCACTTTGTCATGCAAAAATCAGATTAATAAAATGTACTTCCAAAACTAATTGTTGAAATTTATGCAGGTAATCATTCTCTGATCTCTGAGGACTCTATATTCCTCGCTAGTATAACAACAAAAACCAAGCTTTACAGTTACTTTTTAATTTACATTTAGGAAATCTAGGGACCCCTGGTGGCCTAGTGGTTAGAATGCGGCACTCTCACCGCTGCGACCCAGGTTCAATTCCCAGTCCCTCCCGGGCAGATGGAACCCGTTAGCCCTGTGAGGCCATCCATCTATGAGAAGGACACTCTAAACAAACCTACGTCCTGAGGACCTCACTGCCATTGTCCAAGCTTGCTTGGCCCCGGCAGATGAACCTTAGGATTAAAGGGTGGGCTCAGTTCAGCACATGCTGTGTCTCACCTAAAAAAATCCATTGCGCAGGCTGGAAAGGTAAAAGACCTTTCCCCAAATCTTCGTTCACGAAGATGGGCCATTATTAGGAAATCTAACAGAACTTCCCCAAAATTTAATTTCAAACATACACATTCCATTCCTTCTCAAATGCAGTAACATATATTCTAAACCCACTCTTATGCCCTGCTGTACTTGTCAAAACATTTTAAATTACATGATGTTTTGGAAGAGGCATAAGAATATCCCCATACAATGTGATGATGTGTATCATCAAACAAACAGATTAAATCTCTGGTTTTATTCCTTTCATTTTACTTCAAGATGACCAAAATCACATTGCTTTTAATATAAGGCTTGATATATTTTCTTTATGAGTTTTTTTTAAATGTAATAGTCAAAACTGAGCACAGTTGACAAAACTGTTTCAACTCAAGACCATGGCTTTTACTTAAATTCTTAACAAGCAAAGATTAGTTTTTCTAATCCTGTTGCTTTTCTTGCTAGTAGACAGGAGCACTGAAAGACAGCTGCAGATTCCTGAATTGAAATGTTCAGTTTGAGAGCATACTCACAGATCTGCTAAAAGTGATAAATGATCAGCTTGTTGTTCAATACTCTCGTGTTTCTTTTAAAAGAGTAATATCAGTTATTGCATTTTTTAAAATACATACCACAAGTAACTCCTCTCCAGAGCCATATCTTCTAACACCAACTCCAATAAACAATATAATCTAGTCTCATTAACTGCTGAACTTTTTCACCTAAGGATTTTATTTGCTTAAAAGCAGGACTTGGAAATTAATTACTCTTTGGTTATCTAAAAAATTTTCCATCTGCTTTATCAATGGCTTGCTAACCAGCTTTGGAACAGAAAATAGACTCTGATAAGTCATTGTAAGTCCCAATAAGTCCTAGTTGAAATTACTTATCAAATTATAGAAAGGAGGTTATTTTAAACATTTAATTTTTACTGTATATCCAGTGTTTCAAGTTACTAAATTTAACTTTTAAACTAAATAGTGTAAACATTGCTTCAGTGATACGTAGTTTGCATGCATTTAGCTCAGAAAGATGGAAACAACTCCAGTCTCTTGATACTGTTTTTCCCTTTGATTTTCATGAGAGCAGGGTAAAGTAACAGCTCCATGGTGATCCAAGCAACAGGGACACTTCAAACCTATCGTAACTGCTATCTTTAGTTTTTGGGAAAGGTACAATATGATCCATTTTCAATATTTAAGGCAATACATCAAGCTAGCATTTCTCTTCTGACAAAATGAAATTGAAACCTACTTTCATGTCATGTCTCCATACACAGCTTGTTCTTACTGTGGGACTCCTTGCTGTGGTAGTGTACCTTTACACTGTTGTGGCATTCAACTTCTTCCGCAAATTCTACAACAAAAGTGAAGATGAAGATGAACCAGACATGAAATGTGATGACATGATGACGGTAAGTAAAACATCACTTGCATGCTTCAAATGTCATCCTGAATTTTCAAATGCATACTTTAGATAGAATGATAAGCAAGGATTGATGTTTTTGTTGTTAAATCCACGGGTCTCTTCTTCTTGATATATGTAATTTTGAAAATATGAATGGTCTTAAAATTCCCTCTGCATTCTCCAGTCGTCTATACAAAACAGCAAATAGATGACATGTAGGAAGATATTCTGGATTTTTCTCCTAAATACTATAGTATGTGATTTGCTGCAATGCTTTTATAGGTGAGGATGGCAAACCCTCGAAGTATGTGGAAGAAATTTCTTGACAAACTAGTCAGATCTGCAAAAAGATGCTGTGTTGTCACAACACATGTAAACCCTATTTGTTCCCAATGTGTGCAAGTGGACAAGCTCTTCCTGTCCTTATTTTAATTATATGCATTATACGATGTTATTAGCACTAGTTATAAAAGCCTGCTCCAAAATTACAATTAGTAATTTACTTATTAATTAAGAAGTCAAGGATGAGAAAGTGGAAATTACAAATTATTATGGGTGATAATCTTATGCTATCAATTTACCATCTGATTTCTGCCCATTGCCACTGAATGTTATTTATGTAATAATAAAATATATTCTACAGATGGTATGAAGAGGATTTGATTTTCTCATTGCATACAGAAAACACAAATTCAGATATCACAAATGTAATATTCTGAATTTGTGGCCAGCTGATTTCTCCCATGGAATAGTAACTCTCTGCCCTGTGTTACACACCAAAGATAGAATAAAATACTTCAGAACAGAGGTGTATCATAGACTTCACAGAATGTTCTTCCCTATTCTTGAACTTCCTTTTAAATACTCAGTGTGAGTCAGACGTAAATTACAGAAATTATGAAAACTGCACAAACTGGTCCCTTTGTGAGCTGGATACAATGGTCTGGTCATAAAATAGGTGTAGGAGTTATTGGAATAATGAAACCATATTACATTTTAAACCACTCTACTAAGTGCAGTAAATCAATTCCAAGTTACATTTGTAAGTATGATTAGACTGGTACCAGCATCTTATGTCGACAGTAAAATTGCATTATAAAAATGGATGTATAGTTCTGTTTAGTGTTTGCTTATGTCAGGTTTTATACTGGTTATTTAATACCCACTGCCATCTAATGTGACTTTAGAAAACTAGCTGGGCTTAGAGATCTAAGTTGTTTTTAGGCCACATTGTGTGGCTGAAGGTGATTACAAGATTCTCTAGCCAATTCATACAGGAACATCAGTAGTATATCACTCCTGCAGAAGATTCCATTCTAATGTACTTTCACAGCTTAAATATACAGATTTTTAAAGATTTTTCCATTAAGATCTATACGTTCGAAAAATATGACACGCAGCAACACTTTTGTAAAGTTATTTCTTCTGCACTGAACTGAACACAGGCCGTTTCACAGATCACAACTAATTTACAATATACTAAACTAGACACCTAGTATTGCAAAATTAAATTATCCAGAAACCACCTAAATATTTTTGTGAATATGTCACTATTTCTTTTATGGCAATATTTTCCCACATTTCTAAACTTCATTGCAAGACTTTAGAAGATGTCCTCTGCATACTCAGAGCAAGGTAGAACCTTAGGAATCAATTTAAGGAGTAGAATATAGTTGAATACAGTAAATAATACAAGAAAAATGCTCCCAAATGGTCTCAGTCTGAACATAACACCCAGGGAGTGAGTAGTGGGTAACAGCTGATGCTGACTCCTGCTGTTAGTTAGTGTACCTGAATGTGGAATCACATTAGGTAAGACAGGAACAGATTTTTGGTGCACTGTGTGTGATACATGAGGAATGATATTATGTGTTCTTTGTTACTATACTTTGTTACTATAACTTCTGAAGAGAATTAGCAGAGCAGAATAATTAAAAAAAAAAAGAAAAAAGTCAGAGTAATTCATGGTAAATATATCTGCAAATTTTCCTCTCTCTTTTTTAGTGTTACCTGTTCCACATGTATGTGGGTGTAAGAGCTGGTGGTGGCATTGGAGATGAAATTGAGGATCCTGCTGGAGACCCTTATGAAATGTATCGAATTGTCTTTGACATCACATTTTTCTTCTTTGTCATTGTTATCCTACTGGCCATTATTCAAGGTAACATCACTTACCTTAGTAGAGACTGTTCAAAATTAATTTACGGAAGCTCAGCAATGTAAACCATATTATGTTTGAGGTAAATTTAGCAGTATAGCTATAAAGACTTATTTCTGAGCTGATAAAATCATTAATTCTGAAAGTAATAATTTTAGACTTAATTCATAAATACTGCCTTGTCCCAAGTACTACACAAAGTCAAAGCACAAGATGTGTAACCTCAGTTAAGGGTCACAGATGATGCAGCTTGTGCAGGATCACTGTTCTTCCTATAATTACCATTTAAACTTGGAGAGCCTTGCTGAAGATTTTCAGCTTGGAACCGCCACAGCTGGCTGGGGAATGGAGACTTTCCCCTTGAAAAGGGTAAATGACATGAAGAAAGTCATCATGGCCACACAACCATTTCCTCCTTTCTTTAGAGGATGATTTGTAGTGTTAATTGGTTTACAGTTTTGGTTCACAGGGAACGAGACCTCTCTCCAGTGACAGTCAGCATCCAACATTCATTGCATGAACTGACCTCAGGCTGTTAGGAAAACACCCACCACTTTATGGCTATCTGGTGGCAAAGAAAAAATGTAACGCATGTCACAGTCCCCAGAATGATCCGATTCTAATCCTAATACGTTGGAAGTGCAAGAGCAATGCTTCAAATGTGAAGCAGCCTCAGAACTGGCCAAGGGGGGCTCTGGGAACAGAGCTGTCTTTGTTGAACAAAAGATGGGATACAAGAGTTTCATGAGTAAAGGAGTGAAAATTGAATTCATTCATGGGACAAAAGAGATGAGCTTATGGAAGGTTAAATTGACTGTAATAAAGGACAGAAAAGCCTTTTGACTCTCAAGATTGTACCTCCACCTAATAGGAATTCTTACTGCTATGAGTGTAGTATAAAAAAACGTTAGATGTCTGGAAATTGATAGACTGTAACTTGAATTGTTCAACCTAGACATAAGTACAGTAAACTCTAGACAGTGGAGGACTGACATTATTTGCAATATGAATATTGCTCAGTACCGAACTGTTGCTACTTTTCAATTTGAAATAGGTCTGATTATTGATGCTTTTGGTGAATTAAGAGACCAGCAAGAACAAGTGAGGGAAGACATGGAGGTAGGAAGCACATTACATTTTTCATTACTCTTGTTCATCTAGATTATCACCAATTAAAATAGTGTTTGAGTTAAAATTCATCTGTAACCGCAACTTGTGTTTTCAGACCAAATGTTTTATTTGTGGAATCGGCAATGACTATTTTGACACAACCCCACATGGCTTTGAAACACATACTTTGCAAGAACACAACTTGGCGAACTATTTGTAAGTACATTTTAGAGCTGGAATTGTAGTAAAATTTGTCAGGTCTAGAGTAATTTAGGTGCACACATTGCTGAAAGTTCTAAGACAGAATTCTGTAGAACTGAGGAATATCTCCTGTCCTTTCTGGTCTCCCCTCCTCTACTCCACACTGCTGGTTATCTTTAAAGTGCTTACCTTACACATGAGTTACCTTAGTAGAATGACACTGGAAGTTAGACCAACTCCTTATTTTGCTGGAAGGAAACCCAGATATGTGGAAAGATGGGGGACAACAGTTTAATGAGTTGCTTTAGTCTGGAAGTTTTGGTTGTGCCTTCTGGGGGCTTGGTAACGCTGATGAGACCATTGAAAATTGGCCTTGATTTGACAAGAAGAAAACCCAAACCAAAACAAAGCAAAAAAAGACATTTTTTGAAGGTTATTAAAAGATAACCGCCAGTAAATAAATAAAAGCTCTCATCATCTAGTTCTTTAGTGACAGTGAAGCTTTTCAAACCTTGAAGCAATCAGGAGTTGTAAATGTTTAGGCTATTGCCCAGACTACCAAGACAGTGATCTTCCACTTTCATTAGCAAATATAGAGCAGACCAAAGAGGATATTTAAAAAGTTAATTTGGTGCCATTACTTACTAATACAACAAAGATAATTACATGAGCATTGTGCCAGCAAAACCAAAGGAGCTGAGCTGGTGGACTCTTACAGCAGACTGACTTTGCAACACTGCATCTGAACTTTATAAATTCAAAAAAAAAAAAAAGCATGCCTCTTGGAGTGGAGGCTGCCTTATTCCTTTCATACAACTGACATTGGCAAAATCAACTGCCTTACATGATGTAAATTTCCATTAACATCCATGGTTTTACAGTCTACAACCACCAAGCTCTTCTTACTATATTGAACTGCTTAACTGGTACATGGGAACCTCTAATTCACAGTAAACTAAAAGTGGCCATTTTAATCTTTTTACCCAGGTTGCCCTTTAATTAGACAACTGTTAAAGTTAGTGTACTTTCTTCACAACAAAAGCACATACTAAATCTAATTCCAAATGCACTGCATCCAAACTATCCAAACAAGAGCTGTGTTACCTGTAAACAGGTAACAGACCTTATTTAGTGCTCTGCAGTCCTCCTTAATTAGTTCAAGCTTTCAACATCTGACAGAGCATAGGTGTTGGAGAAGGAGAGGCTCAGCTTACGAGCTGTATGGCATGAATGTTTGGAATTCCAGGTGCAGCTCAGTATTTACCACACTTCTCACATAGTTGCTATCATAACTTTTTCCAAGGTGAGATGTTGGAGCATATGTGCATAGGATTTGGCATATGCCTAATTCAGGTATTGCTCCTCACACTGAAATGAATAAAACGCTAAGCCATATTTTTCTACTTCTACAGATTTTTCATCTGTTAGCACTTCCACAGGAGGTATGCTTCAGGACATAATTTTCTCCCTTAAAATAGGCACTTTACATGTCTAGCAGTGTCATTGCTTATAGTGTGAGGCAAGCTTCCTCACACACCCCAGGCTAAGAAAGGTCAGGCAGAGATGTTATGTTTCCTGCATTAATACCTGCTTCATGTGCTTGTTTCAGGTTCTTCTTAATGTATCTAATTAACAAGGATGAAACTGAGCATACTGGCCAGGTGAGTAGAAAATAAAACTTAATGGTTTTTCTTATCTTTAAACATGTTTATCTTCTTGAGCCTTGTAGCTGTGTACCACCAGGTGGAACTGATGTACCACTGAGGAGTGGGGATGATGCCACCCCCAAAGGGTCTACTGCCAGGGAAAGAAAAGAAGGGTTAAAACAAAACCAGAAGGGGGTGGAGCGCTGCAGTGTGCTATTTTACTGAGCAGTGAACACTGTCAGAAGTCAGGTACTAGTAATGTTACTGTCATCTTTGAAATGAAAACCTCAAATGTACCAGTTACAGTTTATTCCCAAAAGATTTAAGCAGTTAAGGTACTATTTTTATAGTAAAAATCCATATATGTGTGTAGATAGATAGGTATATGGGTGTCTGTATGTTTAGCCTAAACGTAAATAAATAAGAAAATAAATAGGATTTAATTATATCTTATCTCTAATAAGAAGTTGTTAGGCATAGAGTACAAAAGTACCTTTGTTTTCCAATCAATGCAAACCACATTTTATATATACAGATTGTGAATAGGTTTGTTCTGATATAACTGGACTGATTAATTTACACTTACGTATTTTACTAATAGATTTAAATTTCAGTATTACTGAATCAGGAAAAGTGCAGATAAAACTTTTACAAACATTCTTCAGTTATGATCTTCAGAGTTCCAGTGCCTTTACAGTTCTATTCCGTGAAAATAGGCACAGTATGTGGTTATATTTAAAAATTTTTCTATGGCACTAACTGTATGCTGACTGTTAAAATAAATACTCTTTCTCATTTTCAGGAGTCATTTGTGTGGAAGATGTACCAAGAAAGATGTTGGGATTTTTTCCCAGCAGGGGACTGCTTCCGAAAACAGTATGAGGATCAACTTGGCTAATATCACAAAAAAAAGTTATTTATTCATGAACTATTAAGATAAAAAAAAAGAAATCTATTCTTTTCATGGTGCAATTTCACAGCTTGTATTTACTTTAAATGTCTTTAAACTTCAAGACACACATAAAATTTGACACTATTTCAGAGGCTTTTTGTACCTACCACATGCGAAACAGGTCTTTTGTTGCAATTTTAATTAGAAAAAACTATGCCAGATTAACTTAAGCCTTCCAGTTCAAACATGCCCTAAAATCATAACAACTTTTTAACCACATCATTAACCTGGTGTTTGGCAGTAAGTTGAAAGGGCTAAAAGGCATCTTAATTGCACATTTGACATTGAAGAACTTGAACATCAGAGGCCAGGCCTCAGAAAAAACAGTTCAGCTAACTGCTGTCCAGTTTTTCCCCACAGTATTTGCTAGTGAATGTATTAAGATACAGTTTGAAAAGCTTTAAGCAGTTAAAAAGAAATCATTTTCAAACATTTTGTCAACCTTGAAGCATTAAAGTGCCTTAAAACCTCTGTAGACATAGCTATGCAAGCTTTTTATTTATGTTAATGTTCTAGATGAACAAACCCATTAACTGTATTGCTTTTCTGTCTTTCTGTATCAAATTACACTTGAAGTTAGTTAATATACTACCTTCAATAACAGCTTATTAGATGCTGCTGTTAAAAGACATACACTGTATCAAAATGAACACAGTTTAAATCTTAGGCCAAAATAAAACAATGCTCTACAGTCACCTGCAAGTAGAAGTTGTTAGGATTATGCATTCTTTTTTCTTCTAATAAAAGTGCCCACTGCAATAAAGTATTATAAACCAAATACTACTGTTGCTGTCATCTTTGCCATTTTTCTACAATATGGAGTTGTGTGAGAATGGTGACTAAAAACACATGTATTCACTGTTCATTCATGGCTTTATTTTAAGGACTACATTGACCAAGTACAAGCTGCAATAACTGTTCTCTTAGCCTGCTTCTTTAGCAAAGAAAATTCCAATTTCATCACAAATTTTAGACCTTTCTAATAATGTTATTAGTTTTTGACAATTTTCAATCCCACCTAAATTAATTTTGGTTGCACAAAATTTTAGGAGCCAGCATACTGGCACATGGAACAAAGTGAAACAGAGAAAGGAAATAAAGACATAAAGAAAAGTTCAACTTTTTATGTAATGTTTGCTATATTCAATTATTCACATGAGGAAATTTGAGCTTCAGGAGATCATGCTGTCCAGCCAATCTTCAAGCTCTTCCTCAGTAACATCTTTAGATGTACTTTGCTGTTGCTGTGATGATGTACTCTTCTCTTCAGGCATATCTACTTCCAAAGGGTCTAGAAAAGTGAAAAGAACAGGCTTGATAATCTGGAAACAATTCTATATCAGCTTTTTGTCCTGGGTCATTGTGCTTTTTAATACACAACTGACTGCATTTAAACACAATCTCTCTTTCTTGAAGAACAGCAAGTCATATTCCAAAAATAGTTTCCATGCTAAACTTATTTTTATAAAATCAATGCTAGAAAAGTTTGAAAATAGCATTTATGACAAGCCATTGGAAATAGCTGTCAATTCTTCTGTATACTATTAGCACAGTGAACGAAGGACTGATAATGTTACACATACTTTATCTTCCTTGCAATAAAATTCTCTAGCAGTACACTATTTTTTTTTTAATTTAAAATTTTGCTGAATCATAAGCCCAATGCTGTTTTGCAGAAGAATTTCTTTTAATGCTTAAAGTGTACTGACAATGGTGAAACTTTAGTTCATGAGGATTTAAAACTGAAAATGAACAAAAGGGTCAGAACACAGCACCAGATAAATGAAATGCAGTATGAAAGGGATGATGACAGCAGTACTGTTGAGTGGCTAATCAAGAATTCAAAAACATCACCAAAACAGAGAGCAGTGGAAATTAAATAAGAGCATGCTGGGGAGAAAACTTACCACTTTCCTTACAATCCATTTTCAAATCTTTTTCAGTTGATATGCTGTATGATAATGTGCCTGACACAGGTCTGTTTCCTGTATTCATGGGAGCCTCTAGATTCAGGAGAAGATCCAGTTCTTCATCCAAATGGTCAGTCACTTGCTTTGATAGTGGGTGGATTCTCTGAAATGGTTCTCTTGCGTTTGCCTTAGAGCTGTTTTTACTTCCGGGCTCTGATGTAGCAACAGAATTACCAACAGGAGGGGAGACCAATACGGTGTCACTTTGAGCTGGAGACTGTCGGAACAGCTGATCTCTTCTCTTGACATCTTCAAAAATTTTAGATTTCATCTGTGGGAGCTCTACAGGTGTTGATGTCTAAGAGTATAAGAGAGGACTTGAGTCTTTATAATGATTTATTATAATTTATTATATAATAATTATTTATTATTCTGTCTAATTTGGATTGTAATTCATACTTCCTATATTTGATCACTTCAGAAGGTACAGCGAACTTGAGCAGAATTCAATTCAGAAGTGAAAGTAAAGTTATCTGGATGATACTTTTATAGAAGCAAATGCAAAATACAAACTCCTTTTATCCCTTATTACAGAATATGAGATGGTATGCTAAATCAGCAAGTTCCGTTGTTTCACAAATACTCATAGAATCATCAAATAGTTTGGTTTGGAAAGGACCTTAAAGATCCTCTCGTTCCAACACCCTTGACATGGGCAGGGACACCTTCTACTAGACCAGGTTGCTCAGAGCCCCATCCAACCTGGCCTTGAACACTTCCAGAGATGGGGAGAACACAGCTTCTCAGGGAAAGCTGTTCCAGTGTCTCACCACTGTGACAGTAAAGAACTTCTTCCTAATATCTAATCTAAACCTACCCTCCTTCAGCTTAAAGCCATTCCTTTTGAAAAGTCTCTCTCTAGCTATCTTGTAGGCCTGCTAAAGGTACTGGAAGGCTGCTATAAGGTCTTCCCACAGCTTTTTCTTCTCCAGGCTGAACAGTCCCAACTCTCTTAGCCTGTCTTCAGGCTCCAGCCCTGTGATAAATTTTGTGGCCCCCCTCTGGACTCACTCTAACAGATCCATGTCTTTCCCTGTCGGGGGTCCCAGAGCTGGATGCAGTACTCCAGGTGGGGTCTCATAAGAGCAAAGTAGAGAGGGAGAATCACCTCCCTCAACCTGCTGGTCAGGTCTCCTTTGAAACATGGTGTGCATTGCAGAGTCATGTTGAATTTTTTTGTCCACAAACACCTCCAAGTCCTTCTCCTTGGGGCTGGTCTCAATCCATTCTCTGCCCAGCTTGTATCCATGTTTGGGATTGCCCTGACCCAGGGGCAGGACCTTGCACTTGGCCTTGTTGAATTTCATGAGGTTTACAGACCCACCTCTCAAGCCTGTCAAGATCCCTCTGGATGGCCCATCCCTTCCTTCCAGAGTGTCGACCACATCACACAGCTCGGTGTCATCAGCAAACTTACTGAGGGTGCGCTCAGTCCCACTGTCCGTGTCACTGACAAAGATGTTAAACAGTGCTGGTCCCAATAGTGACCCCTGAGGAACACCATTCGTCAGTGATCTCCACTTGGACATTGAGCTGTTGACCACAACTCTTGGTGTGTGACCGTCCAGCCAATTTTTTATCCACTGAGTGGTCCATGTATAAAATCCATGTCTCTCCAGTTTAGAGACAAAGATGTTGTGCAGGACAGTGTTAAATGCTTTGCACTTCCTGGAAAATTACTTTTCCTTAATTCTTCTGTAATGAAATCCCATCAATACTCTGAATTTTGGAATGACTGGAGTCAGAATTTGGCTAGAAACATCATCCCATGTTAGGCCATCCCTCCAAAATTCTAGTCTTGAACAAAACCATACTACAGGTTGCTGAAAATCAATTAGCCAGTGTTATGGCTATATATTTTGAAAAATGAAATTAAACTGTAAAACATTGTCCAACAGTGAAATCAGAAATGGCAACTCATTATTTAACAGATTCGGCTTTTATCAGGATGCCCTAGCGCTGATAACACTGCAGCATAACTCATGACCACATCCCTGGTCAGAATGACAAGACAAAGATTAAATGACATAACAAACAATTACTAACCCTGAAAAAAGTTAGAGACCATGACTAGAACTCCTAAGAAGAAAACTGTATGTGAAAGTAACATTTATTTGCAGATTCCCTTAGCCATCACATCTGCAGACATACTTGAGCTGCTTTAACAAAGAGCATAGTGTCAGCTGCAGAAGCACTTCATGCAACTCCAAACAGACCCTTCTGTAAGAGTCACGTTTTTCCTTGCTTGAGCAGGCAGATCTTAAGAATTTTGTTTTTATATTTAAGTCTCATTGGCTCTTTTGCACTTACATTAATATTTTCTTTTTCACAATCTGAAGAAACATTTTTTAATAATATTGTTGCTTCCCCATGCCACTGGAGCATAAATAATATTTTCTTCACCCATATGATTGAGAGTTCTACCTGTTCTAACACTGATGTAAGACCAATTCACGGAAAAAAACATGTATGTTGATATTAGTTATGTAGAACATTAAATCACAATTAAAGTAATTAACAGGAAAGAACGTGAAAACACTTTCAAAATTTTGGTGCAACTAAAACCAGCTGCTAACAAAAGAAAAAAAACCCAAAAATAGTGCAATCATTCCATGTCAAACACTCTGATACCTGAATTCAAATCTAATATGCTGCACATTCAACCATTTTGTTTAAAGCCAAGTAAGCACAAAAAATGTGCTGATAGAGGAGTATCCTGCATTACATGCCACTTGACATGCCAGTCTAACAGAATATATTTACTTACATAATACACTGTTCTTACGTTTGAAGACTAATCATTCTTGCATAGATTTTTCTCTTAAAATATTTGCATTTCCTAGTGTAAATTCACAGCATTACCTGTACAAGGTCAGCAGCTACATTCAATTTCAGATGTAGAGGCAATTCCTGAAGGGCCTGGGCCAAAGACTGGCAGTCAACAGAAAGTGCAGAGAACTGAAATATAATTTAACACACAGTACATTAGTGAATAAAAAAAACAAACAAAAAAAGAACACAAACAAAAAATCTAATAATTTTAATCTATTACATTCCCCTGTTCCACTTATTTGAGGAATCTGGAAAACAATCTAATGAAATACACAAATTGGTCGCTTAAATTACACTTGTATGGAGCAGTTTGGCTAAATTACCATATATACACTTACACTGCAAATAATAACTTACAGCTAAAAAACAAGTTGCAAACTGAATACTCCTTAGACAATGTCTTGAAAGTCCAAAATCGGAAATAGTTCAGAATAGTTCAGTCATTCTTATAAGAACGTCATAAGAAGCTTTTCCAACTGAAACATGTTTTAAACTGTGAAGCTTTCATGCAGTTTGAAATGAGAGTCTTTAGTGAGTAGCTACTATTTTCTAAGCAATCAACCCATAGCTCCTGTGTAGCTATATTGTTTTTAATGGCTAAACAGGGGCCTTTTTATAGTTCCACATTTTTTAAAATGTTTTGATACTTACAAAAGCAACAAAGTATATAGTTACAAACATTTCTAAAATTATATTCAATTATACTGCTGCTAAATTACAACTTATTACTGTGACAGTTACTGAAGCTTCATTTTCTTTTGACCCCTTTTCAAAAACAGATTTACACAAAATGAACCAGCAATATTTGACATTTTTACATAACAACCCAGACTTCAGTAATCCTAAACAGATTTCAAGCTCACCGTATAGAAGAACATTCTGAGCACATTCACTGCTGATGAAAAAATAATTTGATATCCATCACGTATTTTAAAATCTGACAACAAAATGCTTAGGTTCAGTCTATACTCTCATT